AGCCATAATAATCATACTTACGATCCACAACCATCTTGAACACCACGCTTCTTGAGGAGCTGACAGAGTTTCAAGCGAACGACAGCACCCACCGGTTGAATACCCAAAGAATACCCAAAGTTTTCTTTACGGCAACAAGTAGCACGTGCATACGTCTAACTACCCCGATCAACTGGCCAGTGAGCACCATCAATCCACAAGAACCTCAGCAGCATAGGCCATCCTTGAAGTACGGTCTTCGGATCCTTGATTAATCCACTCTTGCTGATCCACACTTTCGCTTGATCCACATCTTTGCTGATCCACGTCCTGCTGGTCCACGTCCTTGGTTGATCCACGTCCTTGCTGATCCACATATCCAATACTCAGAAACATGACAAATTAGCCATCATTCATATCTCAATAAAGCCATAATAATCATACTTACGATCCACAACCATCTTGAACACCACGCTTCTTGAGGAGCTGACAGAGTTTCAAGCGAACGACAGCACCCACCGGTTGAATACCCAAAGAATACCCAAAGTTTTCTTTACGGCAACAAGTAGCACGTGCATACGTCTAACTACCCCGATCAACTGGCCAGTGAGCACCATCAATCCACAAGAACCTCAGCAGCATAGGCCATTCTTGAAGTATGGTCTTGTATCTTGATTAATCCACACATTCTAAACACACATTAGTGATTCATATGCTTGTAAAAGTATACCATCATCAGCCTCTTGCCCACGGCCTTGTTCCAAGTGCTACAAGGACATACTTGTAATATGAGCAATGGCAGTCGAATAAAGTGGAACTCATCTATACCTGCTTCCAACGATATCACCACGCTGTTTGCTGATCCATATGCACCACGTAAAAGGGCCTGAGGGTTTGACGGCAACGAAAAGAAGCCAAGTGAGCTCGATCAACCCAAACAGATCGATTGGAACCCCCCACCCACCTTAGCTCAACCAGCATTAAGCCATTGCCCAATAAAAGGTTGTCTAAATAGAACAACGTTACGTGTCAGTTTGGTCTTCTTCCTTAACAGTGAACTGGGCTTACCTTTGTTGTACGAGAAAGACTCGAAACACGCGCCGAATGAAATGCGTTGTTGCAAGTAAAGAGCTACCCACGTCTGGTAATGTGGAGTGTTGCATTAGTAGCTAGCGAACTACTAAACACTGCTGTAGAAGCGTTTAACAAGTACCTTTGGAAGGATGGCGTTCACCATTGACAGCTGCTGTGTTCGTGTGGAAGGTGTAATGTAAAGAGCGCGCGTGTTGCTGGGCAACAATCAACGAGGCAACTGTTGCGGAGCGACCGTGGCATAATGACTTTTGATTGCCGAACACGTCCCCACCCGTTTACATCCAACTGTACTTTCAAGACTATATGATTCTCGATGCAAAAATGATATAAACCATGCAATTATGGTTGTAAAATGGCTCTTTGTAAATGTGGTCAGCGGATAGTTATATGGTGTTGAATGATGCATTCGTCAGGGTGGGCAAGTGATTTCTTTGTTATAAGCCTGGGGATAATGAGCTATGCAGCATTGTGCCCATTATCATGATTGTAACGTTATGTTTTCGTATACGTCTATCGTGCCAACCAGCCTCCTAATCATGCCTTCATGCTCCTGCTGGCTTATAGAGTACATCTATCATCAAGCAATGGAATCCATCACTCTCGAAGCAGATGCTGATCATCGTACAAGATCAATCATGGTTACAGAGAACTCTTTCGTGTGATGAATGAGTCCAATTATTATCCTCAGCCGTATTTACGTGATTCATGCTTTCTGCTGACGACGTGACAAGGAAATTAAAGCAGCATTTCAAGGTTCCTTAGCACTGCACTTGGCTACAATCTAAGCGTTGCAAGTCCAAAACGTTGATCGAAAGAGCCATGTGTCCCGCTCTCTTGCTACAATATAGTGAAAGGAATAAGTTTTTGGGGGAGGATCTGGTTCTCGCAGGTGATTGTATAGCGCTAGCGTATATAAAACTCAACATGACTGCTCGTACACACGTCGACGACCTTTTTAAGATGATGACTCTGCTAATTCAAGTGCTCGTTTACAAGTGTCCCATTCCAATCCATACCCCACCGCATCCATTAGCATCAAGTTGAAGGAATCAATCTCATTGTTTGTAACACAATTGTAATAGAATGGAATAAAATGACAAAACATCTATTGCTTATCATCCACGATTTCTTCAGGGACAATGCCTTCCTTGATCAACATGTCTTCCAAATCACCGGATTGATGCATATTGAGCAAAATGTCACAGCCACCAACAAACTCGCCCTTGATGTAGACTTGGGGAATAGTGGGCCATTCCGAGTATTCCTTGATACCTTGACGCAAATCAGGATCCTCCAAAACATTGAAAGCTTGAACCTTGTCAAAGTCCACACCTTGCACTTGCATGATCTGAACGGCCGCCCGGCTGAAACCACACTATAGATTTCACACACAAACACACCAACCATCCTTTAGATATTCATCCATGTAGTTCATTCTTGTTGAGACTTACCATGGGTTGCTCAGGAGTACCCTTCATGAACAAAACAATGTCCTTGGACTTGACATCCTGCATACAAACAATGAATGAATAGGGTTGTGTATTGTAAATAGAGCACATGCTTACCTGATCAAGCTTCTTACGCAAATCATCCGAGAGCCAACGAGCCCACATGGGAGCATTGGCACGAGCATTGATGGTAGGACGCAAAAGAGAGGACTATTCATAGAAAACGAGTGTTACTGAAGGGCCCTGACTAATCGATGTTCGATCGTTCCATGAAGGTTTCCAATGTTCGATCATGGCTACACTTCAAGTGTATTCGAGCTGAATGAATGAAAAAAAGAGACTTACGGTACGAGTGGCTGCACGGAAAAAGTTCATTGTGTATGTGTGTGTAGTCAATGAAAGAGAGAGAGTGGTATGATAATGAAAGACTCAGAATGGGACTTTAGCTTTTGACGGAGCGTGGAAAGCCCCGGCGGTTGACAATCAATGCCAGATACCGCTTTCATTCATCCTCTTTTTCTTTATCGAATATACACAAACGACCCTCTCAAAAGACGATGCTTTCTCGCTCCATATCTTGTCGTCGTACACCTTTATTACGGCGAGCTACACGGTTGCCATTGACTCCATTACAGCACCATGTCACTCGACGACACGAATCAACTACAGCTGCCGTTGCGATCGAAGAAGACATTCACCGGATCCCGCCACAACTGGACTATAAGCGACTTGTAGAAAACGCCGAGGTCATCAAGCGTAATATGCAGCTGCGCAAATATGATCATGATCACGTGGACAAGGTGTGTGCATTGTATGGAGAACGAGAGCAACTGGAGCGAGAACAAGAACAAGTTGTACAAGAACGCGACGCTACCAATCGATTGATTCGAGAAGCCAAGTCCAAAGAAGAACGCCAAACGCATATTGCTCAGGGCAAAAAGTACAAGGAACAGCTCAAAAAGATTGCAGAGAGATTAGCCATGGTGGAAGAGGATTTATGTACGAATGCGCTCTTGGTACCGAATGATACGCATCCTGATGTGCCAGTGGGAAGTGAAGACAAGGCCAAATTGATCAAGATGGTGGGGACGCCTGTCAACAAGCCGCATGATCATCTTACAGTGGCTGAACGATTGGGCATGGTGGATTTTGCACAGGCATCCAAAGTGAGCGGGTCCAAGTTTTATTACTTGACACAAGGTGGAGCATGGCTTGAAATGGCACTTATCCAATTTGCTATGCACAAGGCTACCGAACGTGGATTTTCACCTGTGATCACACCTGATATTGTTCGTACCTCGGTGGCCTATGGCTGTGGATTCCAACCACGCAAATCAGAAGCATCCCAAATTTACGATGTCAGCACTGCCAGCACTGTCAATACCACGGCACCCAAATTATGCCTTACTGGTACAGCCGAGATCCCACTTGCTGGTTTGTTTGCCCAAAAGATGCTCAAGGAAGAAGAATTACCACAACGGGTCGTTGGTTTTGGTCGTGCATTTCGAGCCGAAGCAGGTCATGGATCAGCTGAAGAACGTGGTCTTTATCGCGTACACCAATTCTCCAAGGTGGAATTATTTGCTGTCACCACGCCACAACAAAGCAATGATGTACTTGAAGAATTGAGGAGTCTACAAGAAGATATCTTTACGGATCTTGGATTGTGTTTCCGGTAATTCAAGGGAAGAAGGGGTATGTGAGAGTGAGAGAGCTAATGTATGGTTATGCTATGTAGTGTTTTGGATATGCCCACGGAAGAATTAGGAGCAAGTGCTTATCGTAAATATGACATGGAAGCATGGTTACCCGGTCGAAAGGCATGGGGCGAGGTAAGATGGATCCTATGTTTCCATGGCAACCATGGCATCTAACTTTGATGATGATAGATCTCTTCCACATCCAATTGCACTGATTATCAAACACGACGATTGGACGTCCGATACCTGTCATCTGATTTCAAGGAGCAAGTAGGACCCAAGGACGTGCGTGTACCATGGCACATTAAAGAGAAATGGGTACACTTTTGTCACACATTGAATGGCACAGCTATCGCAGTACCTCGTGTCATGATCGCTATTCTCGAGACATTCCAACAACCTGATGGCCGAGTAGAGATACCCGAGGTTTTACGTAAATGGATTCCTGGTCAATCCACGCATTTATCATAGACTATGTAGCATCCCCACCTCACTCTTTCTTATATTCACCCATACAACCCTTCTCTTCAAAAGTATATAAAGTGTACGTATAATTGGAAAAAGAAACTCGGTATACATGTACCATTGGTATTATTTAACAACATGTAAAATAAGGAGTGCGGCTCTTGACTACTTCAATGGTTTCCATAATAAGAGTTACTCGTTTGCGTGGATTATCATGATCATCATCGTCACTGGAAGAATCTTCCTCTTCACCATCGCTGCCGACATGTCGTTTTCCCAAACGAAGATTACGCATGATGCGTCGCCTCCTTCGACGACCAATATCCAATGATACACGACCCCATCCTCGATTCTTTCTTGGAGTAGGCTGAATAGGTCGATATCCATTATGTTGACGTTGTTGTTGTGCATCTTCATCATCGTCATCATCTTCATCATCATCCGCTGTATGTTGTTGTGGACGATGCATACTTAAATCGAAGGAAGTGGATCGTTTGGTTCGTAACCTCCTTGCTGGTTGTGGTGGATGATGTGGTCTTGGAGAACGATAAAGACGTTGTTCGGGTGTTGTGTTCCCGGGTTGTTTGTTGCTTCGTTGTTTGATCAAATGTTCATCATATTCGATAAGGATTTCCTCTTGGTTCACAACGACACGTTCAGTGGAGACAAGGTCCAAAGGTGAAGCATTAGGATCTGAAAGTGCGCGTACAATGTTGAAACCTTGGCCCTTGAGAACAGCCATTTGACGTTGAAACATGTGCTCATCAAAGTCCGAGTCAAGTTGAAACATTTCATGCAGCTCACGCACAGTGTCACGCCACCAAACTGGATCCGATAACACCTTTAGGAATTGCCGTCTTGTCGTTGCTGAAAAGGGACGCGATACCAATGCATCAGGTAATGCCAACCATCCATAAGGATAAGATCGCCACTCATCAGGGTGTTTAAATGGGAATGCTAATCCATTGTCGATGGCTGCAATTTGAATGTATCCACGTGCTGCTGTATCTGTCAATGTTGCATTGCTGCCATTTGTCGGGCTACTGCTTCCACTTGAGCTACCACCCTCGCAGTACTTGATCATCCAATTATCCAATCCTCTATCTAAATTACCATTTATCAATATCCATGAAGCATAAAGAGTGATATTGCTAATTTACCTGTATTACGAATAAGATAATCGAGAATCACAAGTTGTTCGAATTCAAGCTTGAATTGATCTTGCAAATGACGTGTCCATCGAAAAGGTCGTTGTTTACTGGGTATGGGTGATTGTCGTTGACGGGTATCCAAATGATCCTCACTCATCTCAGGTACTCGAGGATATCCATGGTGTGGGTGTTGTTGGTGTTCAATGACATCATCCTCTTGATTCTCCTCCTCCTCTTCTTCCTCTTCTTGTTGTTGCCCTAGACATCCACCCCATACTGAACTTCCACGACTGACAAAGGAGGATGACGTATATGGATCCGAAGGAAAAGGATATTCTCGTAGGAAAACATTGGCGTCTTTAAATCCATCAAGGAAGCATTGGAAGCTGCCGATCTTGGGTGGAAGGCCAACCACAGAGGCTGAACGTCGATCGAGATAATCATAATGGAAGGAAGGTGATGCAAGATGAACAACGCCCGTATGAGGCACAATGCGAGTACCAATACGACGATCAATGGTTGAAGATGCTGCTTCTGAAATATAACCGAGATTGGGGATAAGGCAACTTCGACCAAAGCAACATGGAAATAAATGACGATGGATCCACTTTGTCCATTTGGGATTCAATCTTCCATAAGGTTCTTCATTCTTTGGTTTGAAAACGCCCACTGTTTTCCCTCGACCATTGCGACAAAAGTAGGATCCACTTGATCCTTGGCTAATGCGTGTAGGTTGAATATCCTCTTGAATGGCTGATCGTACTGATTCAACAATGGTGGAGAACTCGTTTTTGCTGACAGGGATATCCTATCAAGAGTAAATAAGATCTTCCATCCATCCTATGTTTGCATGATTGTTGTTCTATTTACCTTGGGAGCTTGTTGCACAGCATAAGTATCATGCATCGACGGAATGTGTCCGGGAGTAGTAGCATCCTCAGAAGCTGGGTCCCATTTGACAAATACGGATGTCGATAATGGATCAGTGGGCATCAGCATTTTGTCAAAAGCGAGTGTATGTTGATCATGTGCTGTTGTTGTATCATCATCCAAGCTACCACGTCGAGTACTTTTCTTTCCCACCATGCGACGACGACCTCGAAATCGACGACGACGTACAATGGTCCATCCTCGTTTAGGCAATTCTTTGAGTAAAGGATCCGCTTGACCTGGCATATCTCCTTGTTGAATATCTGCCATAATCACACTCGGTAATGATGCAAAGGACGCCTCATTTGCTGTTTTGCGTCGAAAGGGTAACTTGCTTTGGATGAATTGTCGCGTGGCTGTTGGTAACTCGGCTGCTCGTTTGGCTGAAAAGGATGCTCGTTGCGTAAACGTGTTGCCACTGGCACTTCCACTTCCACCACCACCACCGGCTTGTTCTTGCTGCTGCTCATCTTGGAGATCATGGGTTGCTTCGTTGTCTGGTAGTGATTGTCCTTTTGGAAGTATGGGTACAGTCGTTGTGTGATAATTACTGGAGACAAGGATAGAGTTGGGATGGCGAGCAATACAAGTATGAGCGATCAGATCGTCATAGTCATCGTCCAAATCGTCTTGTTGTTGTAAACGGGTATATGCTCCATGCCCAGGTGACGGTGCACTTGGGTGCCTTACACGAGCAAACATGCTATTACTGCTGCTGTAGTGGTTGTGGTGGTTGCTGTCGCCGGTATACTTTGAAAAAGAAAATGATAAACAAGAATGTCTTGTGCTGCTGGCAAGGAAAATGGTGATGATGCTGATGCAGCAAATGAGAAATCAGGGGGAGTTCATACTTGGGGGTGGGATTGGGACACACACACACACACACACAACGCTACTACTACTCCTTGAAGTTATTCCACCAATCGTTTGTTACCTATGCTACACGCCCTTTGTATGGAAATGTCACGCTTATTGGACATTTGCCCCGATCCTTTCATGATAATCACACGATTCTACAATGTCAGGTTGTTACAATTTGCTTTTATTGCTTATGCTAAACTATACATTTGATTATTCTCCATTATGCCATTCAACACCACCGTCCATCGACAATCGCACTAGATATCACAATAATTAGTACACCCATGCTTACCCCCATCCAATCCAAACATGTACTTACAATAAAAGTTGATGGTAACGGCAAGGACCATAAATCCAGTAAGCACTGCTGGGCCATACTTATCCGAATATTCACCAGTCTCATTCTTGGTAACACGATTGGCACGATCATGGTAGTTGTAAAGAGCGTACACCATCACTCCCATAGAAAGGAACGTGAACATGCCTGCTGAGACACGTCCAATGTTATCTGAAAAGTTGAGCAGGCCTACAGCAAGACCACCGAGTAATAATGTGAATTGTAGCCATGCCAAAAATGTGCGTTCGTTGGCGAAGAATGTCTTGACAGGTGGAGGTTTGGCAGTAGCAGCGGCTCGTCGAGTTGTGCCTGTAGGTTTGCGTCGAAATGTGGTCTTGCTCTTTTTGAACAACTTTTGTAGTCCAGCAGGTGATAGTTGCTTGAGGAACTTTTGTGTGCGAGAGGATGCGGTATGTTCAGGGTCTTCACGCCAATCTTGACCTGATGATGATGAAAGCATGGGTGTTGTCTCTGTCGCTTCAGCAATCATTCGAATCTGCATATGATCCTCATCACCGCTATGACCGGATGCTGAACTGCTACCCGCTGTATCGGCAGGTCTCAATACACCAAACTTGCGCACACGTGGCTTGCGAATATCAATATCCATTTGTGGCAACCAAAATGGCAACACGTTGATCTTGTCTTCCAACAAGGTAGCGCATCCATGAATAAACTTTGAAAACTTGGGTACGGATTCGACCAAATGTGAATTCACCAAGTCCACCACCCATTGAGGAGGTTCTTGACCCACGTGTGTTTGCAACTTGACTTCCAAAATGGCATAAGGGAATCGACAAATGTCCGAGTCAGGTAATTGCTTAAAGGGATAATCCACGCCAATATCGGTACGTCGCCAATTGTTGCCTGATCGCGTACGACCCATATTATCCTCACGCACCAATGACAATTCTGTATCCAAACTAATACGCACACGTGCATCGCCTGGCAATTGGAAAGCTGTGCGGTTGTAGAATGTTCTCATCATGGGGTGCAATCGCTTGGTCAATACGGTGTATTGCACTTCTTGAGCAAGTTGTTCCATTTCATCAATCTCCTTCTTCGATAATCTTCCTTGTTCACGTTGCTTGGCAAAGAGCTCATCGGTGGTGTATTCGCCTCTCAGGAATGAATTCAAATACTTTTCCTTGATGGGGAAGCGTGCTTTGACAGATTTTTCACCCGTCCAATCTTCACGATGTGTCTTGCGCTCCACAAAGATTGTATTGGAATCCATGCCACCATACCATCGCATACGAATCGCTTCAGCACCTTCGGTCTTTTCCAATCGTCCCATGTATAAATCGAAATCGTCATTGTCGTAGTAGATACTGGTGATGGCTGAATCTTGTGGCTCGAATTCCTTGTTGGGATTGAACACCAATACTGGCAAGTGTTTGAGAATGATCAACTTGAGCTCCGTGATATTATCTGGATGGACCCTGAAACACTTGACTTGTCACGCCACATGTCTCAACAACAAAAACAACAACAGCCTTCAAACTTACCAGTATTTAGTTGTGTTGCGTACAAATGCTGATTGTTTGCCACCCGCTGCTGAATCTCCTCGACGTTCTTGGCCACGAGTACGCACACGATCATACAAGGTGGAAATACGTACAATCAAGGCATCATAATTCTCCTTGTAAAATGGCTTGGCATTGAGACGCACATTGAACATGGGCTTGAGTTTCCATTTCGTCACTTTCTAAAGTAGACATGGACATATATAGTTTAGTACCCTGATGGTAGTAGATATGTAGGTGTATTCTTACATCATGCTTCTTGATGATCTTGAGAAAACCGGTATAATTGAGACGAGTGAATTTGGCCAGATCATGGACATCGGCAATAATATGACCAAGCTCGATTTCTGATGCTGTAAATTCATCCTCTTCAGGAGCTTCCTTGCCACAGAGTTCCTCCACTTCACGTGCCTCCTCTTCGATGCGTCGATTGATTTCTCCAAGCTTGACACGTTGAAAGCTGTACACCTTATCAAGCTCCTTCTCCAGTCGTTCCACAAATCGAGACTCGTTTTCTTCAGTCCACTCTTGGTCACCACGAGACTCCTTTTTCAGAAATGCCTTGAGATCATCGTATGCTTTGTAAATGGCCATGTCAGAAGGTCGCTTCTCCATTGATAATAAAAATAGTCCGTTATCTTACCAAGATAGTAGTAAGTCCATTCAGGGTATAATGAGGTGCGTAATGTCTGCCCAAACTTCATGACGAGGGGCTTGTTGTGCGTGTGGGTGTGTGAGAGAGAGTGAGTGAGAGAGAAAGGAAGAAAAGAAAAAGAGAAGAAAAAGTGTGTATTCTATTTTGGCTTCCCGAGAAAAGACCTATATGTGGGTGTATGCAACAAGATCCTCTACTCCACTCCCCTCCCCTTTACTCCCCCAAATTACATGACAATGGATATGACCGGATCATCAACAATGAACCCATTGCCTTCTTTCTTGATCCTTTGTTCTATAGCAAGGTGATAAGGATCCTTCTTCCTCCCCCAAACAACGCGTTTTACATTCTACCCATCTTGACTTTTATTTACTTGTTCATCCCTTACAACAAAAACCTTGTCCTACAACGCGAGCAATGGCACACAAAGTGTCACATCGATTCGTTTGAGCTTTTTTACAATAACCATTCCATGATCCAATCTCTAACTGTGAATCCAGAGACCGAAGGGTGAAAGGCCTATGAGGATTCAGCGTGTGAGAGCACGTGCCTTAGCGATTGGATGCATAAGCCAGCTTTCTCAAACCGCGACAGGTGGCACAAAGAAAGAGATGCATGTATTGGACTGAGCTTCATCATTGGCAATCACTACATCTCCCCCACTCGGATCTTTGGTACATCCTGTTCTTTTTCTTGTGATAAATTACCTTGATGTTATGATTCTTCATCCTTCATTCGGGTGTCTATACCATGGATTCACATCCTTTTTTTTGTCGGCGACCCAAAATGTGGATGTTGTGCATGTCTAAACCGATGCATAGATGACAATGGCGGAGGATCATTCAAATTTGGGTGTTTACATTCACTTGAACTCTACCAAATCCAAATCCAAAATCCTCATTTATCGGTTTGGATGCCTACATTCACTTGACATTCTTCCACTCATCACAATCCTCTTTTTTTATGATATAGGGTGCGTGAAATCAGTGCTTTATCTACGAAGAAGAATGGTATTATATAAATAATAGTAGGTACGAAGGTGGGCTTTTTGATCTTTTGCTGTGAATGAATGGAGCATAAGATATAATTTATGAATGAGAATGTCAAATGTATGCAAGCATGGGTATGATAAAATATGAAAGAACAATGTTAAATGATGTTTTCATGGCATGCCATCATCACTGAAATCATCATCTTCAGACGTATCTTCAGAGTCCGATTCTTGTAAGGCCGGCCCTTCTTGGTACTTTTTTATACACCTTTGGCATCGTGCATCATTAAGTCCAAATACCCGTATCTGCCGCTAAAAAAGAGGCCATGCCATCATCAACGTTAGTGCAAATCCCCGGGAGAAGTCTAAATCTCGGCTCTTTCTCACCCGTGAATAGCAATGCCTCGGTTTTGTCTTATGGCAGACTGTGCAAGTGATGAATGCATCTATCGGCGGAGCTGTACACTCCATGCAAATTGCTGTGGAATTGACTAACGACATTCTTGTGAGCCATTACGATCCGGTAGCGTAACATTATCCTTCATTACATTTATGCCTTATTGACTATACAAGGTGTTGAGTCGAACATGATGCTATATCCAAAGGATGATGAATACATACCTTTAAACGTTGCTCGTCTGTAAACTCTGTCAGTGCCTTAAACTGGATATTACCCCGTTAGCCGTACTTTAATATCGTTACGAGAACAAACTTGTCTCTTTACCTCTTTGCAGAAGCCACATTTTAACGTAAGGGGTGATGGTGGTGTTGGTGGTGCTTTAGGGTTGTGTCGTGGTTTATAGTGGAAACGTGCCGGGCGTCGTGGTGACCGGTAGTGTGTCTCGGTGGTGGGTGTAGCGGTGGTAGCCATTGTTGCTGAGGGAAAAGAGAGAGAGGGGAAAGAAAAAAAAGTCCTCTTCGCACCAACTCCTTCCCGAGAATGGTCATTGCAGTCACAAACTTGGGTGTAAGAAGATAGCTTCGATTGATAAATAAGATATTTAATGTCTCCATATATAAGCATACGCACACACACGTGTGGGGTAAAAAGTGTGATTTTCATGTTGATTTGAAACAAGCGATGGTTGGTTGGGTGGATGCAAAAGTGTATCAGGCGGGGCTCTTTTGCATAGCACTCTCTCTCTCTCTCTCTCTCTTTGTTCTCGCTCTCTCGCTTATGTTTCAAGGTTTCACACACGTGCCTCTATTTTCGAACCGTGCGCCACACCTTTCACGTCATGTTGTAGGAGCCCATTTTAAAATCATGCAAGGTGCAGCATTGAAGTTGCCTAGCAGCATATGATGACTCAAACAAGCTTTTCTGTTGCTACATACAACTGCAGCAACCCGTGTAACGCTATTCGTACGTGCCAAATTCAAGCCAAAGCGGCTGTCTAATTTAATACAGCTACAATGTTGTTTCATATACAAGAGCACGTTGTCCTTTCAAGTTGTTCCCAACAATCACCATGAACCCAAGAGGCATCGTTGTGTAGTTTCAATGTTGTATTCAAAAGTGCTCACCTTGAATTCTAAAGTTTCCACGCAATCTCTCTCTAATGATGTATTGTTTGCCCTAGTGTATTATGTGAAGGGATGGCAACTGTGGGTTGGCGACAAAGGGGGCATTCTCAGCATTCATGGAGATTTCCACCGATTGCGGAGTCCCAAGCCCGTTGAAGCTTTCCTGGCATCATGTGGCATCATGATCCATAAAATGGAAGCAGCAGAACACTCATTCAATCGTACTTGCGATAACCTGTAGCCCTCATCACAAGCCAACAGAGCCCATCTATCATTGTAGAAATAGCTTTTATAAATAAAGTCAATGTTTTGTTAACGTACCTCGGCTCTCGGTGGGACAACAAGACCACACATTGTTGGCACACCCCTAAAGCCCAAATGCAAAAGTGCTCACGTAACTGGTTGGTCTTCATGATCTTCATCCAACATCCTTTCAAAACACTTTGTTGTTTTGCTTTGTGCCCTCATAACTCTTCACGCCGTCTCTATTATCAAGTAACCTGGTTTTTACAAGCCTTCTCATTTGCAACGTTTATAAGCAATCTTGCTTAAAGATGGTGATAGAAAACCATTGGCAGCAGCTGTGAGCTTTATACTAGAGGCACTCTTCTCGATCCACTACTTGTACTCAACACAATACACCATCATGGTAGCTTTTTTTCATGTTCAATATGAGTAGCACTTGTATTTATTATCATAATCAAGATCTGTATATGGGATTAAGTTACAAGTGCATATGCACGGGGGAGCATTGCCTCAAGCACCTAAAGAGTGTCAGCAGGCGCCAGTAAAAAATACACCAGCCGACACACACAACCATTTAGGCACTGGACGCTCTTTTTCCCTTTTCCCGTTTCTTACTATTTCCTTGTGCACTCCCACACGCTAGCCATATCTCTTTCCAGTTGGACACTTGCACACATACGCGAGCAGCGGTCGAACAACAACAACAACATGGAGGTCTCGGACTACATTAACAAGGCCATGGTCTTTGCCGAAAATGCCGCCAAGCTGTCGCAGAAAATGTCGCAAGGCTTGGTCGACAATGCTCGTGAATTCGGCTTTCCCACAGGTGGTGAATCGGGCGCCCAGTACTTTGACACCTCTGAAGAAAAGATGCGCAACATTAAACGCCAATTGGATGCCAAGAATGACAGAGAAAAGTTGGACGGTCTCAAACGTCTCATTGCGGTAAGGATACATATACAACCAAAGGGAGGGAGTGTGTGTGTGGATGTGGCTATGTGGATGTGACAAGGAAGGGGAGTAGGGTATACGCGTCGTCGTCGTTCAGGTACTCATGTTGCTTATCGCGGGATATAGATGATTTCCAAGGGACGAGACGTTTCAGAATACTTTCCAGACGTGGTCAAGAATGTCGTGTCGCAAAACATTGAAGTTCGCAAGCTCGTCTACATTTATTTATTGCGCTATGCCGAGCAAGAACCTGATCTCGCCTTGTTGTCGATTAATTCCTTCCAAAAGGATCTCAGCGACAAGAATCAGATCATTCGCGCCATGGCTCTTCGTGTTATGAGTGGTATCCGCGTCCCCGTCATCAGCCCAATCGTATTGCTCGGCATCAAGAAATGTGTCACTGATTCAAGTGCGTATGTTCGCAAGACCGCTGCCCATGCAATCCCCAAATGTTACAGGTTGGTAATTGAAAGGATCGAGAAAAGAAGAGAGAAAGATAATAACTTTTGTGGTATATGCGTAGCTTGGATGATAGCCAAAAAGAAGCACTCGTGGAAATCATTGCAACCTTGCTCAAGGATCGTTCGACCATCACCATCGGCAGCACCATCATGGCATTCAACGAAGTATGTCCCAATCGATTCGACTTGATCCATCCATGCTTCCGAAAGTTGTGCGGATTACTCGCTGATTGTGATGAATGGGGACAAATGTCGATTTTGGGCGTGTTGCTACGCTACGGTCGGTATGTAAAAGGAAAGCGTCGCCATGGAGATAAGCGGGATTACTGATGATGATGATGGGATTTTTTCATAGTACTCAATTCTTGAATCCAAATCCACATGTAAGATCATTCATGCAACCATCAATCCAATCATGTGGATGTACTCACATTTGAATCCTTTTAGGGCGAGGATAAGAGCAAAGAACCACCAAAGTCGATTGCCAAGCCCGTTGTCGACGACAAGAACTTTTATAGCGATTCCGGCAGCGATGAGGATGAAAAGAGTGTGGATGATATTGTGGAATTGGACCTTGATCATGAGCTTTTACTCAAAAGTTGTATACCCTTGTTACAAAGCCGGAACAGTGGTGTAAGTATTATGTTGCAAAGGAATGGGTTGAGAAGAGGAATTGACATGTTTGGGATCTTTGTGGTTGTTAGGTGGTTCTGGCAGTTGCACGGCTCTTTTATCACTTGGCGCCAGCAGCTGAAGCTCAAAAGATTGGCAAGCCTCTCGTACGACTTTTACGAAATCATCGAGAATTGCAATACGTTGTGCTTAAGAACATTTCAGTCATGGCAGCTACTCGGCCGGTAAGTTTGGATTGGGGAATGGCTATGCATTTATAGGTTTCTAATGATACTATATAGTATTTGTTTGAGCCCTATTGCCAGCAATTCTTTGTGCGTTCATCTGAGCCAGTCTTTATTCGTGATATCAAGCTCGAGATTTTGACCAGCATTACTACTGAATCCAACATTTACACTATACTCAATGAATTCAAGGTAATGGCTTTATACAATGACGGATCTATAGATCGATACTAATGGATTATCCGTATCATAGCAATATGTCAAGAGCCCCAACAAGGACTTTGCAGCAGCAACCATTCAAGCCATTGGACGTTGTGCTACCAATGTATCAGCAGCTTCGGATCGATGCTTACGTCTGTTGATGAAATTAACACGTAGCAAGAATGGTAAGGGGATCGGATAGTGGTGATCAAGAGAGGAACTAGGGATATTTATTATTCGAAAATCAGAGCTCGTGGTTGCAGAATCAGTTATTGTGGTCACCAGGCTTTTGCAAACTTGCAGTGAGGAACGTCGACGATCTGTGATTATGCTTGCCAAGCTTTTGGATACGATCAAGGTCCCCAAGGCGCGTGCCAACATTATGTGGTTGATCGGACAACATGCAGAAACCATGCCCAAAGTGGGACCTGATGTCCTTCGTCAAGCTGCAAAAACCTTTGTTGATGAGGTAAATTGGGGGGATGTCGGATGACTCTACGCATGTATCTTTATTTCTCACGATGTTGCATGGATTGGGTAGGCGAATGGCACCAAGTTGCAGATCCTTACATTGTCTGCCAAACTAGCATGTCTTAATCCCGACCACCCCACCATCAATGCGCTCAATCAATACGTTCTCAATCTCGCCCGATATGACACCAATTACGATTTGAGAGATCGTGCACGGTTTTTACGAGTACTTAGCACACCACAGCCCGAAGAGAATGATACACCTGGTGTACAAGCACTCAAGGCTCATGTCAAGGATATTTTGTTTGCTGACAAACAAGCACCTTCTATGGAAAATGGAGAAGGTAAATTGGGGAGGGAGCAGGAATCAATGCATGATGAAGGAGTGCTAATTGAGGAAATTTAGGTACCACAGAGTATACAGTGGGTACTTTGTCATTATTGGCCCATCAACCTTTGCCTGGATACGAAGCATTACCTGATTACCCCGAGGAACAACCAGATCCTTCTGTGCGTGATGTGGAGGAATTGGAAGGATGGGCAGGGAGTCGTACTGTGGCCGTGGAACAAGGCTTTGGCAGTGACAGCTTTGAGAGCAGGTATCGCAACACGGCTATGGCATCCACCGCCTTTTCGGGTATTGAAGCAACAGGATATCATGGTGGTCAATATCCCTCTTCTGCTGCTGCTGCTGCTGCCAAGACCAAGAGTGGTGACTATGATTTGGATGCATTTTACAATGATGATTCCTCGGACGAATATGAAATCGATGACACTTCCTCTGAAGAAGAAGATAGCGATGAAGATGAAGAGACCGATTCGGAAGATGAAGAAGAAGAAGGGTCAACAGACGAGTCAACAGATGAGGAGGATGACGATGCATCAAGTGAAGAAGATACATCCAGTGAAGAGGACGAGGACGAGGATCATCATGCTTCTAGCAAGAGAATACCACTACACAAAAAGTGACGCTACTATACACAACATCCATTGTTTTACTACCTCGTCGCTCCTTTTTTCTTCCTTACCCCTTACAGAGCCTATTGTTTCATTATGCATCCCGTGGTCTTTTCCCCCATATTCGTGTAGAACAACCCCTCCCACATACACACACTCACACTCACACATGTATACTCAAAAAACAAGAAAAACGATACACATTACTTGTGCATGAACTTTTTTTTCAAAACGCTACATATACATTTCATGTTGATAATCAAAATACAAAAGCGTACAAGAAAAAAGGGAGGAGGCGGATAAAAGAGGATAGCGTGTGGAGGATCAAGGGTATAAAATATATATAGTATGTGACAATGGATGCGGGGGGTTGTGGTTGCGGAAGAGTATGTGTAAAAGGTGATGATGCTTGAATGTGTGTGTTGTTGTTGTTGTGTGTGTGTGTGTGTGTTGCTGTTGTTGTGTTGATTGATTAACCCGGATATTAGGCTTGAGAATGCCGCCTACCCAATATGGGCGATTCTTGTGGTAAGATATAGAGCGGTGGTGCACTTGGCATATAAGGAGGGGGAGGGACTTCGGGTTCCATGGGATGTGTTGGTGGAGGAGGTGGTGGTGGAGATAAATGTTGTTGTTGTTGATGATGATGGTGATGATGTTCACAGTGTGGACAAGAGGAAGATGATGTTGAAGAGGGTTGTGGTTTGGATGATGCTTGTTCATCTTGTTGTTGGTGGTGGTGGTGTGATGGCATCGATCGACTTCCACTAGCCATATCATGATGATGATGATGATTGTCCAAAGTCGAAGCCGCAATAGCAGCTTGTTGATCAGCCATTGCATCCAGTTCTTTTGCTGATGGTGCGGAAGGTTGCGGGGTGGTTTGTGAGATAATCGATACCATATTTCGCCGACGTTCATAGGTGGATTGATGAAGTGATGCTAAAAATGGTGCGGGTGCAGGGGGTGCGGATGGTATCGGCATTGGTCCATCATCATTATTATCATCCGTGGTCGTTGTTGTTGCTGTTGTTGATGGATCCAATTGGCGACTATGATCCTCTTCAACATGGCTGCTATCATCGTGATAATCGCCTCGACTACTTCTACTGCTACTATCGCTGCTGCAATTTCCTGTTCCACTGCCTCCTCGTAAATCAGCCTCCTCTTCCATCTCGCGTTGTTTACGTTTCCGTGCACGCATCCGAGTAAAGATAATCAACGTAGCAACGACAGCAATCGCACCCACGCCTCCTACAACTGAAAGAATCGTCACCATCCGTTTGAGAGCGGCCTGATCTTGATGTAGTTGCTCGGTCACGTCGTCGTCGTCGTTACTATTAGGATCTTGCATATTCTTGTCATTGCTATTATTGCTCTTGTCGGTTGACTGATCCTGATTCTGCTGTGGTGGTTGCTCTTGTTGGTTGGCATAATTACTGTCGTGATATACTTTGTTGGGATCATTGCTATTGTTGTTGTTGTTGCCAGTGTTGCCATCACCATCTACAACAACAACGGTGGTGACATTGACATACACAGTCTCTCCATTGGCGTTGGTCGTTTTATCTTTATCTTTGGACATTGAATCCTTTGTCGAAGAGTTGGGATCATCATCGCGTGGTGCTAATAAACGAGCAGGAATGGTGGGTGCAATTGAGGAAGTGGTGTGGGTCAATGATGGAGTTGCCGTGGAATGTGCAGTAGGAGACACTTGCGGACAAGGTGCAATAACACCTGGCAACGTGCTGGCATGGCAATAGGAGTGAAGGAGGAGGAGAACGAGTGTCGAAAAGAATGATAGTTTCTCAAATCGCATCGAAAGACGAGGAGCCTATTCAATAGGCGTTGCTGTTGGCTGCTGTTGTTGTTGTTGTGTGTAGGTGATATGTGAGTTGTTGCGTGTGTTATACGACTGTAGTTGATCGAGAGAGAAAGAGAGAGCAACTGACTGAGTGAGCAAGGAAGATAAAAAAGTGACACACACACACAAAAGTAAGGTGGAAAAAGAAAGAAAGGAAAAGGGGCTAAAGTTGGGGACTATTTGCTATGAATATCAAGAAGGGAAGAAAAGGGAAATATAATGAACTCTGCGTGGGACAAAGCTCATCATTGTCCGCACTAATGATCGGAAGTCACATGCCCCGTTGTTGTAATCAGCAAAGGATCGTCCCATCCCATCCCATCCATGCCTTGACAACCACTTTGCTCATCATCCCATTTGCATTGATATCCTTTTATTGTTCATTCACATACATGCATGATTCAAATTGGCACAATAAGACCATCACAAACAAGATCCCATGGGCTGAACTTTGATTACAATGATATACAGCAGGGATGTCTGAGCGTCGATGCATACCAAGAGAATCCAAAAGATACTAATGATTGCATGACATTCAGACCTTTCTAGCATGCAGGGCTTAAACAAGGTATTTGAGCGGCACCAATATCTGGGGTATAGCCCACACACAAACATACACACACACACAAGCTCAACGTTTTGCTACCCCCTCAATAAATCTTGTTCACGCAAACGGAAGAAGAAAAATTCATGCAATAAGGCGATAGAGCTATAGGTTTTTAAGGGTGGGGGAAAGAAAAAGAAGAAAAAGGAGAAAGCAAAATAGTAGCAACGGGGATAGACTACGACGGCCTTTATTGATCCACAGACATGATTGTTGCTCCAACATCATCATGTGTAACCATCACACTTGCGTGGTGTCATACATCCCACCATCCAGGAGCAAAAAAGTCAGCGAGCCAGGGGTATATATGAAGACATGAGGTGAGGGAGGATGATGATCCATGTGTACTTTTCAAAATGCAACATGCATAAACATGCTCATGAGAGGGTCAATTTACTAATATGCACGGCATCTTTTTATATTACTAGGTGGCTCTATATTGTACGAAAGGAGCAGCAGCAGCACCAGCGGTGGTGAGGCTACTACCCACTCCGTTTCTTATACTACATCATCTTGATTTACAACAAAGAGCTGGTCATTATGGGGTCGATGATCCATCGATCCGCGAAAACCGACCCATTGCACTGAAGCAACCGATTTACGGCCGAGTGATGCAAGCGCGTTGTTGTTGGATTTCCACGTTCCCTCATTATTGGTACTCTTCATGCTCCGTGGTGGTAATGGAGGTGGTGGAGGTGGCGGCGGTGAAGGATCACGATGATGATGATCAAGATGTTGTTGATCAGCTTGTTGTGCTTCAGGTTGTTGGGTCTTGTTTGGGTCAGTTGTAACAGTAGTATTGTTCTGGATTTCATGCGGATGATGTTGATGATGATGATTCCTGTTGCTTGCAGGTGATGATGATGGGGTTTGTATTTGTTGGGGGTCTGCCAAGCATGGATTTTCTTTTTCCTTTGCTGCTGTTGTAGTAGTGGTCTTTGGTTGTTGGCTGATACTGTTATTATGGCTGCACAATGATAATAGCTGTGATAAACGATACATTTTTTGTTGGGTCAACGGTTTTGTATTGGTGTTGGTGATAATGGAAGGGTTATTGTTGGTTATTACTGCAGCCGTTTTTTCTTGTGCAGCATCATCATGGACTTGGATACCTTGTTCTTCATCGCCTTGAATGACGACCCTGCCAGCAGGATCAAGTTGCTCTATTGTATCAATGCGATTACTGCTGCTGCTTTCTTGGCTGGATCGATCCAACATCATAGCGTGCCGTTGCCGCCTCTTTGCTTTGATACAACGATGGATCAAAATAGCTGCTACGATGACGCCCACGAGTAAGGCAATGCTAGCAACAGCTGATATCCAAAATGGTTGCGATTGCCCTGATTCTCCTCGTTTTGTTAAAGTGTGTGCCTTCATGTACATGTTATGTATGAGTGTGGGGAAGAAGAAGAAGGCAAGAAGAAATGAAAAGAAAGGTGAGAACAAAAAAAGGAGTGCCCATAAAGACAACATTCATCGATTGTACAAATAAAGAGGGGAGCATACAACATGGATCACCCCGCCCTGAGAGTTGTTAATCAAGCACTTTGTACACCACAGCATGCGAGTGCACACAATTATGCGTGAGATGCATTTGCTTTTGTATTTATCTTCAGGGGATGCTTATTTTACTTAATGGGGGAGTCATTCACTTTGCTGTATCCTAACCATGCTTTTTGCCATGGCAACAGGTACACTAGTCTTTGACAAATGTTCAAGCTGGTATGCATGTGAAACAATTGGCAGATGATAAACAACCCTATCCGATGGAATGATTCGTAAAGGAAAGTTGTCCATTGTCATTCACCCACTCTTTCTTGTTCACGTTGCTAGGTAACACAAATAAACAAACAGCCGATCAAGCAACAAGAGGATTTTCGTTGTACTTTTTCATTTATTCCATTTTCATGGCCATGTCAAGAAAGGCAACGCTATTTATCGATCTGCTATGTACGTTACTGATAACAACTTACCTTGAGCGATGATGCATGAACACAAACATGATTTATGAATCCACCTTATATGAACGTTTTGGTGTTAGTTGTAGGTCGAAAAGTGTACATAGTGCCGCGATCAATCAATCATCATCCACAGAGATTGTGATTTGTGAGCAAAATAGAATTTTTCTTTGCCCAGCGGGTTCGTTCTCATCTCACCCAAGAGCATGATTTATTAAACAACATTATGACGATGCACTTATTCCTCATCCTCAGCCTCCTCATCGTTGGCAATGTTGAAGTAACGGAGCTCGAAGGTTTGCTTGTCAGTGGCAATAACGCGCAACCAGTCACGGATTTGGTTCTTCTTCAAGAACTTCTTGGTAAGGTACTTCAAGTAGCGCTTGGAGAAAGCAATGTTGGCAACAACGGTAACCTTGTTATCACCGGTGCGGGAGATAACAACGGCATCACCCAAGTTGTTGGTGCGGCCCTCAACCTTGATGCGGTCATGGAGGAACTTTTCCTATACACGTCAAACAAATAGGGTAAGGATTCCATACCATTGGCAAAAACTAGTCTTAACACTTACAAAGGCAGCGACATCAAAGATCTTGTCGTTGGCGGGGGCAGAGCAGTCAATGATGAACTTTTGCTTCTTGACGACGGTAGACTTGACGGGGGCCATTTTTGAAAAAGAAAGAGTGAAAGAGGAAGAATACACGTTTGCCAACCATTCTTGCACTTAAAAAACTTTTTTTCAGCAGCAGCTGTTAACCCAGCTCATGTCGTGGCTTAGAAGGCAGTAAGTGGCTGTTGGCTGGATGGCTCGGGATGTTAACAAGTGACTCGGATTTGGAAAGCGGAAAGAACGGAGCTGCATGTTCACTGTATATTCCATCACACGACCAAGGGATTCATTATATAAGAACAAGCTCAAGGACACATGATGGAAAGTGACGACGATGACGATGTACCATTATGACCTTGGTGATTGGATGGTGCGAGTAATTACATTGACATTACCAAGTTGGGTAGGTTGCCATGATACCACCTACTTGCTACCTAGCAACCATGATGTGTGTGGGTATCTCTGATGTTGATGATGGGACTACAGTATTAGGGTGCACATACACAATGCGCCCATTGTTCATGGTGGTTACACGGTAACTGATTTTCTTGGAGTGCGAATTACAATGAAGCAAAATAAAAAAAGGAAATGCGGGGGGATCATGGGTTGGGGAAGCGTAATGCAGGTGCTTGAGCAAATGGCTAAGAGAAAGGAGCTCATGATTTATGCAAAGCATGACATTTTTCCAATGACAGATCGGCTTCTATTCCATGCGGTGATACGACTGGATACGAAGCGATCCATCGCATCACCTTGTCATTGTCGTCCCGACAATGCAGCAGACAACCGACCAAGTCATTCTACTACGAGGCTGACATTGTCATCATCATTCTCCTTACTTTGAGCTTTGGCCGACATCATGAATGACGGCTCCGATTCTTCTCTTTTATCCATTATATATATAAAGGTCAAATTCGAACCCCAGCGTTGTTGCAGAAATACTACTACGTACTGAAACATACACATTCTTGGATCCATCGCCCGAGAGTTTTCTACTTTATTCTTTTTACCCTTTCACATTTACTCTCTTTCTCTCTCGCTTTCTTTTCTTTGTTTTCTTCTACGCACATATAAATGATTGCTACAAAATCAATCATTTTGTTGGTCGTGGCAGCCTTGGCCATGTACCATTTTGCATTACGCACAAACAACCACCATCATGCCTCATCATCATCATCTTGTCAAAGCGCCTTTCCCAACTCGATCATGGCAACAGCATGGAATCGGTGCTTGCATTGGAATAGTAATGATCCTGATACTGGCAGCGACCCTTTACCTAAAAAGAAATACGGGTATTTCCTACACATCACGGATATGCACGTAAGTGATACAATGGGTTGTACGAAATGGATAAAGGTCCCGTCTAAGCGCACATGTATGTTATAGGTGGACAAGAACTATATTCAAGGGGGCACCAAAAAGAGTGCATGTCATCGAGATCCAAAGGAGGATCGTCGTTACAGAGCTGGAAGATTAGGGGCACCATTTGAAAAGTGCGATGCCCCAGTTGCTTTAGCTCAGGAGACGTTGGATTGGATTAGTCGTGAATGGAAGGACAAGCTGGATTTTGTAATTTGGACAGGTGATAATGCAAGGTAATGTTGCACATACAACGTAATAAGCTCTCTCTCTCTCTCTCATTCTAAAGTCAACTTTGATATCTTGATACTATAGGCATGACTGGGATCGGAAAGAACACCGTAAACGGAATCAAATTCTTGAGCTCAACAAGCTAGTAACGGATATGATGACCGATACCTTTGGCGACTTGCCCATCATCCCAACCTTGGGCAACAATGATGTCTACCCACACAATGTGGTTGTTGATAGAGACAACATCCTTGAATACTATCACCATTTATGGCTACGATGGATTCCATCCGACCAACGACAACAATTTCTACGCGGTGGATATTTTGCAGCCGACATCCCTGGTTTGAAATTACGGGTTGTATCGTTGAATACAATGTACTTTTTCAAAAAGAATAAGGCTGTCAAGAATTGCCGAAAGGAGGGTCCTGCTCGAGATCACCTTGAATGGTTCGAGAAACAGCTTCAAAGTGCTCGCAACACTGGTATGCGTGTCATTGTCATGGGTCATGTTCCACCTTCACCACGTGATTATCGTAAAACTTGCTTCAAGGGGTATTTGGATCTCGCAGCCGAGTATGCCGATGTCATTGTCAGCCATCATTATGGCCATCTCAATATGGATCATTACTTGCTCTATGACACAACGCAGTCTTTTAGTCTCTACAGCCAACCTTACACCTACCTCGATGAAGATGATGATGAAGATGAGCCTGTTTACTCAATCACACGCAATATTGCAAAATACGTTGGCTGGTTGCATGATTTATATTCGTCACTGGATGTTGATCAAGATGTCCTTGAGAATCCACCACCTCAAGTCAAATCACCTCTTGTTGCCATTCAAGTCTCACCCTCCGTTATCCCCAAATACTATCCATCGGTGCGTATTTACCAATACAGCGTGCCTGAAGATGATGGTGAAAAGCAAGAAGGAGATGGCTTTGAGCTGATGAACTACACGCAATATTACGCCAACATCACGCATTGGGAAACGGAGCATCCAGAAGAACCACTCGAATATCAAGTAGAGTACAGCACTCACGACGACTATGATCTTGAAGATTTGTCCGCTTCTAGCCTCTTCAAAATGGCCAAGTATATGGTTGAAGGTGGCAGCGATTTATGGTCTGCCTATACACGCAACATGTTTTTGCGTTCTCAAAATGACACCATCCCTGGTGATCTGGATGACGATGCCTATTAAACCCGATTACTCTATAGCATACCCCCATCATCATCTTCATCATCATCACCTATTCCCTCTCCCAGTATATAGCTCATGTATACATTGCAATTGCTTTTTTCATTTCATCCAAAACCACAAATAACAACTCTATAATATCATCTTAGATATGTGCATTGTGTGTATGTAAAGTGCTGCATGAGCCGAAATGTGTATATATGAGAGAATGTGTGGAGAGAGCGTGTATTAGAGCACAGCCAAAGGGGATAAGCATGGTAAGTGTGTAGAAGTCTTTGTATGTGTGTGTGGGTGTGTGATTGTGATTGTGTTGGGTGGAAAGATGGGATGTGTGTGTGTGTATATATGGGATAGATTGATTGTGTGATTGTGTCGTTGATGAAAATATCTTAAATGTGAGTCTTTTCGAGCTTGTTGACAAGATCATCCTCTGCAGCGGTATCCTTGCTGATTGTCTTTGGTTCCTTAGCTTCAGCCTTCTCAGCCTTCTCAACAAGTTCAGGTTCCTCATCCGTCTCATCTTCCTCATCATCCTCTTCTTCGCTGTCGACTTCCTCCATATCATCCAATTCATCAAGAGCTTCATCATGGCCATGTTCAGCAAGAGCGTCTATTAAGGCTTGAGTCTCACGCATTTCGGGATCGAATTGGTTGCCGTTGAGTTCAACGAGTTCCAACAAGGTGAGATGGGTACGAACAGCTTCAGCAAGGACAAGGATAGCATCGCTGCGGATTTCATTGTATTGCAAATGCAAATGAGTCAAGCCCTTGTTGCTGCCATCACGCAAAGATTCGGCCACAGCGAGACCACCACGCTTGGAAAGCAAACAATCGCTGAGGTTGAGGATTTGAAGCTTGGACCAATTCTTGAGGACACGAGCAAGAGCCTTGGATCCCTTTGCGGTAAAAGTGTTATCTTGCAAATCGAGATGTTCAAGATGCTTGCACTCGGAGAGACCCTTGACGAGCTTGACAATGCCATCGGGGCGGATACCATTTTGTGGCATACGAACAACACGCAAAGTACCATGAGCAGCGAAAGCGGTACCCAAGAAAGGAGCACTACCATCCTCAAGACGATTACGACCACAAATGACAGTATGCAAAGTCGAAGTACGATTCTCGGAGCGTGCCTTATCAGCCCATGCCTGCAAAGCCTTGGCGATCATGGTGCCACCACCAACACCCAAACCATTGTTGTTCAAACGAAGGATCTCCAATGTCGTGTTGTTGGACAAGTATTCGATCAAAGGTTCAGCACCAGCAGGACCAAATGCGTTGTCGCTCAAATCAAGTTCAATAAGAGAAGTCTCGGCAAATGCATCACACAAGGCCTTGAGTGCTTGAGGGATCTCATCCAACAATCGTCCCGTGAAAATGTCAGACAACAACGCCCGCTATAATACATACATACATACATGTATGTTGTGTGTGAGTAGGTATGTTATGTGCACGTGTCATCAACCTATATCTCTTATGCCATCCCCTTTGCATTTACCTTAAGACCCTTTTTACTCTTGAGAGCATCGGCCAAAGACTGAGCTGCTTCAACACCGATCGTGTTGCCACTAAGGCGAATCACTTCCAGATCCTCCATCTGTACAATCGTTTCGACGAATTCCTTGACATCGTCGGCGGTATTGAGTTTAAGACCTTTGCCTTCGATAGAGAACACAGTGTTGGGGGTGGAATCGGCCATGGCGAGAGGAACACAAAGAGAGGGAAAACACTTGAAAAAGAAAAAAAACGAAGCGGTGTAAAAAAGATGGCCCACCCACAAATTTCTCTCTCTCTCTCACCCACCCACCCACATCCACCAAGTCCGTCAAGTCAATGGGATGGTATATAAATCACGCATGTATTTCAATCTCGCAAAGCTCTTCAAATTCCTTGATATAATCATCATTGATACTAGGCTGATGAATCCATATTGATAATATACTAAGCCCTGCTTCTCGACTCTTGATATCCTTGAATCCCTTGTTGCTCAGTAACGATCCAAGTACCCCCATCGCATCCGTATACATGGCCACAATCGATTCAAAGCGTACCACTATGCATAATGGATCAGGTACAAGGTTACCCCCTTCCTTTTGTCATCATTTCTCATTACTTACCATAGGTGCGCATGGGACACGTCTTGAAGAGAGGTTCATGTTCCACAAAACTGTCACCACGGAGATCGCTGGCACGCTTGCAAATGACATGCAGTTCCGATATTTGTTGCCTCATCTTATCATGTTGCTTCCCCTATCATCTTATTAGCCACTACATTCCCCATTCCATATCCTGAATCATATACTCGCCATCTTATCCACCATGCTCGATACCTTGTTGTGATGCTGATCAATCACCCATTGGATCTTTTTGTTATATGCTTGTGTCATGTTGGGATATTCCATGCATAGTGCCGGATGCCAGTAAGCTGCATCATCCACGTATCTTCATTGTAAATGTAACAGCCGTGTTAGTAGCACAACTACGCAAGACCAAGGACGAAACGGAACGCGAACCTGGACTGAATCAAGGCATTGACAAGAGCATTGACATCGGACAAGGTATGGTCACTAATCTCATGCCACGTGGATCGTGCTCGTTTAAAGTCGTATAAGATAGTCTCCAGTCGTCGTTTCAAGGTGTCGATCGCCTGAGCCATGGGTGACAAGAGAAAAGAGGTAGGTTGGTATCTGAGTTTGACAAAACCAAGCATCTTGTTTCCCTTTCTTCAATCGTCCCATACTCAACCATTCGCATGTCTGCAGGTAAACAACGCCAATCTCGTCATGGACTGAATGGAATGCTTACTGGTTTGTTTACAAAGATATCCAGCTGGTGAGTGAGCGATAGATGGGGTTAATATCAATATCGTCAACCTTTCCCTGACACGTATCCAAAAGTCGCAGCTTACAGAGCAACTCGAGGAGCTTGGTCGTGGTATGTTGTGTGTGTGATGATGAAGGGTAAATGCATGGTGTGTTATTGATAACATGGATTAGAATTGTCAACGCATAGCAAGGATGATATCAAGGTGTCACAGCTATTACTGAAGCGTGCCAAGGTCCATGAGCAGCTCGACAATCTCGATCAAGCCCGAGCCGATCTACAAACAGCCATTCAGCGTGATCCATCCAATCAACAAGCCAAAGACGACATTCAACGTTTATATACGCTTTCATCCACCAACACCACAACCACGCCATCATCCGAGCCCAAAGCGACTAAAGAAGATGATGATCCATTGGCTACACGCTTTCAAAAGTACCTTCGCCAAGTGTCAGCATCTGACAATGTGGATTGGATCAAGTCATTTGTCAAGTCAACTGATTTTGTGGATGTGCTTGCAGCATGTGGGGGAGGTCGACCCGACAATCAAGTTTCAGCCTATGCAAGATCCACAGCTTACATGATCCTCACCAAGCTATTCAATCCTCCACCTGATATGCAGACCAATTATCCATTACAGCTGATCATCTCGACATGTGCAGCATGTTTCTCCCAATGCATCGACACCGGCAAAAATGCAGAGAAGCTATTGGCCTATCGAACATTGCACGCCATCTTTGAAACAAGCATGACCATTGGTGCCGCTATCTTGAGTCAGGAGGGTGTTGTGGAAGAAATGATGGATGTCATCGACTTTGAGATTGTATCGGTTCAAACAGCCATGGTGGAAGTCCTTGCTATTGCATCCGCTGATAAGACTTGCCACAAGCTACTTGTCAAACATGCAAGTCAATGGTTGGCATTTACGGCTACGCGTGGCAAGGATGAGCGACTCAAGGCACTCGCAGGGACTACTCTTAGCAAGCTGCAGACACATCAACGCTACCAGGACAAGAATCTTCAGACCAGTAGCAGCGATCAACAAGAGGACACATCACTCCAGGATGCCATGAACAAGATGAATCTCGGTGCAAGTGATTTGACAGATGCCATGTTGGTCACCATCAAGAATTTCAAGACGCAGGATACCACCATGTTGCTCAATGCTATTGAAGGGTTGGCCTATGCATCATTGCAGGCGGATGTCAAGGAGACAGTGGCCAATGATCCAGTGCTACTCAAGAGTCTTGTGACCATTGCTATCAATACGACAGGGGGTGGTGGTGATACCACGACTACTACTACTACCACCAATCACCCACTTCTCTATGGCATTGGCACCATTCTTCGCAACGTGACCATGTACAGGCCTGTGTTGGATGAACAGCAAAAGCAAATGAAGCGATTACGTGATTTGGCCAATGCAAGGAACAAGGGTGGCAATGCAAAAGGTGCCGAAGAGGAGGATGATCCACGTGAGAGTGATACGGCAGTGGAGATACGTGTACGTGCAGCTGTTGAGAGTGGTGCAGCATTGGCACTTTTTGTACTTGCCAAAGCGGGAAGCAGTAGCAGCAATCTACGCATGGTAGCTTCACAAACGTACTTGAATTTGGTGACACCACAAGCAACACGTGGCAAGCTTCTTCAACAAGGTGTGGCCAAGGGATTGATGATGCTTATTGAAACCGGCAAAGACGACCAAGAGCAACAATTGGTGGCTGCACAAGCGATCGCACGCCTTGCTATTACCGCTGATCCACGACTTGCATTTGGTGCACAAGCATCCTTGGATTTGGTACGACCCTTTTTACGACTTTGCAAAGCGGATCAAGCACTACGACAATTTGAAGGATTGATGGCATTAACCAACTTGGCCTCTGTGGATGATGCTGTGCGTTTTCGGATATACAGTGAAGATGGCATGACCGTGTTTGAAGGTTTACAATTGGCATCCAACGAGCTTGTTCAACGTGCAGCAACCGAGATGGTGTGCAACATGACATTTTGTGATCCTGTGTTCGAGTCGTATAGCAAGAGCCCCAATCGTTTACGCTTGCTGATGGTGTTTTCCGATCATGAAGATGCTGCCACACGTCGAGCCGCCTCCGGTGCACTCGCCATTTTGGCTAATAGCAAGGATGCTTGTGAACGCATGGCCAATGTGGATAAGGCTTATGAACGACTCACGCGTCTTGTCGCTCCAGAGGAACCCGCTGATATCCAACATCGTGGTGTCGAAATCATCCGCCTTATGATCCAACATCTTGGCAAGGACGCCGCACAAGGGTTTGCCTCTGAACATGCTCACACCAAATTAACCGATATTGTCAAGAAATCCAATGTGAACGTTGTACGCTCGGCTGCCATGGAAGTACTCAAAATGTTTGTTGAAAATGGTGTTCAATTGAAATAAAAGGGATCAAGCATGTACTTGTGTATATATATATTACTTCGCAGAGGCAGGTTGAAAAGGAAAAATGAGGAAGAGTAGTAGTAGTAATGCAAGATGATAGTCTACTGTAGAATGCTTTTAAAGGGAAATACGACGTTGTTGGCTAAGGTTAATAAGGGATTGTTGGATAGAAGGTAGAAGCGAGGGATACGTTGATTTAAGCAAGTAGTAAGCAGATAATGTAATAAAGCCACCGGTCATCCAAAGCATCCACGAAGACTTGTTTTCAGAGCTAAGAATATGACATCATGTTGTCAGCTTTTGAATTGGTGTATATCAAGCTTCATGAGTGATCACCTTTTTTGGCTGAGCCATCTTTACCTTCTTTGTTTTGGATACTGAAGACCAAGTTCTCCCCAAAATCGCTCCACCATCATTGTCTTTCCTTTCAAGTTTCCAGTCACCCAGTCACCCAAACAAAACCATGGAGTAATAATCATGCCTTGTTGCTGGTAGTACATTGTATGAGTCTTTAGGGCTCTATAATAAAAGGTTGTTGCATGTAGACTTACCTTGCCAAAGGTGATGGCAGAGATGTTGGGTGAGCCATTGTAAACTTTACTTGGCTTGGTGTTGCCCTTGATAGCAGCAGCAATGTTGTTGGTGACTACGCTGATATGGCCACGGGATTTGGCAGCCAATTTTGTTTCTTGCAAATCGGCAGCGTCACCCACCACATAAACGGTTTCATATCCTTGGACATCGACTTGAAGTGTAGGCTTGACCTTGACGAAGCCATTCTTGGCCAACAAGCTAGGATCGATCCATGCAGTATTGGGACGATTACCAAAGGCCACCAATAGCAAATCACAATCAATCTTCTTGCCTTGTTCGGTATGGATGAAAGGGGCAGTAGCAGGAACGTGGATCGACTCATTGTGCTCAGCAGGCAAGGATGGTATCGTATCATTAAAGATCACATGGATATTGTTTTGTCTCATCTTTTCAAGCAATTTCATGCGCGCTTTCTCGGGGATTTCCTTTGATAGCAAGTGGCTACCCCGATGCACAAGCGTGATCTTTTTGTCCTTGTAAGCGCCTCGAATCTCTCCCGAGATTTCAATGCCGGTGGGACCACCCCCTACAATGACAATGGATTGGGCATCTTTGACTTGCTGCCGGACATTAGCAAGGCGTTTGGTGCCCTCTTCACGGCTATTGGTTGCCAACTTGAAGGGATCAGGGTGGCTGGTACCTGTCGCAATAACCTTTAAAAGGAAAGTCAACGTGTCATTCATTGTTCATGGTATGTGCGTGAGAGTAAATCGGATCTGATAAAATCAAAAAAGAGCTTACCGAAAAAGCAAATGGGACATGGTGTGAGCCTTCGAATTCTCGATCAAGATGAATCTGATTAGGCTCCAGTTGCACAACAGATGCTTGCACCACCTGGTTCTTTTTGTGCTTAAAGACGCCCGTGTATGGAATCATGTTGTCGATGTCTTCAACAAGGGTACGTGGAGCAGCCACTGCATGATAAAAGAACTCTCTCTGTATATAGTTGATGGTGTCAGCTGCAACACCTTCATCATTAAAAAGCCCGCATAAGAAGAAGTTGTACCTTTTCGATCAAAATGATGCGGTAGTTGTTATTGTTGGCTATGCGCTTTTCCAAAGCACGAGCGGTGCCTACGCCAGCATAACCACCACCGAGAACAATGATATTTTGCATTCCTGTCATTGTGAATGGGACGTCTAAAGAGCAAGAGAAAGAGAGAAAGAAAAGGTGCGCTTTATCGGGATCCCGATTTCAGGTACTTCTTTTATACCTTGGCTGGAGTCGAATCAACAAAACCCGGCATTCCGGTAATGCTGATTGGCTTACGGAGAATCTCACCCGCTTTACAAGAGTTGATCCATCCACCATCAAAAGCTGGTTAGCACGCCATATACTCCTTGAGATGCTATTGGCCAACTGTATTGATGAAAACATGTTCCTTGACTACATACAAGGTCATGGTAACCTAGCAACACGATAAATCAAAAACATGTCACTGATCCGACGTGAGCGAACACACACGTAAATGCATAACAAAGAGCTCCAAAATGAAAGACCCAAGAAGGTAGTGAAACTTGTATATGTCAAAGATCGCATAGCTGGATCGCTATGTAAACTTAAATGAAATAGCAATAGCCCAAGCAATGGGACTTTTATGATCCTGCACATGTTTGAGAGCTATGTTGGATCATAGAATTAGCGGAAGATCCTTCCTCCTACGAAATGCGGCATACAATGAAACTTGCGTATCACTGCATGACCAAGGTATTACTAATATCATTGCTGAGCTGCCAATGAAAATGAGAGTGAATCATGTAACATAATGACATTGATCCAAGACATACAGCTAATAACACCATCATGATGCTGAGGACATAAAGAGAAAAGAAAAGCACGCAAAAAAGCTTAGTGCTGCTAAAGATCGATATTGTCAATGATGCTTAGGATATGAAATGGCAAATCTGTATGACATTTGAGACACCTTTATGAGCATCGAAATCATTCCCCTTATCCTCGCCATGTATCGGCCCCATTGAAAAGCCCGGTCCTAGTACCCAGTGCACATCAAGCATTAGATGACGCAAATAGCCAATACCGTTTCAGGCATCATGATGGTCCTGCTGTGCTTAAACAATGGCTGTATGCCAACGCTGGAGCGGCTTATTGATGTAACAAACTTAATCACAATAATGGATGAAAATGGTTATAGCATGGAATGCTGCTGCTATTGTTCGTCAAAAAGAAAAAGTCTCGCCATATTATAGTTATCCTCATCTTATCCGGTTGGCATTATGAACCAATATCCTAATGTTAATATGGTGATGGTAATGAGCTGATAAACATCTCAAGTGCATAAATGGCTCAAGCACGGGGGATGGGGGCAAGATCCAGTGCATATGGGCGATAATTATAGAAGCAAAAGGGCACTGGGATGAAAGGACAAATCATATTGATTGTATATACTACGCCCAAAACGTCGTCGTCAGCAAAGTAAACAACAGTGCGGAGAGAAAATCAAAGGGAGAGAGGGAAGCCTTGATGAAGGAGAGAGTTTACGTAAGTGTTGTTGTGGTGGTGATGGTAATCTTGGTTCAAGCCATGCATATGATTTTGTGAGGTGATGTTGGCATATCAAGCGGCACATGGTAGTAGTGTAGTGGTAGGGTCTGACGTATTTCAAAATGGCCGCGACTCGTGTATGGTGTGTGTGCAACCACACTTTACCATAGCAACGGGGCACCATGCACGCGAATTAAGGGACCAAAGAGAAACGAGAGTGTGTGTGTGCTTCAACAGAAGCATCGAAAAAGAAGGTCGTGTTGCAGATCAGGAGACATGGAATCTTCTGTGGTTGCTGGAATGTTTACCAAAAACATGCAGATCCAAACTGAGGCATCCCAACATCCAATCTATGGGCCTGCTGCTCCCCCCTTTATTTCTCTTGGCTGACATTTTCTTGGCAAAAATGGGATGCAGCATGGTATAGGCTGTCAATTGACAGGCTTAAGGATGGTAGTGGGGTGATACCATTTACAAGTCATCATTCTTGCCTTACTTGGGGGTTGGTTTTAAAAAACGGATCATTGTGTGTTTTGGCTCGATCATCATGCCGAGCATTATTGCTTGGCTCTGTCCCACCACTACCGTTCCATTGTGGCGAAAAATCGAAAAAGCCGCCACACTACATTCATTCACTTGCAGTTGGGTTCTGTCACGATCAATTGCTTAGCAACAGGGTGTATCCAAATCGGGTGGATTTTTTGGGGGGTAGCTTGAAAAGGGGGGGTTAAAAAGTATTGTATTTGTTGTTGTAGGTTGGGATCCCACCTATATAAAAGCCATTGTGAGCCGCATCTTGTTTTCCTTTCAAACTCTCTCTCATTCTTACTTTTTCGCATACACCATCTTTCTCATTCATCATTGATGAACACGCCACCCTACTCGCAATTTGACCATCACAATGAAGAAAGCGACGTGTCACCTCTCCTTTCATTAAATCCTATCGACACTCCACCATATTCTCCTTTGGATCTCGAAGACGATGATAGCATTTGGGACAATGATGAAGACACGCTTCTTTTGTCCCCATGTATCGACCTTGAACACGTATCATCAAACACCAACAACGCTTCAACGTCAACGAGTGACATAGTCAATGGCCAACTACGCAGTAATCTTGCAGGTCTTGGCATTACAGCACCACCATCACCGCCTCTGCAGCCAGCAAAGGTGTTGATGTGCGACAATGACGAGCAACATCAGGTGCTGGACCAAGAATTATGCATGGAATCGGATATTGCATCACCATCAACACAATCGGATTTCCAACAACAGCAGCATCATTCAATATCGCTATGGTCGGATGAACGTATATACGATCCTCGATCCTGTAACGATTTGTCGTTTGCACATAATACCATAGAAGAGCATCAACATCTGGAATCCTTGCCATCAGCCGATTTACACGCGCCAAAAAAGTTGTTTTCTTGCACATCCTGTGACAAGAGGTTCAGGCGCGCACATGATGTAGCACGGCATATTAGCAAGGTTCATTACGACCATTAAGTACACACCCACACACCCACACGCACACACACGTACACCAACAGCATCATCAGCATTCATCTTTCGTATACATACGGCCGTTGTTCTATTATACACCACTCATTCCAGCATTTGTTTTTTATTTTGTCACGTAAAGCAAGAGTATATACCCCTCCTCCTACATTTTTCTTGTTACCATGGTTTATTTCCTGTAATTCTATGATGTATGCATGCATTCAATTTCACGCTCGCTTTCTTGTATTCTCTCCTTTCTTTACCAATCTCTCTCTCACAGCCACTATGATCATCTTGTAAAGTTTTTTGTCCTTTCATCTCGTTAACTTAAGCCTTTTTACATAAACAACATGAGATTCCTTAAAACAAGCTTCATACATGTAAAGATAGATACATCCATCATATGATGAATATGCATTACGCCGCTGTCAATTGTATTACATGGAAAGTGCTAAGATGCCCAAAGCAAACTTGCCCCTATTTCGAAGGTGGGGAAATGGTACCATACATCAGGTGAGAGAGGGCATGATGCTATGGGATGTTGCATTTGTAGCATTGTCTCAGCTGTACGTGGTGGTGGTGATGACCATGATGGTAAATGCCGACCACAACCTAAGATGCTTATATGCAGCACCGTGTATTAGGAGAACTTGTCATGAGCGAAAAAAGAGAAGCCTCCCTGGAAACTTCCATTCCGTCATAAAATCTTTGTTTCCTGCATTGTCACCCGCTCATACTTTACCCCATCCTACTACCCGCACTATGACCTACACACACACACACACGTCTATGATTACTACATGTACCCATTTTCCAAAACCCACGTCATAACTTCAATGGTAAACACGCCATGTTGATCCTTAAACTCTCACCTTTCCTTTTCTCACCATGACCTATGGCTAAACCAATAGTCCCCATTGTGCATAATTTACCTGTCATTTCACACCCTGCTGTGAATGAATGCCTTTTTGTTCGTCAGTATTCGATTGCATCCCGTTGTGCAACCTTCGGGGCCAAACACATGTTTTGCATCGCGACGGGCCATTTGGCTCCGACACATGGCGGTTTCTTTAAACAACATGATCGTGTTGATAAATTTAAAAAGACGTCAAAATGATGGGGGAGAGGCATGCTTGTACAAATAATGGAGGACAAAAGGGAAAAAGACTACGACTACTAATAGAGATAAGAGAGTGTGTGATAAGTACAATAAGTGTGAGTATACAATGGTAAATGCTTAATGCAATGGGGGTTTAGGCCGCTTGTTGTGGTGAGGCCGGGCTAATTGGTAGAATGGATGAAGGGGATATAATAATTTCAAAACAAGGAAGCGATCTTGCCCAGCATGATGGGTGTGTATTGATAAAAGGTGGCCAACGACAAGGATACAATGATAAGCAAAACAGCATCTACGTTGAAAAGGCTGTCAGTTTTCAATCCTTCCTCATTCGGCTGGGCCTGTCACTTACTAAACAGGGTCTTTTCCCAAGGTTCCATTACATAGACAGCAGTCATCATCTCATATTGAATGACCTTTTCATAAGCATAGGCGCTCAATGACTTTTGTGCCATGGTGGAAAGAACAGTGGTTGACTCAAGTAAACAGATGAAGAAGCTGAGAGGAGAAGAAAAAAAGTAAAACAACGGGAAAAAGGTGTACATGGCAGGCGGAAACGGTTAAATTATCTCGAATTGCTGGGTTTCACTCACATCATCCGCGAAGGCTCGTGCTTTATCTTTTGGCCGGATGAATGTATATATCATGCATGATGCAATTCATTATCCCGGTACTTGTTCTTGTCCTTCTTCTTCTTCATGTATCCCTTCTTCTTCTTTCCTTACCTTCCTCACGTTCACAACAATCCCATGTATCCATCCTTTGCCAAGTCGCGCATTTTGACACCTGTTGCACAAAGGCAACCATGTATGTAATTCGCTGGTGTTGTTTTCTTTTTTCGGTTTGGAACCGATTAGGATGGATACTCGTACAAGAGATGAAAAACACATCAAGGTGGTACCCAAGTTGTGTTCACAAGTACAAAATGGGTCAAGTGGCGATCGGCATTCAGGTATATCCGACACAATAAAGTGCGGCCGGCGTAGTCTTCTTCCGAACCAATACCATGGGCCATCAGCAAAGATGATCATGCGCCATGTTTATTGTTTCATTGAAAGAGGCGTAGCTTTCATAAAAGGAGGAAGATCCATCATGATGACGATAAAACATGAGATAAAAAGATATGAGAGAGATAAAACAAGTTGAAAATGAAACATTGTTGTGATATGCATGATTTATCAGGTTGTAGATACATGAAGCAAAAAGGGGAGGGAAATGCTTTAACTTTTCAATTTGACATGTGATGAGAATTGGGTGTTGACGGCTTCAAGCACGTGGATTCTTGATTGATCCCAGAGGTAGGTAGGAATGTTGATAGTGGAGTCATTTCGGAGTTAGATGAATAGCAAAGGCCCTCAATACTACAGCCAATGTGTCCTCCATGTCGATGATCCTCTCCGCGCTTGTAGGCTTCGATCATGGCCTTTTGGAACGTCCACTTGGATCGTCGAGATGGGCTTTCGCCTATGTTAAGGTGGTTCGTTATTCTCAGAAGAAGATGAATCGGGCTTGAATGTATACCAAACACGCCGATGACTTGAAATCATATCCCGTGTGTGGCAGCTGCAATACCTTTTCATGATGATTCGCAGTATTTTTCATGCCGCCTTTGTCAGAGACCTCGTACATTGAGAGATCATGCCCATCGAAAAAGACGCAAACAGGTTTCCTCCATATGGCTCCCTCTTGCACGGGTTCTATCGGATAGACCTTGAAAACGACCATTGCTGAAAACTTTGAACTTGCGACGTATGTTCTCTTGTGCTATCATGTATTCAAGATTGCTTAAACGGTTGTCCAATCGATCCTTCTCGGAGGAATACAGCTTCCATTTGTAGTTGTAGCCAACCAATACCAAGTCATCCATGTTTGCATGAGAGCGTTTGGATACATCGATCATATGTAATATCCTTGAGCACGATTGGCAACTTTAACATTCCATCAGCAGAAGCCTTCGTTTGATCTTTGTTAACACCTCCGATTCCTAGACAACATTAGTCGGAGGGTCTTGCGGCGTAAACGCAATCAATCTTCTTCCCAATTTGCCTGTTGTACACTTTGCTTGTACATTTGAGGAACACCTGCTCCGCACCATCCTTTCTTGAAGCTCAGCTGGTGCCCAAACGTATACCACAAAGGATCAATCAAGGGATAAAAAAGACAACAATGACACAAGTGATAAAGGATAGAGGATAAAGAACTACAAAGATGATTACAAAGAGCAACGGATGAGCTATTTATGGCCTATACCAATCATTAAACAGCTCTTCATTATCACTTACCAAATAGCAGGCTCTTGTTGATCTATGCGATAGACGAAAGAGATGTGCGATCAAGTTGATGACAACAGCCTTGCTTATGTGTACTTGGGCGTGTGAATTGTGGTATGCACACAAGAACAAAGGTGGTCATGATAAAATGGTCAAGCATCGTCTTAAGATTACTGCGTCAAAAAGTGATCCAGCAGCGTCGATAGCTGATAAATCAACCCACCACCATAGGTAGCGTAGGGATGCCCATCCTAAACATGATTTAGCTTTGGCCACCTATGCATGCTACGGTGATTAGCCCATGTTTACCTTCAGGTTATGATTTATACAATAACAATCAATCACGCCAAGCACTTTGTGCATGCGATCCAACAATCTATCAGCTCCTCAGCATTCCCAACAAACTTTTTATCATCCTTTTGTGACCAAGTAAATACCCACGCCCACCATACATATAAAAGGATGATGTCGCCACACATCTTCTTCATCCATCATATCATCCTTTGATTGCTAGCACCTTAAAACGCAAGTTGATGTGAGTATAATGATGTTCTTATTTTGTGGTTGATTCATGGACTCATTTGTGATGATCTTTAGCCTTTCATTATTATCCTATTCTCATCGTCATTGTTGTCATTGTGATGTTTGGCTCTTTTATTAAGGTAAAACCTAATTGTCTTGCTTGAAGAAACACATGCTCACATTCTTTTGACGCAGTTACATACCAGCACCTGAGGAACAAATGCAAAGCTGGATTAGGTGGCATACCACAGCCTGCATGGAGTTGATATAGAGGTTTCCACCATTGCACATGCAAGCGAATCAACAAAACAGATGCCTATCAGCTGTAGAACAAATACAACCACACAAGACACGGGAAGAAGATGGAAAGCGAATACATCTTAGGACCCCTTGAACTAGGCTGTCTATGTAGAAATTGGAGGGATTAGCAATGACCAAACGAAGGCCTAGTCCAAACTGGTAATCGTTTTGTATTGTGAATCAGTGATAATGCCCTAACATTTCTATGTCGCTAGAAAAATGCAATGGATGCTTACAAATTTGCTCAGCACCTTGACCATCATCCTATAACACAACCTCTGCTTGCTTGGCAATACTTATCAGTGGCAGCATTGTCTTACCGATTTCTGAGGCGCAATTCCGATGACATGACCACCCACCTTGAGAGTGACAAAAGGGGATTGATATACCCAGACGCTCGCAAGCAAATCTGGATGACTTGGTACTGGTTGTGTATAACATCAGTGGTAAGTTTCCTTCCTCTGCATTCATTCGAGACATCTAAAATCTTACCATCTTACCATAGTCGAAAGCGTCTCAATGTTACAGATGTATGCTCCAAAAGGCTACGTATGCCGTGTTCGCCGGATACAAGAAGTGTTGTACCTTCGAGCGATACAAATTGTACTTCATGTATGTTTGGATTGTTAAAGCTAGCAGCCATGGGAAAACAAGTAATGGAGGATACGTTGGCTGTGATTGACAATACAAGGGGTATTGGTGTCAACAATCCTTTAGCGAATCTGGTGTTAACTCCTTGCTTTCATCTGCAAATCATCAACTTCAACATCGCCAAAGTCATCAAAGAGACAAACAGCCCAATCATAGTCAGATTTCTTTATGTGTACCTTTTACAATACATCTTCCCACCCAGCACTACTTTGTTCTATCATGTAAAAATGACATCTCATCCCATCGCTCTACATTTCTCAATACACTCTTGTTGCTTTGCTTTTCCCAATGAACAATCGTCTTTCCAAACACTTGCTTACGCATGCCAACAATGCCAAGTACTTGTTGTAACCAGCCATTCGCTTTTCACCAAACACGATCGTAGACCACACCCATCACCTAATGCTTCCCATTGAGTGTAGCCATGGCAACATTCGCCCTTGAATACCGATTCCACCCTTCCAGAGTCACTGCATTCGTGTTGCCACGTATTCCTATGTCGGTGCCACACTTTTTGATATCGTATCATTAGCCAGCAACTTGTCAACATTGAAAACGGTTACAAGTAACTTGAAGGGACCAACACACGCTTGCGCTATCGATACCAAGGCCCATCAGCTTGCTCAAGAGTGCTATCAAGCCTCATCGTCTTTAGTATGTTTTGCTGTCAATGTCACCATGTGGTCATCAAGTACACGTTTCAGCATATGAAAATTGCGTCTCTCGTCCGATCCGAAACCCGACACCCACCACTGGCATGTGCATTTCTTTCACGATACACACGCACTCTCCCTGTATCAGACGCCTTGGTGATAAGAGCACTTTTGCTGATGCCTTCATCGATGTTGCCAACACGACAAGGAAAGAAGAGCAAGTCTGTCATCAAGTTGTCAAAAACCATCACGCGACTCTTACGCATAGTGTTATCTTGCAGATCGGCTTGATCTAAAGGGGAGGAGCATGAGGTTGGCTTTGATTACAACAAATAATAAAAAGGTGGTGCAGGCGCATGCATATCAATAACATTGTACTTGTTACGCATATTTGGATATACAAATCGGGCGTGAGAGTTGAGGATGATCCTATTTCGAGGAGGAGGGATGTCGTCTCGGGGATGAAACTTGACGTGAGCTGGAGCATGAGCTGTTTCAAAGAAGTTAATATTGGTTTTGTGTGTGTGTGTGTGTGTATACGTGTGTACTAAACGCGTGATCACGGCAAAAGGGTTTTTCGGATCCCTTATTTGTAGCAGTACCCAACAATGAACAACATGCTCATTCTTTTTTATTTGACTTGCATCAACATTTCCTTCTTCTCTCTTTTGTTTCTCTTACTTTTACTCCTTTTTCCTCTCTTGTATCGTAGTAGTACATAATGAAGTATTCTCCATGGCTGTGGCTTTTGTTTGTATTGCTTTGCAGTATACGAGCATGCTATCTCTATTGGTCATCCACAAGAGAGCTCCGTGGTATGGATAGCACCATTCCATGGCCATCCTCATTCCGACAACATCATCATACCGAAAAGCAGCAGCAGCAGCATCTTCCTAAATCATCCTTGTCAATGTCAAATGACACCGTTATTGGATCATCCCCATCCAACATGTTTTACTTTACACAGGTACGTACATGCGATCCTTTCCGCCACCAACAATGAACCCGCATTGCTAATATGGATGATAGATCTCGGATCTTCATATTTCAAAGTATCGGTTTCGAGGACATACGCTTCATTTTTTACATTTTGTACAATCCGTACTCCCCATGATCAAGTACGTTATGGAAAATGTTTGCGTGTTTATGTCAACATGCTAATAACATTTACATCTCAGACCCCGTTTTGTTGTTGTCACAGGCGACTTGACAGATGCAAAGGACGTACGACGTGTGACATCTCAGCAGTATCAAGAAGAATGGCAGGTGTATCGTCAAACGATCGAACAAGGAGCACCTGCCATGCCATGGTATGACATGCGTGGGAACCATGACTGTTTTGGTGAGTGTGCTTATCATCGTTTTGGTATCCTTCTTATCAACAACTTTTCAAACAGACTTGCCTTCATGGCAATCGCATGTGAATTTTTATCGCACCCATGGCAAAAGTGCCGACTTGGTGGCAACAGGCCAAGGTATCTATTCATGGCAAGTCAAGGAACCTTTTGGCAACTATCAATTTGTTGCTATTGATGCATGGCAAGTGTGGGATCAGCTGACATGATGAAGATACACATATAGGCTAATTGTTTTACGTGTATGTAGTCCTAAACGTGGTCCATCACGCCCTTTCAACTTTTTTGGTTATCTCACGTCAAAGACAATGGATCGACTTGCAAGCGCATTGAAGCCGGCATTTAATCATACCTTTGTGGCAAGTATGGGGATATTGCTGTTGCCTATATAGTGCGAGGGAGCTGATCTTCAAACGGTCCATTCATTCCTCCATCTCTCAAAAAAGTTTTCACATTATCCTACGACAACCATGGTGTTTGGTGTTTCAAGTAAAGGTCTCGGGTTCCGTGATTTGGCCAAGCAATACAGCGTTTATTTTTGTGGCCACCTTCATCGTCTTGCTGCAGGTACGTAAAAAATTTCATGCGGATCATGACAACGACGCATTGCTAACATTGTTGGATGAAGGATTGGGGGATGTGCTCAAATGGTATGATCCCAAGGGTGAGTCATTGGAGCTCGAGCTTGGCGACATGATGGTCCATGGCATGTATCGTATTGTGGCTGTGGATCATGACTTGATCTCCTTTGTCGATGTCGAATTGCCACGTAAACAACTTGCACCTCATCCCGTGATTCCATTGACACCTGCTGGCAACATTATTTGGCCTGCAGCTATCAAGCCTGCACCCATTGTACTCATTACAAATCCAAAGGATGCTCGTTTTGCTATGCCAACCAAAGAACCATTACATCGTATCCAATCCAGCAGCCATATACGTTTTCTAGTTTTCACTTCCTCAGGTGATGGTCATGATGATGATGATGATGCTCTTGGTGATGGTAGTGGTAACAACAACGTCACTGTGCATATCAGCATTGATGGTGTGCCACATCCACATGCAGCTACCCAATCATCAGCCACGCTATGGACAGCACCATGGGATCCTTCTACCCTTGATCCACGGCGTACGCACACAATCAAGGTTCAAGTAACAACACCGGATGGTCAAACAGGCTCTTCATCAATTGTTTTTCGCCTTGACAACCAACGTGTCAACATCAAGGGTGGCCCTGGCGAGTTTATTATCTCATCCAATATGGCTATTGTGGTCAGTAGTATTAGTATGGTGATTGGGGATTGTTGTTGCATCATGTTGCTAACCTGTTGCTATGGTAATAGTTGCAAGGCTTTACCCTCATTGGTATTGCTGCCATGTTGACAGCCCTCATTGTTCCCAAATTTTATGATCGATCAAGGTTTATGCAACTTGTTCAACGTATCCATCAGCATCCAGAGAGCACATCAACATGGCACGTATGGGTAGCACGCCTTTTAGCTATGCCGCATGAACAACGTTGGTGCTGGTTTGCTACAGTGCTATTTTTATTAGCCTTGTTGACGTTGCCATGGTTTCGAGCCGAGTTTATTCCATCCGGCACTCTACCACATGAACGATACGGCACATTTTACTTGTGGGGTTTACGATTTGCGCATGAATGGGTTCCCATTGCCGACACGTGGATGTTTGCTGCTGGTCAAGTGTGGCTCGATGTTGCTGTATTTTTCTTAATCTTTTGTTGGCGAGCTGCTGAGGATGCTTGTTTATGTGTTGGTTCACCAAAGCAAGCTACAAAAAGACCCGTTCACGAGCAAGCATGGTTCCGTGGTATTGTTGTCATTTATTGGTTATGGCGTGTCTCCGAACTCGTTGCCCTTGGATCGTTCTATGGTGGTATCAAGACATTGCTGGTGTATAATCTTCTAGTCTTTTGGTTGATTTTTGTCGGCTATATGCTCTGCTGGGGAAAAGGCGGCATCTTTCTCGCACCAAGACAGCTACCAGTCATGTGTCCTATTTGTGGACGTGAGAATACCAACATACTACTCAAGGTTGGTGGTGGATCATCTGCATCGGAAACGGCTGTTGCGGCAGTTACTGCAGCTATTGAATTCTCTGAAGAATCCAGTGGATCAACTTCGTCCACTCCATTTAATGGTAGTCCTCGAACAAAGAATCGAAAACGTGCTTTTAAGATGACAGGGACTAGTTGAGCTTTATTTTGAATCAATTGTCTATAAACATTTCACCTTATTCCAAAGATCAAATAATATAGAGTTTGAATGTTATCACTAGCATTGGTTTTCATGTGTAAACTCCATGGAGGAGGTCCGTGCGTTAGGTCGCACAAGACTGGGCCTCTTTTTTTTCCTCCTCCGCCATGTTTGAAAATGCCGCTTGTTGCCCTGTGGCCACTGCTCCCTTCAGCTGCATATAAATTAGTTGGCCATGGTACTATGCAAGATCTCATCCTATCATGACATCTCCAAAGCACTTCATTTTATGAATCAGGAATGTACATCTTCCCACGACTGTACGCGTTGGTGCTGATTTATGAGATAGCAACATCACTTTTAGTACCTTGATTCACTCAAGAGGACACCATTGGGTAAATGACTAAATCTAGTTTTATTGGAATATCTTTCAAGAGGTGTTTTGAGTTATGTCCACATGATGAATGAGGGCTATTCATGGCTAACAGGTGTACAATAATGTGTGAAGGAAATTTGATGACATGAGCAAGGGCCACATAACCAATTTTTGCCACTTTGGCCATGCCTTGCACTATCTCTCTCTTTCTTTCTTTCTTTCTCCAATCAAAGCAGATCTTGGTCACTAAGCCTTGCTTTCCCTCACTCTTGGTCCCCATATCTCATTCTTTGTCCCTTTTCATTATAACATAGGCTTTTGTCCTTGTCGCTTTGTACTTTCTCTTTTCCGCTCTCTCTCTCTCTTTTTTTTTCCCTCCCTTCTCACTTTATCCTTTCTTTTAACCCACAGCCTTTGCATTGACAAAAAGGTAAGTGACCATTGACATGTATTGGGTAGGCAAGGTGGTAATGGGTGATTTAGCTCCATGTCTCAAGTATCCGCCTCCACACACACCAGTCATTCTGAATCGATTGAAGGGAGCAATGAAGTTTCACGAGCAGAAGGCAATCCACCACAAGACCTCGCGTTGGATGAGCAAGCTGTAGCAGATGAGCAAGATCAGTTGACGTTACGCGCCTTGGTGTCTACCAAAGAAGCGGGTGTTATTATCGGCAAAGGTGAGAAAAGGATATCAAGGGGGAGGAGGGGAGTGGGGACGTATTGACAATCTAACCTTATCCGATCACACGCACTCTTGTGTTAGGTGGAAAGAATGTAGGCGACCTTCGAGATTCTACAGGTGTTAAAGCAGGTGTATCCAAGGTGGTACCTGGTGTCCATGATCGTGTATTGACCGTGACAGGCAGCTTGGATAATGTAGCCAAGGTAAATCCACGCTATGATAAATTTTGTGCATATATCAAACTAATCCCACTTTATCTTCACAAAAGGCATATGCATTCATCACTCGAACGCTGATTGATAACCCACTTGGTCCTGCTACTCCACCCACAACACCTGGTACAGCTGCCAGCCATGATGATATCAATTCTGTCACTGCTACTTCTTCTACTACAACAACATTAAGGCTACTTATCTCGCATAATTTGATGGGTACGGTGATTGGTCGTCAAGGTGCCAAAATCAAGCATATCCAGGATACATCAGGAGTCCGCATGACAGCATCCAAAGTCTTGTTACCCCAGAGTACTGAGCGCGTTGTGGAAATCAAAGGCACCGTGGATGCCATCCAAACAGCGATCCGTGAGATTGGCCAATGTTTGCTTGAAGACAAAGAGCGCGCTTATGGCACCATTCTTTACAATCCCACCAAGGCGACCAATACTGCAACATCATTACAAGATCAACAGCAAGCATCACGGCGTGTGAGCACATCCTCCATCTTACGTACTGGGAACGGATCCGATTTTGCGGCTGCTATAGCTACCAATGGATTTGGCAACCAGCCATCCTCCTTATCATCACTCTCAGCAAGCGGTGGCAGCAATACGGGTGTCCCTCGTAGGTCATCCCTTTCAGCACTTAACAATGCCAACCTTCGTACTCAACACATTTCTATCCCAAGCGATATGGTCGGCTGTATCATCGGTAAGTTAATATGACAGATGAAGGATTTAAACAAAAAAGGTTGACATGACAACGGTTGTCTAGGCAAGGGTGGTAACAAGATAGCCGAGATTCGCCGATTATCAGGATCACGTATTTCCATTGCCAAGATGCCCCATGATGAAAGTGGCGAGAGAATGTTTACTATTCAAGGCACGGCTGAATCCAATGAGCGAGCATTGTATCTCTTGTATGGTCAATTGGAGAACGAAAAGGAGCGTCGTTTAAGAGGAGTCTTACCGCCAACTACCGATGGTCAACAAGATGCCTTGGTGTTGGAAGTTGAAGATGTGGGACAACCAACACCAGCTGCATTGTGAATGTTCTTTCAACGCCATCCCCACACGCCCCTGATTTTTGATCACAGCAACACACACACGTCTTGATATACATACATCCCTCCCCTTCCATTTATTCTATACATATTCTTTATCCATCCAGATCCAAAGCTCATTTTAAATTACCCCTCGTCCCCTGCTGTGTTCAGTAAAGCACGATCAGATATCCACGATACAAATTATAAGAACGTACAGGGATGCTTTCTACTATGATCTACATACATGTGATTGGATGAGCTTGCAGCAACAATAACGAGTGAATATCTCCTTTTAGGTATAAATGCACTCTATCATGTGAAGCAACTTTCTCATCATCCCCTTGGAATCAAATGGCCTATGATGTATAAGATAAAGAGGCAATGTCTTTATTTCCAATCATCGTAGTAGAATCATCACGTATACATGTAGCTAGGATAAACTAGTCTCTTGTTGTGTATTATGCATATTCGTAAAAGTGAATCATTGTTGTGTAGGATCAATAAAGGTCCCCAAGTTTCAGCACAGTAGCGCGTGATTTGATCTCTCTCTCCTCTTGTTCGCTTTATCCTGTATCACGACGCTAGGCAACAAACGAACACAGCCTCCATGCAAGATCCTGTTGTCATTCAGCGATCGATAGGCAGTAGCCCTGATAGCAACACACTTTCAGAAACAACCGTTGCTGCTGCTGCATCGTCTTACGAATCGACCAACTCAACCATGAGCGATCCAGTCAAGAGCTACAACAAAATACGTCGACAAGGTTCGAGAAGTTCGGTTTTAGCCAAACAAGCTGATACTGGCAAGTCGATCGCCCTTACTTTACACGACAAGACAATGACCTTTTGCCCATGTAGATGCCGGCATGTCGTCTTGGGTACGCCATAAGAAGCACTTTTTTATCCTAAGCAGTGCGGGAAAGCCGATATGGACCAGGTAACGTGTGGGTAACACATGGGGATTGTTGTTGTTGTTGTTCCTAACGACGACGACTATCAGATATGGAGATGAATCGCGAATATCGACATTGATGGGCGTTATTCAAGCTATCATTTCTTTCTTTCAAGATCAAGATGATATGATAAAGTAAGTGATGGTAGCGGGTTGTTGCAGCCATGATTGATATGTGTCAAGCGTAGATCCATGAACGCGGGTCGCCATAAATACGTCTTTCTACACAAGGACCCATTGTACTATGTCACGGTATCGAAGACGGGTGAATCGGATGGGCAGGTAGGAAGATGATGTGGTTAAAAAAATGGAGGGTAGGAAGCTAATATCGATGATCTTAGCTACGCGACCAGCTCTTGTACCTGCATAATCAGATCCTGAGTGTATTGACGAGTGTGCAATTGACAAGGATATTCGAGCAACGCGTGAATTTTGATCTCAGGCGTCTTTTGGGTGGTATGTGTGCAGCATGCATGTGTGGGTAAAATGGATGACTTATTGGATGTCTTGTAAAGGAACGGAGGTGTTTTTGGATAGCCTTTCAACTTTATTCAGCCAAGACCATGGATTCATGCTATGTGCTTTGCAATGCCTTCGTTTATCCAGGGTGGTGAGAGATCAATTGGGTTCTATATTTTCGAGTGGTGGCAAAGTCAAGGTAAAACAAGTGGAGGGAGGTATGGATCGAATGCTCATCTATACTATCCAGGGGCTTTTGTATGCAATGATCGTGGCCAAAGGCCAATTGGTTACCTTACTGCGTCCTAGGAAACATAGTTTACATCCTGCTGGTAGGGTATTATTCACTCTTAGAATGAGCAATTGTTGGATACTAACAACATGGCGATAATTATAGATCTCCATTTGCTATTCAACATGTTGACAGGCTCGACAACCTTTGATCTAGCAGAATCGTGGACGCCGCTTTGTTTGCCCAAGTTCAATTCCAAAGGATTTCTCCATGCCTACATTTGCTATATTGCACCAGACGTTTCTATCGTTATGATTAGCACGGACAAGGATCGCTTTTTTGATATGAGTGAATGGAAGAGCACATTGGTGGAGGTACGTGTAAAGATTCTTTTAGAGGGAATGTGGAATCTGATCCAATTTGCTATATAGACAATGAAAGCTCGGAATGTTTTGGATAGCGTGATTGAAGCATCTGAAAAGCATTATACAGTAGGTAGGTATCTATCGCATCAACGATAATAGCTCCATTCCATTAGACGCTCAAGCATTTTTTAGATGATGTCGGTGCTCCAGGTCTACTCCACTTTTTGTACAAGAGTAAAACGCATGTGCAGTTTACCTGCCCCAACTTTAGTGGTCCTTATACCAACAATAGTGGCAACCGCAAGAGGTAAGTTGTGAAGGATTCAGTCACTGGGAGGTTCCCAAACTCATCATCATCCACCTTAAGGTTGCACCGCTTATACCATTATGCTTATGACCGCATGCATTGCCGAGCACGTCCAATGAAATTGTATTATCATGAAGCTGACAAGGAGATCTTGCTAGGATGGGTAAAGGAAAATTGGGATGGGAACTTTAACAAGGATGCTAAGAACAATGGATACTAGATTACGTCCTCTTTTGAAGTCTATGTTGTATTTACTCCTGATACACCCAAATCGAGCATCATTTCGAGTTCCAACCAGCTCTTACGATGGATAAAACGCAACGAAGAGAATCTTTTTATTGTAAACTCGCCAGTATTTTAGAATTTTTCATCTCCTTCTTCCTTTTCACGAAGATTCATAATTTCTACTTGTCCCTTGCCCTTGAGCTCGCTTTGTAACAATTCATTGATCTGTCGGTATTTGCCAGGATCCACCAATGCAATCTATAAATGGAAAGAGTCAATTCACCTACCATCATGATGACCACCTTTGTTTTGCCACCACCTACCAATTCATATTCGCCAGCATCAAAGTCTTCATCTTCAATGGATGTCATCATGGGATGTAACTTTTCACGCAACTTTTTGGCTTCCTTGGTTTGAGGGAGTGTGAGACGAATACGCATTTGGGCTCGTTGAATGGGTAAAATCTGCTTTTCCTGGAGTTGCTTAATGACATCGAGTGCTTGTGATTTGCTGCTGCGTTTGGGGTTGACACTCAAGTGAAGATCTTGCATGGCCTTTTCAATCATGGTCACCGTATAAGGTCGTTGGTTTTGTGGATTGACGCAGTTGTCAGTGACGATGGTTGCAATATCTCTCCACATGCTTTCCAATTGGTTTGTGCGTTCCTTCTCTGCCACTTGGAGTTCACCCTTTTTCAAGATCTATGCTTTTCAACATGAATCCTTCCATGTTCTTTCTCTCTCTCTCTCTCCTCGATTGTATTACAATACCTGCTGAATAACACTATCGAGATCATCGGTCTTGAAGCACTTTTGTAAATCATCCTTGCTCGCTACTTGGCCTTTGGATACGTTCATGAATACACTGTGGATTTGTAATACTTCATCGAGGTCGGTTTCCCTATGGGCTTATCGTTAAGATGCTGCCTGCATGATCCTTCAAACCTTGTATGAGATACTTACACATTGTTGCGCCACTCCATAACTTTGTTCTTGTAACAGGCCAGCTCAAAGCGCTTGCCACCTTTCCTTAACCGTACCACCGAGACATTGGTCAATCTAGATCACGCATGAGTTACTACTCGAGGGTTGTTTTGGAACGGTAAGGCACCGATCGTACTTGATTTGTGAGTTGGGTTGCTGAATCACCATTGTATTGTTTGTGTGTTGTAGTTCTTTTTTAGTTGAAAGCTAAAGCAAGAAAAAAAAAGTTGCTGCGACGTATTGGGTGCGGAATAAAATGCGGTCTGCAAACAGCCAAGGTTGCACAAACAGTGATCCAGAATCGCATGGTCCATAGTGATGATGGAACAATAAGGTCTCTTGCTCTCTCTTATAGATAGCTGTCTTAATCTGGTTGTATCATGAATATTAGAGTAGGGGTGGTGATAGCACCATCTTAAATGAATGTATACGTTGTAGCACTACATGCTGGCTGGCGTCCCGGTCATCACCAACAATCCTGCAAATGTTCGATTTTAGGGGGTGTGCATGTGTGTATGTGTGTGTGTATGTGTGATGGGGGTTGAATAGTAAGGGCATGAACAAACGAGTGATGACCACATGGCCTATTTGATATTTAAAGCAAAAGCGTGAAACACTCCAACCTGCCTCTTTTTTCTTCCCTTTTCCTCTTTTTTCCTTCTCTCACTACTACAACTACTACCATGCCTGAGAAGCCAAAGAACCAGTTTATTGTCGCAAGTATCCATCATTGACTCATTCTCCCATATACACGCGTCTCTTACATCATCTCTCTACATACTCTTAGGATTTCTTGATGGGTGGTGTGTCGGCTGCAGTGTCCAAGACAGCAGCTGCACCTATTGAGCGTGTCAAGTTGCTTATTCAAAACCAAGATGAAATGATCAAGCAAGGTCGATTGGCATCACCTTACAAGGGTATTGTGGATTGCTTTAGCCGTACTGCCAAGGACGAAGGTGTGATTTCCCTATGGCGTGGCAACACTGCCAATGTCATCCGTTACTTTCCCACCCAGGCTTTGAACTTTGCTTTCAAGGACAAGTTCAAGCGTATGTTTAACAAGGACAAGAATAAGGATGGCTATTGGGCTTGGTTTGCAGGCAACTTGGCGTCAGGTACAGTATAGTAAGACACCAAACTTTACACACATGCTTACATCATTCATGTATTGTATAGGTGGTGCTGCTGGTGCCGCTAGTTTGTTCTTTGTGTATTCACTTGACTATGCCCGTACGCGTCTTGCCAATGATGCAAAGTCTGCTGCCAAGGGTGGTGAACGCCAATTCAGTGGTCTTCTCGACGTGTATCGCAAGACACTAAAGTCGGATGGCATTGCTGGTCTTTATCGTGGTTTCAATGTATCCTGCGTGGGTATCATTGTGTATCGTGGTCTATACTTTGGCATGTACGATTCCCTTAAGCCTGCTATGCCTCAAAATCTCCAAAACAGCTTCTTGGCTACCTTTTTGCTCGGCTGGGCCGTGACGACAGGTGCAGGTCTTGCTTCGTATCCTATCGATACGGTGCGTAGACGTATGATGATGACGTCTGGTACCGCTGTCAAGTATTCGTCTTCCATGGCTGCATTCTCTGAGATCGTCAAGAATGAAGGTGCTCGATCGCTCTTCAAGGGTGCTGGTGCCAATATCTTGCGTGCCATTGCTGGTGCTGGTGTCTTGTCTGGTTACGATAAGTTGCAAGTGCTTCTCTTTGGTAAAAAGTTCTAAGACTGGAAAAGGGATTTCCTTCTCTCCCCCCTCATCCCTCCCCCAGATATAAGAAAGAAAAAGAGAAAGAAATACAAATCCTTGTATGATGTCTATTACATGTCCCTTGTCGCTTCGTATCGTGTATGCGTACATATGCAGTGCGCGTACGTGTGATTTCATATGTGTGTTTTTGTGTATTGTTATTGCTTTTAGTGAGCGTGTGAGAAGCTTGACGCTTTACCCTTTTTGACAGGATCCGTAACGCGCCCAGTATTTCTCCATTTTTCCATCACTCTCTTGTATGAATCCATTACCACCATTAAGAACCATCCCATAACACGTATCTTTTCCTGTAGTTGATCCGTGCACAAATGTTACGCGTTACCCATACGACACGTCCCACATGTGTACACACACAAGCAAACCTCCCCTTCTTTTTCCCTTCCCTCCCCCGATCCAATTGCTTGAAGGTAATCACTCATGTTGCTTGGATGTAAATACAAAGATGCATATTGATTGTGTAAAAGCGCATGATGGAGTAAATGACAAGGATTCTATTTTACTTGGCTTCTTGTTTTTCCAATTGAGCAATGTACTTTTCCACATCAAAATCAGGGCTCTCGATATCGACTATTTGACGAGGGGAGATTGTTGATGAGAAACATGTACAATGTATTGTCCATGTGTATGGATCGCGTACCTGATACGACATCAACGACAGCAACTGGGTTCTTTTTGGCAGCATAAGCGCGTTTGGCCTCCTCAATCAATTGTTCCTTATGCTTGTATTCAAGTTGTCGTTTCTTTTCTTCGGCTTGCTTTTGCAAAGATGCGTTGTGTGAATAGCCGTACACAAGACCGAAAGCGAGGGCAGACCAACGACCGACCTAACGACCATAGGAAAGCCATGTCAACATGTCAATGTAGGTGTATGTGCTGACTATTCAATGGGCGTTTCAATTACGTTAACAAAAGCGCTGTTCACCATGTTGCTGACGTGTGAATGTAAAAGCCGAGTATGGAGAGAAAGAGAGAGGGGGTTGTGTGGTGTGTGCGTGTAGGACGAACCAAGAAGGAAAACCAGGGGAGAAAGAGATCCAGTAAACCGACACGACATACTCCGGTGGTGGAGGCGACTTATCAACGACGTCATTCCATGTGTGAAATCAACTATATTACGTAGGAGCTGTATAGTACTAGTAGTCTAGCTGTATAGTAATAATAGCTCTCTATAAAACGATGATGGGAAATCAACATGAAATACACATGATAAACAAAGAATCCATGTATGATTTTACTATGTACGTGGCGTGAGTCTTTCATGCATAGGCAAAGGTTACCACGCCACTTTTTGGAAGGGCATTTGGATGATGGTGGGATTTATTCTGCGGCGGTTGCTATGCAATCTCTCCGATGAAACACATCATGGCTCCGATAAACGATGATGACCACCCATTTTCGCAACAGGTCGCTTTGGAAGGATAACACAAAGTCTAGAAATGAACAGGGATTATTCAATTGGACAAGGGAAGCCATTGTTTCAGTCAAGACAAGGAAAAACATGAAGAATAATCAACGAAGAGGGGTTAAGGAAGGGGTTATCGATACTATTCCTATTCCACCAATCCGATCCATTGCCGCATAAAGGTAACACAGATGCTCTCACACCCACTTATGTTCATCTTGGATTAAACACTCATCGGTATAAATACCAAGAACAGAGAACTTTCCTTCCATTTTCTTTCACACACACACTCATTTTTGTGCCCACACACACAATAAACGCCCAATCATGAAGGCTGAAGAACAGAAAAACGCTACTGGCAACGATCATCGAGAAACACCAACACCACCTCCAGTCCCTCCACCAACACCTTCACCACAATCTTCTCGTAATAACACTTCACTACTTTCTCCTTGGTGGTCTGAATCAACTCAACCAGAAAAGAAACCCGCCAAAGGTCATCACTTGCTCATGCACTTTACTCGCATCGTCAACGGCTCAATAAAAGACAACAACGACAGCAACAGTAATAGCAATACACCTCTTTTTACCGAGCAGTGTGTGTTGCTCACAAAGCAAGATCACTCATCGTCCACTACCACAACCGACCCACAGCATTCCACATCTACCAGCAATGGCATCAAGTTTCTTAATGACAAGCAGCAATCCGACTGCCGCATGGTGTGTTTATTGCGAGAGAACCAAGAAAAACGGAAGGAACAGCAAAAAGCACATGGCTCGTTTCTCAATCCATTTCATGGGCTATGGATTATCGTAGCTACCACTCAAGCACGATGTTTAGAGCATACAGCAGGTAACAATGAAATCAAATTGAAGAAGCCCTTAGATCCATCCACTCATACGTTGTGTATTTTAGAGAAAGAGATTACCAAAAAGAACCAGTAAGTAGTAGTAGTAGCAGCAGCAGTGTCTGGCGGCATATGAACAATCCACTTACTCGAGACGAATCTTATCTAGTGCTGACTATTACACAATCAACCTCGGAGAACGATTTAGCGGATCAGGAGATGATGGTACGTCGAGTTTTTTTCCCCTCTCTCTTTAGAGTGAAATTGTAATTGATGTCCTCGATAGTGAAACGGATGGTGACCAAGCTATTCGCACCTACGCAAGAATTGACACGACGCTACATTCAATCATGGGAAGATGGCACGCAATCCGCATTTCTATCCAAGTTTTGGGAGAGCGCTGTACGAGGAGATGCTTTTCAATTGGTCCGTGACAGCACGCGAAGACTCTTCAAGATGGCAAGTGGAGGTGATAAAGACGACAATGGCAAGGACAATCGAAGTTGATAATGTAAATGCCGCACTTCCTTCCCTTTGCATTGGTTGTCATCATTCTTCAATACGCTCTTTTTTTCTCTCTTTCATATTCATTCCTGCATACCCGGCCAACAACACTTGTTCCTTTTTCCTTTATATATCATTGCAACGTTTACATATTTGTCAATACAATTCTCCCCATTGGAATCATCATGAAATACATATTGCAAACCTTCTTTCTTGGCACGTTGGATGCTCCCAAGAGAAGAGCCAAGCATGAAGCCATACCTGGTGGCCTGAGCGTGTGCATGTAGACATGATCCAGCAATACGGGGCGGCTAAGGGAAGGGCCCCAAGTTTTTTTCACACGAGGACATCATGTGATTGGTAGAGCAACTGGATTCACGATTAGGAAAACAATGACGGATATGGGCGGTGTTTGCCAGCATGCCAATGTGAATTGCCGAGGGTGGTACAATCGCGACAAGACGTGCCAAGGTTTCTGCCTAGGCTTCGATCAATTGTATAAAAAGGGCAAATCATCTCCTTTCAAGATCAACATCATCTTCCGCTACTGCTACCCAGACATGTCAAAGAACTATTCTCAAGATATCGAGGCTCCTCTTCTTGGTGGTGGCAACACGCTTACGGATGATTACCGCTTCCAAAGATATCGTCGTGTTGCCAAAGCCTCTCTTTGGATTTCGGTCATTGCATTGATTTTCTCTTTTGCCTCTTTCCATCGTGGCGTCATTGTTACTACAAGCAATCAAGCAGACACAACACCTGCTGCGGCTATCTCAACTTTTGAGTTGGAAGAGGTATAATGCTTAATTCTTGTGTATCAATGTGCTTTCCATTGACTCTTTACTACGTTGACAACAGCTATCCTATCATCGATGCGTTGATCCTTCCATCACTGATACCTACACTTTCACTGTGCCTGTCGACGAATACCATGGCTTGATTACCGATGAGCATTTGCATCACAGCGTTATCCATTTTGAAGGTGGTCATGCATCGGTTCGTGTGAACCCCGACATTAAGGATATCATTGTTCGCTATGAGATTCAATATCAATTTGAAGAAGACAAGGACCATATTCGCATTGAAAGCCGGGATGCCGAAAATGAACAAGGAGTACGACACATTACTTTTATTGTAAGTCCATTGTATCGGTCCCAAAAAAACGAGGCACAGTCTTTGTCTTACGCTTTTATTATGCCATATCTAGGTGGATGATCATGATAATGACCATCACCATCGTCATTGTCTTGTCTGGGACCTTATCATTGAACTACCCACCGAGGATGCCCTTGAAAAACTGTCCATTGGTGTTGCCAATCACAACGTTGGCTTGTATGATGCATTTACCTTTGATCGCTTGTCGATTGGTACAGCCAACGGCAATATCCAATATCATGTGAGTGGAAAGAAAATAAGGTAGATGCTATTCATGTGGCTAACGCTACTATTGATGATTCAATCACAGACCCAAGGTGTTGTGGCATCATCCTCATCACTTTCAACGGCCAATGGCAATATCATTGTCCATGGAGCAACATCGACAACCAAGAGCTCTTTCTCTACTGCCAATGGCAACGTACAAGCTCAATTTGACCGCCTTGAGGGCGATCATGCATCATCCACCTCCTCAGGAAATATCAACTTTAGTGCATTTGCTATTGGAAAAGAATCCTCTGAGAAAGATACAGTTCCCACGACCATCAGCCTTTCTTCATCTGCAGGCAGCATTGATGCCACTGTTGTAAGTATCGCCATACTACATGGGTCTCTCTGATATGTCGAAGAGCATCCATATTGATGAATTTATTTATAGCCCGACAGCTTCCACTCCAAGTTTACAGCCAACACTGTCCTCGGTAAGGCCATTGTTCGATCCGAAGAGCACCCAGAAAAGGTCCATTTCAAGTCTCAAGGTCGATTCAGCAAGCATGGTTACTATGGTGATTCGGAAAATGACATTCAAGATGGCAACCGAATTTCAGCTTCAACCACTGTTGGCCATGCATTCATTACTTATGCTTAGGCAAATCATGGATAAAATTGACTCCTCCAATACTATATCAATAAAACCACTAGCAGTGTTTTTTCTTTATTTACATTTGATGATGATTACAAACATGAGCTTTAACGCTCTTATTTTAAGCCTGGTATGTCGAAGCTGACACGTTACCACCTGTGCCAGTCCAATTGGTGTGAACGTATTTACCAGGATTATCAAGACGCTCATAAGTGTGAGCACCAAAGTAATCACGTTGGGCTTGGATAAGGTTTGCTGGAAGTCGCTCATGGCGCAAGCCATCGTAAAAGCTGAGAGCTGTTGAAAGAGAAGGTGTTGGGATACCAAGTTGAGCAGCAGTGCCGATCACAGCACGCCAAGCATCTTGAGCCTTAGCAGCTGCATCCGTAAAGAATGGATCAAAGAGCAAGTTTTCAAGCTTGGGGTTGTTATTGTAAGCATCCTTGATTTGACCCAAGAATACGGAACGAATAATGCATCCACCACGCCACATCAATGCAATGCCTGCATAGTTGAGATTCCAACCAAAGTCATCAGCTGCTTGACGCATCAACATGAACCCTTGTGCATATGACACCAGCTTGGATGCGTAAAGGGCACTACCCAATTGTTGCACAAATTGTTGCTTGTTGCCTTGATACTTTGCATTTGTAGGACCCTTCAAGATCTTGCTAGCACGTGTGCGTTCTTCCTTGAATGATGACAAGCAACGTGCATACACAGCTTCGGCAATCAAGGTCACTGGAATACCCCGATCCAAAGAATCAATGCCAGTCCATTTGCCAGTGCCCTTTTGTCCAGCCTTATCAAGGATCTTGTCTACCAATGGCTTGCCATCCGTATCCTTGTAACGCAGCACATCACGTGTGATTTCAATCAAGAATGAATTGAGCTCTTCCTTGTTCCATTGTTCAAAGATATCGGCCATTTGATCTTCAGTCAAATCAAGCGCTTCTTTCATGATTTGATACACTTCAGCAATCAATTGCATGTCGCCATATTCTATATGCATACATGTATCAGTCAACGTTCCTTCCAATAATGGGATGGATGGGTATGTATACATTACCAATGCCATTGTGTACCATCTTTACATAGTGGCCTGCACCACCTTCGCCGACCCAATCGCAACATGGTTGGCCATCGGGTGCTTTGGCAGCGACGGATTGGAAGATGGGTTTGATATGTTCCCATGCAGCGGGGTTACCACCAGGCATTAACGAAGGACCATAGCGTGCACCTTCTTCACCACCCGAAACACCAGAGCCAACAAACAAAATGCCTTGATCTGCCAACTCCTTGCAACGACGGTTGGTGTCGGGGAAATGGGAGTTGCCACCATCAATGATGATATCGCCTTTCTCTAAATGCGGCAGCAATGTCTTGATGAATTCATCCACAGCAGGTCCAGCTTTGACGAGAAGCATGATCTTGCGAGGTCGCTTGAGTTTGCTGCAAAACTCTTCAACGCTGTGAGCACCAATGATATTTGTTCCTACATAGCCAAATCATCAGCCTACTGTTTTCTTTAATATGGGTGCGTTGTATATATACCTTTGGCTTCATTCTCCAAAAAGTGGTCGACTTTGGATACAGTTCGATTAAATGCACACACCACAAACCCATGGTCGTTCATGTTGAGGATAAGGTTTTGGCCCTATGTAGGATGATGGTTCAATCAACGTGGCCCAAATACACATCCATCTATGATGCTATTTACCATGACAGCCAAACCGATAAGACCGATATCAGCACTATACACGTATGCCAAGATGAGTCTACTTTTGTATCCATTTAGTAAAAGGTATCACTTACGTTGCTTGTGACATGTTGAGATAGTTGTAAAAAAGAAGCGAAAATGCAAGGGTCGTGTTGAGATGCCATAATAAAAGACGTTAAACCCATGATCATGATCCAACACATACGTAAATTTCCTTGCGTGTTCAGCTAAAAGTTGTCACCAGCAGCAGGGGGCAAAATCTAATGCGCTCAACGACGTCTTGCATAAGGGAGGTGGCGGATTTATATGACACCTCTTCCTCCTTCTCAACTTGCACCCCATGACATACCTACTTTTTCAATGCCCACATCAAAACCTATTTGTACACTACACCACCAGCTGATTGGAATCACTGCAGATGCCGCTGTCGACCATGACGATAACAATTTTCAAAACCGGCTACATTGGTGCCCTGGAGCCAAGCCAACTTCTCATCGACTTGAAGCCTACCACATATACTGGAAGTTCATATCCTCAAGAACATTGTACAGTACCAGGAATATGTGCGAGAGAATGGAGTGATATCGGCAACTACAAGTCTTCTTGCCTTGGCAACATGTTGATACGCTGAATGAACTTCTTGATTTGACCGTGTCCACGTATACAGTGAGTGGATCCTTGTTTTTTCCAACGGCACATGCAAGTCTGGAAGCGTGGAACATCAAGATGGGATTGGCATGGATCATGTGATCGATCCAGTCGAAGACATCGTTTCGAGGTGGCATGAAGGAGACAAGACAATCCCGCTAAAGCCTATGATGACATTTGATGAACGACGTGCACTACTTGTCTTTGCTGCTTGCAATGTTGATGACGGTGGCAATACAACCAGCAATCGATGGATGACAATCCTTGTGGAAATCGAATCGGTGACCCAGGAATGATGAAGGATGGTACCAGCAAAACGTATACGCACACACGTGGGATCGGCTCTTTCTGCACGACCACACATGTATTCTACATCATGAAGCGGAGGAGGTTGCATAGCAACGTTTGGATTTTTATTTTACGCAAGAAGCACGGCTTTCAAGCTATCCATGAATGTCTACAAGTCAAATGCGGTGGCATCCTTATCCTTTTCGCCAAGGTCTCCAAGATCCCACTATATACGCATAAATATCAATGAAAATTTAACATGATTGCATTCCCCTCAACACATGAATTAAACTTACATTATCCTCAATGGTACGCAGGAGCGAATAATGATCGTACTTTTTGTCATCCTTTTTGGAAGAGAACTTGAGATCGGGACCGAAAATGGATGTATACACGTGATTCTTCTTTGTATTGCTGTCATCTTCATCAAAGGTAACAACAAACAAGGTCTTTTTGCTAAAGGCAGGCTTCTTGAGGCGAGCATCAAGGAACTTTTTGAGCCACTTGGCGCCATAGGATAATGGCTTGTCGTGGGCATCATTGTTGATCTATAGATGTATAAATAATTAGCAACGGCTTGTTTAGAAGATGATTGCACACTTACATCAGGCGTATAAAAGACGTATTGGGGTACGTTGTCATTGTCAATATCCTTATCGAGTTCCTTTGCGCTGACGATCTTGGCACAACGCTTCTTGTCCTTTTGAATGTTCTTGAAGGACATGAAGGGATTGTGCTTGCGAGCATAGTTATCAATGTCCATCTCTTTGTTGCAGCCACCAGGATAATCTTCCTGATACGTCTTCCAAGAAATATTCTTCTTCTCCAGCAAATCAACAATCGTATCACGATCAATGTTGGATTCATCGTCCTCTTTGGTTCCTTTGGTGGATCCGCTGATGAGAGCAATCTATAGCAAATGGATATGAGTATAACGGTTTCACATAACAATAAACGATCAAAAACAAAAGGTACATACATAATTGGGCTGTGATGGATGAGCCACGCCTCTGTAATTGGTCAACATAACGCCTACATGCCCCAAAATGAATCAGCATAAGAGATGGAGACGATCATAAGCAATGGATGCTTACCGTTGTGCTTGGATGGCAATGACTTGAAATACTTGTCCTTCATCGTGGTATCATAGTCCTTGTTCTCAAAAACGATAATCACAACACGATCAAAATACTTCCCCGGTACCAGCCCGGATGAAGTTGAGTTGCCATCATGTGTGCTGTTGTGATGACTAGAATGCTTTTTTCCAGAGCTATGGTTGTGCTCAGCACGTGTCTCAAAGTAAAGCAGATCTTGGCCTTGCTGTTGTGGTGGTTGAACAGTTGGAAGAGCTTGGGCCAGCCAAAAGATAGAGGATGCAGCCAGTGCGATAAATGACAATTTCATAATGAAAGGCAAGGGGGGATATACAAGAGATAAAGTACACAAAAAAGTGAATGAAAGTGGTGGTGATGGTTGAATGACAAGAGGATGCTTTTGCCTTGCTTCTTTTATACCATTCAAAGGTGATTATCCATCCCCCCATATTAATGACTCGATATAACAAAGATCGAAACATCACACAATGTTCGATGCAATCAAGCTGCAGGATGGGGACCTTTCTGGAACCCAATAAGGAGGTGAAGTGGTAGTTGACATTGGCTGTGGCAATCTTGTGCAACGTTGATCATTCTCCTTGCCGTAGCCCTTCTCCGACATTGCATGTATGTATATATATGATGATGGCATAACGTGCATGATTGCACGTTACCATGCTGCCCATGTCAAAAGCAAGGGTTTGGGTGGCATTTGACCATTGATTAGGTAGCTCAATAGCACAATTGGATACTACATCATCTTTTTACAACCATACATGGCGTATAGCTTTCAAATTGACCATGATTTTTATGCCGATAATGTACCGTAATTACCTCGAATTAGGAAAAGTCATTATCAACAAAAGGGAAAAAGTAGCATTTACAGCGCCGCTGACATTGGCCTTCAGGAATCAGCAATAATCATTGCTGAGACAAGCTCTCCATTTAATAAGCATGTGCCCCAATGCTGCTTGCACCGATCAGCAGGTCTACAAGGAGCAACCAGGTTGGATGGATGATCATTCGATTTCTTTCTCTATTACATGACAGCAAGATGATTTCGAGGCAGAAATCCCTACACACCCCTTGAGCCGTAACCAACGTTTGATCACGATTTCCCCCGAGGAAAGTAATATATACATTCCCCAATATGTATGTTAATGCCCCAGACCCAGATCGATGCAGCGAATTTGGTGACAAAATATAGGCATTGTTGTATCCATATCTTGCTTGTGTTGTACAATGCTGCATGCTGATGATGTATTCGTTATTAGCACACCCATCAACCCTGATAATGGGAATACCCAATGTCATCAATAATATGGCAGTGGCTGGTGCCACAATAGCAACCATTGACTATTCGAGACATGATCCTACATAGTTTGCTTATTATGATGGTTGTGCTTTAGCCTATAATACAAGACTGCGGCAAAGCATCTCAATCCATTACTACTACCACTGTTGGCTGTTTCAGGCACCCTCTCTTCGTTCGCTGCACAACGCATTCTTATACATACCTCTTACAGCTTTAACTTTTCTATGAACAACATACATCAATTTTCATTCAATGATAATCATCATTCGTATACTTTCTATTACACTAAATCCATCCCACATAGCTGATTGCTTTATGCATAATAACATCGTGTCAGCGATAGCTTTATTGTTGTTAGGTTCCATAACGTGGTTCATGTGTAACAAAAAAGCTTCTTGGGGGAGGGTATTGAACCCTCAGCCCTGTAGTGTGCAACCAATCATCATTGAAAAAGCTTTGGCGGTTTGGATCATCAGCAAGCCAGTTGGCGAGACCAGGTTCATTGACAGCACCACAATCATAGAAGTCGAGTCGTTGTATTGTTGCTGGAATGTGGTTGAACACGATGTGAGGAGAAAAACCAGACACATTTGTCAAGACCAGCCAAGTAATGCTTTGAGTGACTCCCAAAAGATCAAGGAATTGGGTCACCTCTTGCGTATTAAAAAAAGAACGCTCTTTGGTTCCTAGTGCCACCCATTGCAAATTTGGCATGTTGGCCAACTCCCCAAAAAGGTCGATGGATCCAATGCTTTCTCCAAGCCAATCAAATGATAGAAGAGGCACTTGATGATATTGCAACTGCCTCAAAATCTGCAAGGCATCTTCAACTGGATTAAAGGAGTGTAAGCATAAGTGCCGGAGATTTGGCATTTGGTACATGACTCTTCCCATAAGTGGCATTGGAATCAAGGGTTGAGCACGGAGGAAAAGTAAATTTCTGGTGTCCGTATTATCGCGATGCATGATCCGAATGCATAAACGTTGAAGATTGGGTGCTGCATCCATTAACGGAATCACGTGATTGTTGAAAAGAGGAGGGGCGAAAGCCGTGCTGGATGGATGAACATCGAAAACAAGCTCAGAAAGTGATGGTAATTGTTGCGACACCAACAGCTGTAGACCTTCTATTTCTTCATGTACTCTCCAGCGTGGTGAAATTCGGATTTGAATGGTGTTCAAATAAACATGCTGAAAAGCTTGAAGCGTGGCTATGATCCCTTGATACGTTGCGATACTGGGATGGAAAGCTACAAGTTGTCTTAGGTGGGTCCAGTGGTGAGCATGCTGTGGCGGGTGCGTAATAGTAACGGCACCCATTGGAATTGCTGGTGGAACATGCTCGTTACGAGTATCAAACCACAGGTATTGAAGTCTTGGACACATTCTTAAAAGCTGTGGCATGTCACCACCAATGGGCCAGCCGATACGTAAAAACGCAAGTCGATTGCAACGTTGTACGAAATCAACAAAATGATCTCAAGGAAGTGTACCTTGAATATTCAAGTAAGCCAACCATTCCAGTACGAGAGGCTGTGCAAAGTTGGCGGGAACGACAAATTGTGCTTGCGGGGATTGGCCTATTGGCCATACCAGCGTAAGACTGGTTAATGCTGGAAAATGCACCATGAGATGGAACAGGTCGACTTGAGTTTGTACCAGGAAAAGCGACAATTGTTGCACAAAACGAGTTGCATTCGAAGGGAATACATTTAATGCATGAGGCAGGCTGCCCCTTACCCAGGGTAAGGCTAGTTGAACGTTGTGGATGAGTACGTATGTAGTCGATATATAGATGGTAGCATACAACAACTTACTTAATGAGAGCATAGTCGGTAAGCGTAGCTGTTGTACAGCACGAAGCACTAGTTCGAGCCCCAAGCTTGTATATGGGTGATCCGGTGCATCTACGATAATGTCAAGCAATTGTCGACCAGTATGCACCAAAGGTAAGGCGTGGAGAAGGTGACCGCCACTCAAGTGCATCACCCTCTGCTGTCGCTGAGTCCAATTCGGCATATGGTCGCGCCAATAACGAGAAACGCCCATCAACTGAAGAGCTCGCAATGTGGTGAGGTTAAGCTCGTTGATGATCATCATCATCACTTCGTATGGAAAAACTCGAAAAGGGTCCATTGTGGAGGAAAGGTGTAATCGCAAATCCTAGCTGGGCAAGGGTTTATATAGAAATCACCACAGTGTACCAGGAGCACACAAGCTTGAGTGATTTCATTGTATACGTATTCATTCTCTTTGATGCATATGCACTCTGTAGAATGTTTGGCTTTTTGTCAATGCTGTGTCACATATCGGCCTCTCAAAATGTTAACAATCAACATCATCTACAGTAAAACCATCACCCCTTCTATCATACTCGCTCCGTTGTGTCGTTTTTCTTTTGAGGGTTTTCACGTTTTATTAATCATTCATATATATCACGCTAATGGCCACAACGCTGCATACCGCATTATCCCAAGTTTATTGTAACAAAAAGACCACTTCTTGCCTACCATGAAGAATGCCACATTCATCCCCTCATAACTATCCACTGATTTTATAATGACAATGAGTCATTCTACAATCATACATGAAGTTTATTGTATCATTTTTGCATCGAGAGCCATATTGTCATGAAAGCAGATACACTTTGTGTTGGTGAGCAGTAGGATGGAAATGGGCGGGGACTCATTGGCCAATCAATGTCATTGTGCTCCGCAGCAGTTGCCTCGTTAATTGTTGCCCAGCAACACGCGCGCTCTTTACATTACACCTTCCACACGAACACAGCAGCTGTCAATGGTGAACGCCATCCTTCCAAAGGTACTTGTTAAACGCTTCTACAGCAGCGTTTAGTAGTTCGCTAGCTACTAATGCAACACTCCACATTACCAGACGTGGGTAGCTCTTTACTTGCAACAACGCATTTCATTCGGCGCGTGTTTCGAGTCTTTCTCGTACAACAAAGGTAAGCCCAGTTCACTGCTAAGGAAGAAGACCAAACTGACACGTAACGTTGTTCTATTTAGACAACCTTTTATTGGGCAATGGCTTAATGCTGGTTGAGCTAAGGTGGGTGGGGGTTCCAATCGATCTGTTTGGGTTGATCGAGCTCACTTGGCTTCTTTTCGTTGCCGTCAAACCCCCAGGCCCTTTTACGTGGTGCATATGGATCAGCAAACAGCGTGGTGATATCGTTGGAAGCAGGTATAAATGAGTTCCACTTCATTCGACTGCCATTGCTCATATTACAAGTATGTCCTTGTAGCACTTGGAACAAGGCCGTGGACAAGAGGCTGATGATGGTATACTTTTACAAGCATATGAATCACTAATGTGTGTTTAGAATGTGTGGATTAATCAAGGATCAAGACCGTACTTCAAGGATGGCCTATGCTGCTGAGGCTCTTGTGGATTGATGGTGCTCACTGGCCAGTTGATCGGGGTAGTCTACGTATGTACGTGCTACTTGTTGCCGTAAAGGAAACTTTGGGTATTCAACCGGTGGGTGCTGTCGTTCGCTTGGAACTCTGTCAGCTCTTCAAGAAGCGTGGTGTTCAAGATGGCTGTGGACCGTAAGTATGATTATTATGGCTTTATTGAGATATGAATGATGGCTAATTTATCATGTTTCTAGTGTGGATATGTGGATCAGCAAGGATGTGGATCAGCAAGGATGTGGATCAGCAAGGACGTGGATCAGCAAAGATGTGGATCAGCAAAGATGTGGATCGGCAAAGAGTGGATTAATCAAGGATCAAGACCGTACTTCAAGGATGGCCTATGCTGCTGAGGTTCTTGTGGATTGATGGTGCTCACTGGCCAGTTGATCAGGGTAGTTGCAAACATGCACGTGCTACTTGTTGCCGTAAAGAAAACTTTGGGTATTCTTTGGGTATTCAACCGGTGGGTGCTGTCGTTCGCTTGAAACTCTGTCAGCTCTCGGAAAGCGTGGTGTTCAAGATGGTTGTGGATCGTAAGTATGATTATTATGGCTCTATTGAGATATGAATGATAGCTAATGTACCACGTTTCTAGTATGGATATGTGGATCAGCAAAGATGTGGATCAGCAAGGATGTGGATCGGCAAGGATGTGGATCGGCAAAGAGTGGATTAATCAAGGATCAAGGCCGTACTTCAAGGATGGCCTATGCTGCTGAGGTTCTTGTGGATTGATGGTGCTCACTGGCCAGTTGATCGGGGTAGTTAGACGTATGCACGTGCTACTTGTTGCCGTAAAGAAAACTTTGGGTATTCTTTTGGGTATTCAACCGGTCAGGTGCTGTCGTTCGCTTGAAACTCTGTCAGCTCTTCAAGAAGCATGGTGTTCAAGATGACTGTGGATCGTAAGTGGGATTGTTATGGTTTCTGGTAAAATATGAATGATGGCTAATGTATATGCTTCTAGTGTGGATATGTGGATATGTGGATCAGCAAAGACGTGGATCAGCAAAACACTCTGGATATTTGTGACGAGGCGATTGACGAGTGGTGCCGAAATGCAACGAGTACGCGAATGATGGCGGACGATGAAGACGACGATGGGTGGCAATGTTGCTAGATGAAATAAAGCATTGTTTCTTTTATTATGTACACGCTTGGAGTTTGCTAGCTTGTGGATTACATACTATTGCTTCGAAGATGGATAATAAGGTAGTTCCGGTTATCAGTCATGCAAGAAGTATGGCTTTTTGTGATACAATAAGGAGGAGTGGGATGACCTTGAGAAGAGAAAAAGTGATCCCGTGCATTGAGTTTTCAGGATGAGTGGCCCCATCATCATCATTGGATTGGTTTACTGGTGGGTTTACATATGCTAAGGTGGTTTTATGCAGTTCGACCTTCTCCTACATGCAAATGTGACACATGCAACCGACACACCTTCATTACTGGATGCTTTTACTTACGTACCTTCCACAAAAGGGCAATCATCATCATCATGCATTTGTGCAGCAACCTGTCAAAGACGTGTTTGTGTAACCAGCACGTGCCATTTCACTCAGCTCTTCATCTTTCCGTTAATGCAGCCGACACCACCTACTAGGAGAAAGCAACTCCTACGCTTACAGCATATGCAAAACATAAAGGCACTTGTATCTCTAAGCTTTACAATGAAACATGGGGTTTTTATTAGAGCAATGGGCTCGGCTTGGCCAACAGCACCTTGTGTGAAAGTTTCACGTTCAATGTCGCAAACAGCCCAAAAAATATTTTTTGGTCGTCGTCGTCGAAGGGTCGACCCCCAGATCAATTTGGCTGGTGGCGACATTGCGAAATCTGGGATTGGCAAGCTTGATCGCGAAACTTTCACACAGGTGCTGTTGGCCAAGCCGAGTTACATTGCTAAAAACCCCATGTTTCATTGTAAGTTTGGAGATACGGGCACCTTTTATGTTTGTAAGCGGTGATGCTATGAAGAGTGGTCTTTGTTCATTGCCAAGTAGCTGAACCCTGGAGAGCCAAAGATGCAGAGGGACCTCTTTGGGTACCTCAGCTAAAAAAGTCAGGACTTCAGGGACAATGCATGACCGGGTACGCAACCCTCCCTTTTATGTCATACATTAGCGGCTAATAGCCACTTTTGTGCATTCCCAACTTTTGTACATTCTATTGTAAGAGTGGACGATGCTCCTGCTCTAGACATTCATTTCCATGATTAAAGTAGGTTGATCGAGCTGATTTGGTTGAGTTACGCTCACACAAGATTACATCGGTTGAGCTACATCGAGCGTACTCTATGTCCAGAATGATGTAATCTCTCTTTGACCGTAGCTCAGTCAAATCAGCTCGGATCAACCTACTTTAATCATGGAAATGAATGTCTAGAGCAGGGGCATCGTTCCCATGCAGTGGATCTCGCAACAATGATGAATGGATAAAAGTGGCCATTAGCTAGCAATACATGCCTGTTCCCAGATGATCCATAAAGTAATATACATTGACCCTTTCATTCATGCAAACGTAGCTGTGTTACACAACACGACCTCTGCATCTTTTGCTCTGCCAGGGTCCTACTTGACAATGAACAAAGACCACTCTTCATATAGCATCACGCTTACAAACATAAAGGTGCCTGTATCTCCAAACTTTACAATGAAACATGGGGTTTTATTAGAGCAATGGGCTCGGCGGCCAACAGCACCTTGTGTGAAAGTTTCGTCAAACTTGCCAATCGGATTTCGCAATGTCGCCACCAGCCAAACTGGATCTGGGGTCGACCTCTTCGACGACGCGACGACCAAAAAATATTTTTGGGCTGTTTGCGACATTGAACGTGAAACTTTCACACAAGGTGCTGTTGGCCAAGCCGAGCCCATTGCTCTAATAAAAACCCCATGTTTCATTGTAAAGCTTAGAGATACAAGTGCCTTTATGTTTTGCATATGCTGTAAGCGTGGTGGAGTTGCTTTCTCCTAGTAGGTGGTGTCGGCTGCATTAACGGAAAGATGAAGAGCTGAGTGAAATGGCGCATTGCTGGTTACAAACACGTCTTTGACAGGTTGCTACTGTCTATGTTGATGACCTTGAGAAGAGAAAAAGGGAAGTGATCCCGTGCATTGAGTTTCAGGATGAGTGACCCCATCATCATCATTGGATTGGTTTACTGGTGGGTTTACATAATACAAATTGGTTTATGCAGTTCGACCTTCTCCTACATGCAAATGTGACACATACCTTGACACACCTTCATTACTGGATGCTGTTTACTTACGTACCTTCACAAAAGGGCAATCATCATCATCACATGCATTTGTGCAGCAACGCCTGTCAAAGACGTGTTTGTGTAACCAGCACGTGCCATTTCACTCAGCTCTTCATCTTTCCGTTAATGCAGCCGACACCACCTACTAGGAGAAAGCAACTCCACCACGCTTACAGCATATGCAAAACATAAAGGCACTTGTATCTCTAAGCTTTACAATGAAACATGGGGTTTTTATTAGAGCAATGGGCTCGGCTTGTGCTCAGCACCTTGTGTGAAAGTTTCACGTTCATGTCGCAAACAGCCCAAAAAATATTTTTTGGTCGTCGTCGTCGAAGAGATCGACCCCCCAGATCCAGATTTGGCTGGTGGCGACATTGCGAAATCTGGGATTGGCAAGCTTGATCGCGAAACTTTCACACAAGGTGCTGTTGGCCAAGCCGAAGCCGGTGCTCCCAATAAAACCCCATGTTTCGTTAGCAAAGTTTGGAGATACGGGCGCCTTTATGTTTGTAAGCGTGATGCTATATGAAGAGTGGTCTTTGTTCATTGCCAAGTAGCTAGACCTGGAGAGCCAAAGATGCAGAGGGACCTCTTTGGGTACCTCAGCTAAAAAGTCAGGACTTCAGGGACAATGCATGACAGGTACGCAACCCTCCCTTTTATGTCATACATTGGCAGCTAATAGCCACTTTTGTGCATTCCCAACTTTTGTGCATTCTATTGTAGGTGGACGATATCTGCTCTAGACATTCATTTCCATGATTAAAGTAGGTTGATCCGAGCTGATTTGGTTGAGATTACGCTCACACAAGATTACATCGGTTGAGCTACATCGAGCGTACTCTATGTCCAGAATGATGTAATCTCTCTTTGACCGTAGCTCAGTCAAATCAGCTCGGATCAACCTACTTTAATCATGGAAATGGTATGTCTAGAGCAGGGCATCGTTCCCATGCAGTGGATCTCGCAACAATGATGAATGGATAAAAGTGGCCATTAACTAGCAATACATGCCTGTTCCCAGATGATCCATAAAGTAATATACATTGACCCTTTCATTCATGCAAACGTAGCTGTGTTACACAACACGACCCTCTGCATCTTTTGCTCTGCCAGGGTCCACCTACTTGACAATGAACAAGACCACTCTTCATATAGCATCACGCTTACAAACATAAAGGTGCCTGTATCTCCAAACTTTACAATGAAACATGGGGTTTTTATTTGAGCAATGGGCTCGGCTTGGCCAACAGCACCTTGTGTGAAAGTTTCACGATCAAGCTTGCCAATCCCAGATTTCTCAATCTTACAGCCAAACTGGATCTGGGGGTCGACCTCTTCGACGACGACCAAAAAATATTTTTTGGGCTGTTTGCGACATTGAACGTGAAACTTTCACACAAGGTGCTGTTGGCCAAGCCAGCCCATTGCTCTAATAAAAACCCCATGTTTCATTGTAAAGCTTAGAGATACAAGTGCCTTTATGTTTTGCATATGCTGTAAGCGTGGTGGAGTTGCTTTCTCTAGTAAGGTGAAATTTGTCGGCTGCATTAACGGAAAGATGAAGAGCTGAGTGAAATGGCACGTGCTGGTTACACAAACACGTCTTTGACAGGTTGCTGCACAAATGCATGATGATGATGATTGCCCTTTTGTGAAGGTACGTAAGTAAACAGCATCCAGTAATGAAGGTGTGTCAAGGTATGTGTCACATTTGCATGTAGGAGAAGGTCCAGCTGCATAAACCAATTTGTATTATGTAAATTACCAGTAAACCAATCCAATGATGATGATGGGGTCACTCATCCTGAAACTCAATACACGGGATCACTTCCCTTTTTCTCTTCTCAAGGTCATCCCACTCCTCCTTATTGTATCACAAAAGCCATATACTTCTTGCATGACCGATAACCGGAACCACCTTTATTATTCCATCTTCGAAGCAATAGTATGTAATCCACAAGCTAGCAAACTCCAAGCGTGTACATAATAAAAGAAACAATGCTTTATTTCATCTAGCAACATTGCCACCCATCGTCGTCTTCATCGTCCGCCATCATTCGTACTCGTACTCGTACTCGGCACCACTCGTCAATCGCCTCGGAGTGTTGTTTGTAGGGGTTAGGGTTAAGGGGTACTCATGTAGCTAGTCACGAACGAAAAGCAGGGACATGATTGGGTGATGTGACCTGTTGCTGTGCGCCTAGTCATTCATCCTTCTCCAAGTCATATACACCTTTGTGGCTAAGGCGTTGGCAAGTGTAATCTGTTATTATTGGAGACCGATGTCCAAAGCGAAATTATTGAATTATAGTGGTAAATGTCGTGTATGTGAATCGGTTAAGGTACACATCATCATTCATAATCATCATCTTTATCATTGTATGTATATAAGATAAGCACATAAGCATACAAGAGATGATACACAAGCGTGGATCATCATATACAACTCAGCCCGTTACTCATTTACGATATAGCTTGTTATTGGTAGAAAAGCTTTACTCTTTAGCATCCACCTAGTTATAATACTCAGAGGTAGGTCGATAGAAAGATGTCTCTTTTCCCAGACACACACTTTCAGAGTAAACAGCAATCTCACAGACTTTGTTCGTTATACGTTTTATCATAGACACACACACATATATATATACACAGATACACACGTACATCTCAATAAATCCAAAAGACGAATGTGTTACTAGCTAACATTGATAGATGAAAAGGATATGATAGGTGAGCCACATAGAGTGAATGAGTGTCATTGTCCCATTGTATTCTTGGTTACTGCAGTCATAAACATCTCCATACATGATTGCAAAATAGCAGCTGTGTAGTGTGTACATTGGCTCTAGTATCCCAATATCACCCATGGCTACGATATAAGCCCTCTCGTCAATGTCCTTCTAATCCATCATCATCCTCAGCCTTGTGCACGTGATATGATCCATCCTTCCTGCTGGCGACGTGCCAAGTAATCTTAAACGATATTGCACCCATCCATCCATAACCATAGCAAATCATGATGTTGGTAAAAAAGTGCCATGTGATCGCTGCTAATGGTATGCTTTCTTTTCCATCGGCTGTTGGTCAATCACTTTCTTGATCATTCTCTATCGCAGGTCAACCAGGTGAAGAACACCCATTGTACTACTACTTTCATTGACATTGTTTTCATTGTTTGATATCATGTTCTTTTATCCAGTGAGTCCTGATCATCTTGCATGATGATGAAGTTTTCCTTTTGATGCAGTAGCTACCACACAAGATGCATCTGCAAGGTTCACTGGATTGGCATAAATCCTGGTCGCTACATGCAGCAGATCCACAACCGATAAAGCGACAGCTATTTTGACGTGGGCAACACGCAAAGCCAAGGTAGACATTGGGGTGGATTTGCAAATGAATACACATTACTTGTCGAGGAAAGCATACCTGAAGATGACATCAATAATAAATTCCCAACTTATGATTGTCAATGGCAATGTTATTACTAGAGCTTCTTATCTTTATGAATGTTATCTCCCCCCCCCCAAATTGCTTGTCGTATCTTTCGTTGGATGTCGGACTCGGTTTTTGATTTTGAGCTCAACGGCTGTACGGATCTGCTCCGTAGACGGGCATCTTCCCATGGCCTTTCATATAATATAGAAGCTGCATATCCACACCCGCTATACTATACACATCCTTTAGTGTTATAGTGTGCTAACGGCAATCATTTATCCGAGAAAGAAAGAAAAAAAGTTTAAAATGTGGGGTTCGGCTTCATAACTACCGCTGGCTGAGTATGTATTGATATCCATGCACTAGTGGGATGGGAGGAGGGGGAGAATGAAGCTGCATATTGTTATGATGCATTGGTAAACCCATCATCATACCATGTATAAGCTTACAATGAGAGAATGACTTTATCAAATAAACGCATCCATATAAACTACTCGTGGATTGAATAATGGCTAACACAAGAGCTGCATGTCGTTTGTTGTATATGTGTGAGTGAAAAAGCGGCGACCTTTTTTCATGTAGCACGGGCAGAAAAGCTAAAATGATTTTGGCTTTCTTCAGCTTTACTTTGCTCTTCTCTTTCTCACTTTCCCTTTATCCCAGTGGATTCTCACCCACCCCAAAACATCCTTTCAAGCAAACAGACACTTTCCTTGTACTGGTTTATTCTCGCTTGTCGTTCCTTTCTTGTCAAAAGTATCCTTCTTGACTGAGCCCTCATGGAACACGACCTCGAATCTCTGGAGCATCAAACAGCGCCCGAGAGCACCCGTGGCCTTTTTGACCCTCCAATGCCCAATGTAAGCACACAATCTTACCCATGAGTGAGGAATGAACATGCGCTGATTGTATATTGTAGCCACCTACTTCTTCCAAGAGCACTGATAAGCGTCGTTCACTTCAAGTGTTTGGTACTTTGGACAATAGCCGGCCGGGCAATAGACCGCCACAACAACAGCATCAGCAGCAACAGCAGCATGGGCGAGGACACCAACGTAGCAAGTCCGCCATCACATCCGACATGTTGCCCAATCAAAGTGGTCACCAACGCAACACAAGTTTTGGGTTACATACTCTGGCGGAGGAAGAGGATGGTCAAAGAAGACATGCTGGTGCATCATCCGATGAATCTGTTACAGTGGACTCTTTGCAAACCATGATCAACACCTTGAAATCACTTCCTCCTTATTCAAAGGATGAAAATCCTGCTGGCTCTCCTTCCACAAGTCGAAGAAATAGCCGTCGATCCATCAGCAGCTTTGGCTTGGCTCCTCAACAAGGAAGACGCATGTCCTACAACAATGGTCGTTCTAGCAATGATAGTGGCATCGATATCCAGGCATTGTTACCTATCCCATCTGAAAGCAAAAAGGCCAATCGTCGTAGCAGCACTAGCAGTGGTAGTATGATGCATATGCATACCAACAGCATCGGTGATGAGGATGAAGGTGGTTCTATTCTTTCTCGTGAAGCAGCTCGTGCTGAAGCAGAAGCCAAGTTGATGGGTACATTTTCCAACAACAGCAACGGTGCAGCATCACCTGATCCATCAGGATCATTGTCTTCTTCTCGTCGTCAGTCGGTTCGTAGTTCCATGTCCAGCGATCTCAGCAAGCGTGTGTCACTACAGTTACCCACCGTCTCTGAGAATGAAGGTCGTTCAGGCAATCGTCGTATTTCATTCAACAAGCCACTCAACCTTGGTAACGATACCAACAAATCCATGAATCGTCGTTCTTCTAGAAACTATGATGATTGGCGATCATCCAGTAAGTTTTTTCTTCTATTTGGGGTTGGGTGAGGATAGCAAAACAAGATGACATGTCTCACAATGCACCGCACGATATACTATAGATCCCTCATCACCTGCTATCCCATATTCTCCTCGTTCTGCCAACTATCGCAACTCGTTCAACTTGGTGCCTTTTACTCCCACGCGTGTCAACTTTGCAAGAGATGATGCTAATCCTCATCAACGTCGTCCTTTGTTCATTGCCCATTTGCCATTTTCAGCTTTGACACCACTTTTACGTGCTCGTCAATTGGTGCGTGGTCTCCTCAGAGTCAACAAACGCAATCGTAGTGATGCCTATGTCTCTTGTGACGAATTGGATTCGGATATCTATATTTGTGGTTCCCGTGATCGTAACAGAGCACTCGAAGGTGATGTGGTTGCGGTGCGTTTGGTTGATGTCGACAAGGTGCTCCGTGAAAAGAAGGAAAAGGAGGAAGCAAAACTTGCACGCAATCATGGTCATGTCAAGGTGCGTCTTCCCGATGAAGAGGATGAGAATGAAATCATCTTTGGTGGTGATGATGAGGTCGATACGGTGAAGCCAAAGTATTGTGGTGTGGTGGTTGCTATTCTTGAACGTGCAGCAAATCAAGTTTTCTCGGGGTAAGTGCAAGCTCAGCAGCGCTTGTATGTATGTGTGTGTGTGTTACGTACCATTAACTCGATGATATGATAGCACCTTGCAATTGATGCGACCCAATAATAAGCGTGCTCAAGAAGAAAAGGCTGCTGAAGAAGCTCATAAGGCTGAAACGGGTCAAGCACCTGTCAAGGAAGCTCCAAGAATTGTGTGGTTCAAGGCTACTGATAAGCGTGTTCCATTGATTGCTATCCCCATTGAGCAAGCACCAGCTGACTTTGTGGAGAATAATCATGCTTACACCAATCGCTTGTTTGTGGTAAGTTGATGGATGGGTCTTTATGGATGGGCTGTGTATTCATCATCATGTCATGCAGGGTTCAATCAAACGTTGGCCCATTACATCTCTTCATCCTTTCGGTGCTCTTGAACGCGAATTGGGTTCCATTAACGACATGGATGTTCAAACCAAGGCGATCTTGGCCGACAACAATGTAACGGATACCGAGTTTGCTGATGCTGTCATGGAATGCCTACCATCCATCCCATACACTATTGATGCCGATACACTTGCAGCTCGTCGAAACTTGTGTGAGACTCGCATGTTTACTTTGACCTCTGTGGGCGATGATGGTAAGATAAGGAAAAAGATGGATCGCTCAGTGATGGGGATGCTAATCTTCAATGTTAGTTCTCGACAATGCTTTGTCTATTCAAAAGCTTGGTGATGACACATTTGAAATTGGTGTGCACGTGAGTGATGTAACTCATTTCATCAAGCCTCACTCGGCTCTCGACAAGGAAGCTCGTGCACGTGCTATTCGTGTTCAATTACTCCACAAATCGGTTCCCATCCTTCCAAAAGAATTGACCGAGCAGGTGACAAACCTTGTTCCCAATGAAGAGAGGTAATTTATTTTGGTTTGAACTTTGTTAAGTGGTGGTTACTGATGTCTTCGTGTGTAGACTTGCGTTCTCTATTATCTGGAAACTTAGCTCTTCAGGCAAGATTCTCGACACATGGTTGGGCAAAACTGTTGTAAAGTATGTTGAGTGGTTTTAATTTATGGGAAAAAGATAAGCGGATCTAACGAGATATATTTGTTATAGGTCATGTGCTCAATTGACTGTGGAAGATGCCCAAAAGGCAATTGATAATCAAGAGTTGGATGTGATTGCCAACAAGGAACTGCGTGAAGGATTGGTTCAAGACATCACAATGCTTTATGACATCGCTCAAAGTCTACATGATTCCCGATTCAAGGATGGTGCCATGTCCCAGATGCGTGACGAATTAACCTTCGACTTTGATGAGAACGGGGAACCTGTCACATTTGGTATCAAGAAGCCCCACGCCTCATCCATGATTATCAAAGAATTCTCTCTTTTGGCAAATCGTTCGGTCGCACAAAAGATATCCAGCCAATTCCCAGAACAAGCATTACTCCGTCGTCATGCACCTCCCAATGAACGCAAGATTGTAAGTAAAGTGGATACCGTTTCCATGGAAACATTGATTGCTGATGTACCTTTTTTCTCTCTATAGCGTGAGCTTCAAGAATATGCGCTCAAAAGTCTTGCTGTGCCTGTTGATATTTCGAGTGCCGGTCGTATCGAGCGTGCTATTGAATCGATCAAGGATCCTCAGTTGAGAAAGGTGGTTTCGGTCATTGTGCTCAAGACAATGCAACCACCCAAATACTTTTGCACTGGTACCCTGGATATCATGAAATACGCCCATTATGCACTCAATGTGCCATTATTCACCCATTTCACCTCGCCATCAAGCCGTTTCGCTGATATCATTGTACATCGACAATTGGAAGCTGTATTGACGGGCGAAAAGCGCTTCTATCTTGATCGTGATACAGTACAAAAGCTTGCACAGCATTGCAATGTCAAAAAGGAGGCTGCCTTGTATGCACGTGAACAAAGCAGCATGTTGTTTTTGGCCAGCTATTTGAACAAGCGTGGTGTACGTCCAGCTGATGCCTCTCATATTACGGTTGTTCGTCGTGAAGCTATCATTGTTGCCGTGTTTGATCAATTTTTCGATGTGACGATTCCTGAACTCAATATCCAAAAGCGTATCCACCTTGCCAATTTGCCAACATGGCGCTCTGAGTTTGACCAACAAGACCGTACATTGACATTGTATTGGACCAAGGGCATGGATACAACTACCGGCAAGCAACGTTCATGGAGCATGTCGGATGATGAAGATGATGATTTGGATGAAGAGGCTCTTTTGGAGGAAATGCGTGATAGCACAGCTAACGGCGAATCCATCAGTACCAACTTACAAGAAGTCAACGACAAGCAGCAGCAACCTTCTTCCCAACAACAACAAAAAGAGCCATCTATCACTGCTCCACCTGCAGTTGTCCCTGAAACAACTCGATCCACCAGCAAAAGAGCATCCATGGTGCATGCTCGTCTTTCTGAGAGCACTGGTTATAGCACTGATCTTGGTTCACAAACAATCAAGGCTCTTGACAAGATCCAAGTACTTGTCACAGTCGAAATGATCAAGACACCTCCCTTGATCCGTATCCTGGCTGCCAACCCATACGCTTAAAGCGATTCCAGGTCTCTCCAATCTTGTATTTTTCTCCCTTTCTTCTTCTTCTCTGTATCACTTATTTACCTCTTTGTTTACCTTTACAATCTTTGATGATGTATTACTATATACACAGACCTTGTATACCTGCCTCTTTTTCCCCCAATCTATATTCTGTTTATCAACTTGCTCTCGCGTATATAAAAAAAGAAATCGGGCGTGTGTGCGATCGTTTTACTGTATCATCTGTCGTCGGTACTTCAACAAACGTACAAAAGCAGTGTACAAAGAAAAGGATAATGGGAATAACAAGTAAAAAAATCCTACAAAGGAAGGACCTCTGGAACGAATGATGCCAAAGGATCGGATTGGGATAAAAGTCATGTGATGTTAGTATTCATAATGTATCCAATCCTTCATTATCGACGTACCTTTTTGTAAGGGTGCTGATTGCTTCCCCCTGAAGGTACAAGCCCATATGAGCATATACAAGTATGATGCTAACCCAGGATGTGCAGATGATCATCTACCATCTGAGTGGCGGAAACACCAGTTGGCCTTGATATCCATAATAAAATGAAAAACGCAAAAGGACTGGAGAGTCCCGAGACGAGAGAAGGGGGCCACTAGCTACAATTGACATGTTGCAATGAGTACGAGGAGAAACAAAACTGGAATGAATACACAATACGAACCCCTCGAAAACGATATGTGTGATACTGTAAAGTGGCCTTCGAGATGTTAGATGACCGATTCCATGTATTGTATGTACCACAAAAGGTCCACCAAGGAACACAGCCAAATGCCATTAGGCAGCAATGAGCACTTTACAAGTGGTAAAGCAATGAAGTGAGCTACATAGATGAATGCATGAACACCCTCTTTTTGCGATCACATAAAGACTATCCTTGAGACTTACCAAAGGCCATTGATGATGATATGCACAAAAATAAAAAGAAAGGGTGTATGATGGTGGCGAGAACAGCCTTGTTTATATGTTGAGTAGGCGTGGGAATTGTTGTCATGATGGATCGAACTAGTAAAGTGGTCAAGCATCCTGGTGTATTAAGCCGAAGTGATGGAAAAGCAACGTTTGATAAATCCACCTGAAACTTTAAAAGTGATTCTTTTTGTAGGTGACATGAGTATGTCCGTACACAAGTTTTATACAAAAGGTCATTGTGAAGCGTGTAGCAGCTGATGAAGGGTAGCGCTATGCTCACAAGCGATTGCCATCTCATATACAATACGCCCCTCAAGCTATACTATTTCCAAATAAAAGGAATTTATTAATGCACATCTGGAACGATAAGAATGCTGAGTTACACAATCAAAGATCGGCTTGGAAGAAGCACTTGTTTTTCCGCTTAAACTACTCGCGACAATAGCGACATTGTCCATTGGTCTCCAACAAGCTCATGAATAGGCGCCCAAGCACCTCACGAGCATCGTCACCAGCAAACAGTGGAGGTGCCGACAAACTCAATAAGCGCCATTTCCCTTCTATCCGTCGCCATTACCAGCAACCCGAGATTGTCACGACAGCACCCATCGCTCGACCATGGCCATTGTCTTCAAGATTCTGGATAGTCGTGGCAACTCTCTTTGTCATTGTATTATGGCGCGCATTGACACGATCTTCACCTGCTCACCTTTATCCTCGGATACCGTTACGTGACCAACCACCCTATGATACACTACTTGAGAAGCGACACTGTACAGCAACCGTATGCGACGTGTTTGGTCAATGCACACAGTGGCAGCCGCATCGTGACGACCATGAAGCATCATTATTACAAGGTGTGATGGATAATGTGGCTACGATTGATTTGGATCTTGGATGTGAATTATTGGTCAAACTAGCCAATGGCACTTGGATGACACTATCACATGGCACCACAGACTGTCGTCAACATGGTTGCCAGGATATCGTTGATATGGATCTTAGAGGTAAGGCAATAAGCTCAAGGGGTTAATCAAGTACTGGATCTAACAACACCTTACGTGTGCAGGTGATTTGTACATTCTCGTATCCCAGCTCAAGCAAATCATGGATGGTAAGCATAACATCAGAATGAAATGCATTGCATTGTTTGGCTAAATGATTATAAAAAGATCCAGAATACAGAAACCAACAAGTGGTGGTATCCTATACGGGCGATCAAGTTGTCAATACTACGCTGGATGTTACATTGATCTCACAATTCTCGGTCAACCGCCTCGATGTATTTACTCAAGTCCTTGATGCTTGGCCAGGTCCTATATCGATTGCCATGTAAGCTTCTTTTTCAACCAAGGAAATACTGTTGTTCTAATATCATGAGAATAGATACCTTACAGAGCCTGATCATGCTGCTGAACTCAAATCATTCTTTGCTATTCCTTCCAACATGTACTTGTATTCACGTGTCAATATGGTGTTTGTCAAGCCCGATTACAGCCATCCCGATCGACTGAAATACCCCATCAATCATTTGCGCAATCTCGCCCTTGGTGTCTCAAGTACTTCGCACGTGTTTGTCATGGATGCTGATTTTGTTCCATCCAAGGAGCTATATACCCAAGCATGCAATGATCTTGCACCCGCTGTACCTATTGATGATGAGGATCGTGTTGCTATGGTGATCCCCTGTTATGCCATTGTGGAATCACACAAGGATGATCCATTCCCAAGCAACACACAGGAGCTCAAGGAACGTATTAAGGAAGGCGTTGCTTACATTACGGATCCAGGAAGTGGTCATGGCCCAACACTAGCCGTTCCCATGGCACTTGCTTCGTATGGTAACAAGGATGACCTGTTTTATGAAGTGTGCTACGAATCACAATGGGAGCCTTATTACATTGTGGCACGTGAAGTGGCACCCTTTTATGACGCACGATTCAGAAACCAAGGAGGCGACAAGCAATCCCATGCTTTGCAATTGAATGCGCTTGGATTCAAGTTTATGGTGAGCCGTGAAGGATTCATTCTGCACAAGGATCATCCAAAAATGGTATGGCCAGGTGGTGGTTTCAGTCAATCACAAAAGGCGCCCACACAATGGAATTATTTTGAGGAATTCATGCGGGAAATGGAGGATCTTTACGGCAGCAACGTACGATGGCCACGTGGATGTACTGCTAATGCCATTGGATGGCAAGTGCAACAACGAAGTCCTTTGGGTATCGTGGCAGACTAATAGGCGGGAATCAGATCCATATCTTGACAATGAATCCTTGTTGTGGTTGCCTTTATTGGTCATTGTTTATGATCCATTGATGCTCTCCATCATTCCAAATATCCAATTCAACTCACTTGTCTCTGATACTCATCCTAGGAGAATCATCACCCCTTCTTCCTCCAAGGCCGTAGCACCTATACCTTAATACTACGCCCATCAATTTGTACGAATAAAGTCATATTGCAATCCAACCAACAACTTTAGGGAAGTAGAGCAAAGGACTTAAGAGTGAACCCTTGAAAGAGAAGCACCTGTGTTAATGAGATGGATATAGATGTTGTGTGCGTGCATGCATGAGCAATGAAATACAAAAGTTTATTGAAGCCTGATCTTATTAAATGATATGTGTACAGCTTATTACATGTAGCGTTGTTCTCTATTATACTGTAGTTTTATTATTGATGGCTATCTATGATGCTGGTAGAAAGTGCAAAGATGGTATATGATTATGTAAGTGATGGTGATGCCAAAGTACAAGTAATCCTTATTGCTGTTGCTGCTGAAGTTCCACCTTCTCCAAATCACGTTCTTTGTTGTTGGCGGATGATGTACCTTGTCCATATTTGATGTTTCGAACAAAGAGGGCGCAAATAAAGCCTACACCACCGGCAACCAGAGGAACAATAAAGACATTGTGAAGGGCTTCCATATAAGCATGGATAATGGGTCCTTGAAACTCTTGTGGCATATCACGAATATAGAGATAGTTGCTCAGTGCTCCATACTTTGCTGCCTGTTGCAGGATGGCGGGTGAAAGACCTTTGAGCTGTGCCTGGAGGAATGTTGAAAACAATGTTTGATACAGCGCCACACCGATACTGCTGGCCAAAAGCATCACGAAATTATTAAGACTGGTTGCCACTGCCATGTACTCCTTGCTAGCTGCCGTTTGTACTCCCAAAATACAATTTTGTTGTGATAAACCAAATGCAAGACCTGTGCCATGTCATGTGGTTAACACTTAGTACAAACCATCGTTCATCCTCATTGCACTTACCACAAAATGTCAAGAAACCGGCCTGTCGGCCCCAATTGGCAGTTTCATCCACTGTAAAGAACAAGCCGTATCCGATAAGATTGCTCGCTGCTCCAATCAAGATATATAGCTTGACATAAGGGAAGGACTTGAGTAAAAGCCCACTCGCAATTGAACCCGCGATCAAACAGGCCATAAATGGGATCAATCGAATACCACTCTCGCTGGATGATGCACCGAAAACAGATTGGTAAAGGATTGGGCCGAAATACAAAGTACCAATGAATGTAAGACCAAGGCATGCCATGTAGAGATAAATGACAAAAATATTTGGATTGAGTAGCACTTCGGCGGGGAGGATCTAATAAGAGTATGTAGAGGTTAATATCAGCATATCAAACACATGATGTACCATGATGGATGAACTTACCGGTTCCTTGACAAACCAGAATTCAGCAATGATAAGTAGAACGAGTAAAACGCCTGCTACAACAAATGTTGCTATGCTGTGTGCATCACCCCAGCCATACTAAATGTTGCCAGTGAGCTTTCATGGTTGTCATCAAGCAATGAACAAAGAAAGAGACTTACCAAGGGACCCCAATTCAATGCCAATAAAAGGCAAACAATGAACCCAATCGAAAGAGTGCATCCAATAAAATCCACACGCTTGAGCTTGCTTCGGAATGTGCCAGTGCTCGTTGTGCTAGTTTCCTTGAACAACACGGCAATGATGACAAGAGCAACGCCTCCCAAGATCACATTGATCCAGAAATCTGCAATCCATGGTTTAGTTTATGTTCTATGTGGGCATAGAATCAAGGCATACTCACCCCATCGCCATGTGAGATAATCCACAAATGCACCACCTATACATGCGTGTTTTGGTGAAGGTCAGCTGACATGTCAACCATACTGTAGAACACCCTTTTACTTACCAAGCAATGGACCAACGACGCTTGCAAGACCGTATACAATGACGAGCACCGATTGTAAACGTGGTCGCCAATCGACAGGAGCAATGTCAGTAATGATAACAAAAACTAAGGTGTGCAATGTTAGAGTCCAATCGCGCAATGTCAAGAGTGGTAGTCGATGGCCAAGTAGTGATACCTAATGACATGATAAAACCAGCTCCAGCGCCCTGAATGGTTCGGCCTGCAATTAACCCTGAAACAGTGGGAGTCAATGCATTGATGAGGGAGCCAAGAACGAAGAAAGAGAGACCAAAAAGCAAAACGGGCTTCCTTCCAAAAATGTCGGAGAGCTGTACATGCATCAAAAAGTGAGTTACACAGGGAATGGTTGATTTGCATGACCAAGCACTTTCTTACCTTGCCACTAATTGGCTGAAATGCATTCACAGCTAAACACGAGTTAGCATCATCCTCTCAGTTTCTGGATCATCTTGTCACCAGCACGTACCTAGTAGATAGGCTGTTGCGATCCATGTTTGATTCGATAACGCGTCTAATTCAGCAGCGATGATGGTCATTGCCTAGCAACAGGATCTAAATTAACATGATCGCTCATGCCTGGCAACCATTTTGTGCTTACCGGAGCAACCACAGTTGAATTAAGAGACATGACAAACATTGACAAGATCACGCCAATGAATAAAATGACGAGACGTATCGTATCGAATAGGGTACGGGGCTTTTGATCAGGGGTTGTTTCGTTGGCAAATTGATTTGGTGATGATGATGATGATGATTCTTTTGGATCATGGTACGTGTTTATCGTTATGTTATCGTCCGTTGTGGATGTTTCAGCGCTGGCCATTTTGAGAGAAAAAGATAAAATCTTGTGAATACCAGGTACAACCCATGTTTCTTTTATATACCCTGAAGCATGATATTGTATCGGATCACCAAATGACATGCGAAATGCAATGATCAGATTTTGGTCAAAGGGGTACGACCTGATGTTTTTCGGTAAAAGCCAAATCAGCCAATCATCATCATCAATGCGCACGGATCTGTGCAACTGTATCAATAACCCAGCGGCATTCAAAATAACCGAAGTTGCTTTACGGTAGAATGTAAAAGCGATAGGATGTCAATGATCACATGCCTAAGGTGGGCCTTCAATGCCGCGGCAACCTCCATCATTCTTTTGTTGTGCACACGTGGCTTTGTCGTAAGTTGTGGTAATGTTGCGCCACCGGCAATTAGCGGATCCGAGGATAAATGACTCCGCGGTGACAACATTTTAGCAAAAGGGTCAGCCAATCATTATTACGTGGCAACTTTTACCATAAAGGGAAGAGTATGGTCTATGCTGTGGACATTGACAAGGAGGGAAACAACAAGGTGTTTTTACATTGCAATGATTGATGTGTCATCCTGCTATACTAGAGTAGATGATGGAAGGTGCTAGTAGATGCTTAGACACAAAGGGGCTTGGATGGTGGGCTTGGGTATGGAAGGAACACGTAATCTTAAGAGGTGAGATGGGCGGGGTTCCTTAACCTTAGCTTGCTTTAAAAAGGGTCGCATCAATCGTGCTGTAACCCGATTCTCATCTACTTTTTTCCCATAAGCTACAATATGCCTGACATCGTCATCCCCAAAGAATACGGCTACGTATGTAAAGATTTTAGGAGAGTGGAATAGAGATTCTAATGGTATCCATGTACGACACATAGGTCATTGCTACGTTTGGTGCCTCTGCTTTGTATCTTTTCAATTTGGGTATCCAAACTGGTCTTGCAAGAAAGGCTGCTGGTGTCCCCTATCCATACGGTAAATATAAACATTGACGCATCAACCATAACCCATACTGATCCTTGTGTACTACTACAGCATACGCTGAAAAGAGCGAGGCCGAAAAAGACCCCAAGAAGCACATTTTCAATTGCGCTCAGCGCGTTCAACAGGTACAGGAAGAAAGCTCGCATTGTGAGGGAAGAATCAAGAAATGCTAACCGCGTTTGCACAATAGAACACCCTTGAAATGTTCCCCGTTTACTCGATTTTCTTATGCATTGCCGGTATCCGTTACCCTGTTTACGCTTCCGCTGCAGGTGTCTGGTGGTTGTTGAACCGTATGCTTTATTCTCGTGGATATATGTCAGGCAAGCCTGAGAAGCGGGCACGCGGTGTTCTTGGTTATATTGGCTTGTTTGGTCTTATCGGCATGTCCGGTAGCACTGTCTACCACTTGTTGCAATAAAATCTCTACCGTTATGTAATAAAGTCCATTGAAACCATCACTTTGGGAATTATATAGTACAACCGCCAGGAAATTATGTGTAACCATCACGTCACTAGCATGAGAATGGGGTATTAGAAAGCGTGGTAGGGTCAATAGACCAATTAGAATGAGCAGTGCATCCACAAAGTACCTTGTATAAAAGTGCATGGAGCGTGAGGCGTGAAATTTCTTTTCATCGTGTCGCAAAGAAGGTGTAGTAAGATGAGTTTTTGGCTGACAGGATCGCTCATCGACATATCTCAAACGTCCTCCCTGCTGGGACTTTATCGATACGCCCACGTTTTCGGATGGGTTGACCATTTGTGGTATATATTACCATGTTTGCTTGTGCAATCTTGAGATGGTATGAGTGATTTTCTTATGAGTGCTCATGGTTGTGATTGCTATATATGTATATCTATTATGCAAGGAAGCGGGACTTTTTATTTATCTACATGGACGTTGATCTTACTAGGACAAGGGATGCCTGGGATTTGGTTGGTTGTTCTTTCTTGTTGTTAGCAAGAGGGTGTGTGCCCTTTTACATTCTACATGTTATGATGGCAAAAATCACAACCATTGCCTTAGTACCAGGTCCCCAAGAATCAGCCTTTATTACTAAAGCCATTTCCAATCATCCTTTTTTAAAGCACAATCGACATCCTTAGCATATAGAAAAGTCCTACATTGCATATGTAAATTCTGTTTGGATATGGATGTCTTCAAATAGCAGCAGCAACATGGACGTATGTATGGTTATCAGCAGTTACGCAAGCTGTGTATGTGCACGGACCATGTTGTCTAAGTGTATGCATAACCTGAGTTAGTCATAGACTATCAATATCATCGTGTTTTGGGCACTGGAATTATCATTATCATATACCTTGCCCATAAAATCGTGTTAACGCATAACTTCTTTATAATACTCTGGTAAAGGTAGTCATGGATGCGGTCGAATGAGAGCTAACAACATACTTCCTATCAACTATCCAGCGTCTAAAAGGATACGGCCATGCCTACAAAAACCCATTCACATTCATATGTTCACATCACCATGATACAATACTGCATAGCAGCTCATTATCCCCAAGTTTATTGTAACAAAGAGGTCACTTTTTACGTACACTTACGAATGCGTCATTCATCCCCTTATAACTATCCACTGATTATAATTACAATGAGTCATTCTACAATCATACATGAATTTAATTGTATCATTTTTGCATCGAGAGCCATATTGTCATGAAAGCAGACATACTTTGTGTTGGTGAGCAGTAGGATGGAAATGGGTGGGGACTCATTGGCCAATCAAATGTCATTGTGGTCCGCAGCAGTTGCCTGGTTATTTGTTGCCCAGCAACACGCGTGCTCTTTACATTACACCTTCCACACGAACACAGCAGTTGCCAATGGTGAACGCCGTCCTTCCAAAGGTACTTGTTAAACGCTTCTACAGCAGCGTTTAGTAGTTCGCTAGCTACTAATGCAACACTCCACATTACCAGACGTGGGTAGCTCTTTACTTGCAACAACGCATTTCATTCGGCGCGTGTTTCGAGTCTTTCTCGTACAACAAAGGTAAGCCCAGTTCACTGCTAAGGAAGAAGACCAAACTGACACGTAACGTTGTTCTATTTAGACAACCTTTATTGGGCAATGGCTTAATGCTGGTTGAGCTAAGGTGGGTGGGGGGGTTCCAATCGATCTGTTTGGGTTGATCGAGCTCACTTGGCTTCTTTTCGTTGCCGTCAAACCCCCAGGCCCTTTTACGTGGTGCATATGGATCAGCAAACAGCGTGGTGATATCGTTGGAAGCAGGTATAGATGAGTTCCACTTGATTCGACTGCCATTGCTCATATTACAAGTATGTCCTTGTAGCACTTGGAACAAGGCCGTGGACAAGAGGCTGATGATGGTATACTTTTACAAGCATATGAATCACTAATGCGTGTTTAGAATGTGTGGATTAATCAAGAACCAAGACCGTACTTCAAGAATGGCCTATGCTGCTGAGGTTCTTGTGGATTGATGGTGCTCACTGGCCAGTTGATCGGGGTAGTTAGACGTATGCACGTGCTACTTGTTGCCGTAAAGAAAACTTTGGGTATTCTTTGGGTATTCAACCGGTGGGTGCTGTTGTTCGCTTGAAACTCTGTCAGCTCCTCAAGAAGCGTGGTGTTCAAGATGGCTGTGGATCGTAAGTATGATTATTATGGCTTTATTGAGATATGAATGATGGCTAATTTATCATGTTTCTAGTGTGGATATGTGGATCAGCAAGGATGTGGATCAGCAAGGATGTGGATCAGCAAAGATGTGGACCAGCAAGGATGTGGATCAGCAAGGATGTGGATCAGCAAGGATGTGGATCAGCAAGGATGTGGATTAATCAAGGATCAAGACCGTACTTCAAGGATGGCCTATGCTGCTGAGGTTCTTGTGGATTGATGGTGCTCACTGGCCAGTTGATCGGGGTAGTTAGACGTATGCACGTGCTACTTGTTGCCGTAAAGAAAACTTTGGGTATTCTTTGGGTATTCAACCGGTGGGTGCTGTCGTTCGCTTGAAACTCTGTCAGCTCTTCAAGAAGCATGGTGTTCAAGATGACTGTGGATCGTAAGTGGGATTGTTATGGTTTCTATTGAAATATGAATGATGGCTAATGTATCATGCTTCTAGTGTGGACATGTGGATATGTGAATCAGCAAAGATGTGGATCAGCAAAACACTCTGGATATTTGTGACGAGGCGATTGACGAGTGGTGCCGAGTACGAGTACGAGTACGAATGATGGCGGACGATGAAGACGACGATGGGTGGCAATGTTGCTAGATGGAATAAAGCATTGTTTCTTTTATTATGTGCACGCTTGGAGTTTGCTAGCTTGTGGATTACATACTATTGCTTCGAAGATGGAATAATAAAGGTGGTTCCGGTTATCGGTCATGCAAGAAGTATATGACTTTTGTGATACAATAAGGAGGAGTGGGATGGCCTTGAGAAGAGAAAAAGTGAAGTGATCCCGTGCATTGAGTTTCAGGATGAGTGACCCCATCGTCATCATCATCATCATTGGATTGGTTACTGGTGGGTTTACATAATACAAATTGGTTTATGCAGTTCGACCTTCTCCTACAGGCAAATGTGATACATACCTTGACACACCTTCATTACTGGATGCTGTTTACTTACGTACCTTCACAAAAGGCAATCATCATCACCATGCATTTGTGCAGCAACCTGTCAAAGACGTGTTTGTGTAACCACCACGTGCCATTTCACTCAGCTCTTCATCTTTCCGTTAATGCAGCCGACACCATCCACTAGGAGAAAGCAACTCCACTACGCTTACAGCATATGCAAAACATAAAGGCACTTGTATCTCTAAGCTTTACAATGAAACATGGGGTTTTTATTAGAGCAATGGGCTCGGCTTGGCCAACAGCACCTTGTGTGAAAGTTTCACGTTCAATGTCGCAAACAGCCCAAAAAATATTTTTTGGTCGTCGTCGTCGAAGAGGTCGACCCCCAGATCCAGTTTGGCTGGTGGCGACATTGCGAAATCTGGGATTGGCAAGCTTGATCGTGAAACTTTCACACAAGGTGCAGTTGGCCAAGCCGAGCACACTGTTCTATCAAAGACCCCACGTTTCATTGTAAAGTTCGGAGATACAGGCACCTTTATGTTGTAAGCGTGATGCTATATGAGAAGTGGTCTTTGTTTAATGTAAAGTAGTATGACTATAATATAGCAAAAGATGCAGAGGGCGTGTTTGTGTAACTTGAGTCATTCAGCACAGGCGATGCATGATTCTTGTACACTATTTAGGAGTAGTTCAAAATGCCAGCTAATAGCCCATTCCTCCCATGCACCTTTGTTGTCCAATCCAATGCATACGAACGATTGTCCTGATCCAGCCCAGCATGCCCATCATTCAACTTTCTTGATCCGATGAGATTTGACTGAAAAAAGCTCAAACACAGAAACATCATCCAATATCAGAAGAATCAAATTGGTAAGTTATTTGTAAACTGCCACTTGATAGCCCATTCCTCCCATTCACCATTGTTGTCCAATCCAATGCATACGAACGATTGTCCTGCTCCAGCCCAGCATGTCCATCCTTCAACTTTCTTGATCCGAGATGATTTGACTGGAAAGCGCCCAAGCAAAAAGGTGTCATGCAACTTGAGAAAAATGTACTTGACTTCCAGCTCTTCCACTCTCAGCTTATTGTTCTCTTCCTCCCATTCTCAACTGTTGGCCCATTCAAGTACAACTACCACCTGCGAACGATTGTATGCTTCAACCCACCATGTCAATCCTACAATTGCCTTGATCCGATTGTCCTTGACTGAATGGCAAGTTCATGACGTGTGAACCCCATTACAACACCCGCGTTTACTGACATTTCACCTTCCCTTGTACAATCCTCGACCACAATCAAACGTAACAGCAGTTTCAATTAGCAAGGTCTTTGCTCCATTGTTTCAAGTTACTTGCGGCAACTTGTCTCAAGGCCTTCAATCAGCAGATAGCATTATATAGAAACAGCTTTGTTTATGGGTAGCAACTTGCTTCAATACATACAAATTCATATACATATGATCTTGGACGTTACTTTGACATATGGATGGGAAGGATATGGGTATATACAATGTTGAAAAACGAGTTGGGGGGGTCTCATGATCTTTATTTACTGGGCCTGCCAGCAATTTATGCTTGTCTATATCGCTTACAACGCATCAGGGCTTACAACAGTCTCACCAGTAGTCGTATAGGTATTAAAGGAAGCTTCACTGGCCATTGGATGTTGATGTCTATCGTCGTTGAATAGCTCATGCTCGTTTCTTATCATGTAATCGATGATTTCAATCTTTCGATTCATTTCCAAGAGGTCCTTGTTTTCATCTGGATTACGCAATAATGTGGGTCCAAATACGACCGCCAAGTTGCGAGTGTTCATCAAATTAACGTGATGCTGTTCCTGAACTCTAATCACCACACACACACACACGCGTATATGAGTTACCATGTTCTTTATCCATCATCATCCTCGTCATCAACGACACGATACCTTACGAGATGTCGAATCAAGTACTTGAGCGTATTGTAATTCTCAGATGGAAGGGTATCATGCAAGAGGCGACGGAAAATGTCAAGACGCTGTTCAGGGTCCTTATTAACTGTGTATGCATCATTAATCCCTGCGTGTTTGTATATAAACCCCCTTCCCTCCACCATACTTACGAATAGCTTGAATGAAACTATCATGCAAAGCAAATGTAAAGAGAGGATCGGGGAGATTTCGAAAATACAGCTTGAGCACGCTTGTTATGGCTGAGATGTCATTCCATTTGGATACATCATCAGTGAGATCGGGCACTTTGCCTTGATCAAAAAGTTGTTGGATCTCACGCGTTTGACCTGCACCTCCTGAACGACGATAAATGCCCTCGGAATCCATGCCTTTAAAAAGTGTCAGTGTGTGCTTCAACAAGGGGATGAAGTTTATTATACCTCGTGCTTCCACAGCTTCCACGCACTTTTGAACAATGACAGGGATGCTTCCATGTTCAAGTTGTATTTGTGTAGCCAAGTCGTTTCCAAAAACCATGGACACTGTAACCAAAAAAAGAGTGAGCTTGCATAAATTGTAAGGTACGTTAGTCCTTCTTACTTGTTCTTTCCTCTTTGGGTGGTAAGGGTGGAGGCACACTATTATCATTTTGGTTGTCTGTGCATGGGGGTATATTGGAGACACATTTGGTATGACACACAGCGCCACAAGCTATAAGCGTGGTGATAGTAGTATTAGCATGAGAAGCCCTTATACAGTCACCATACATGTTAACCTTCCCAAATTATCCCACTCTCACCCTTTCTTGCCTTGGCATTTGTATTCAGATGCTCGCCATATTTTTTCACCACAGCCTTCACATTTCATTGGACGTATGAATTTCTTGCTTTGTACAAGCCGATGCTGTTGTGGTTGTGGCTGTGGCTGTGGATCATCTCCATTGATGGATAAACAACTGTTGCTGCTCTTGCGTTGATGAGACGATGATGTGGATGATAAGGTGGATGTGGATGGTGACTTTCCAAAAAACATCATGCGTTTGTTCTTGAGTTTCCTCAATCTTGACGTTGTTTCTTCTTCTGCAGATGCAATTTCATCCGAATGTTTCTTCCCCGCCGTATCCAAGAAATTGGTACCTGCCATGAATGCCACAGCTTCACGTTCTCTTTGGGTCATGCGCCGTGAAAGATCATTGTTGAGTGCGTTCAATTCAGCGTTTTTGGTATTGAGAAGCACCATATCACTCATGACTTCATTACGTGCTTGATCCAATCGGTCATATTCAGCTTGTGCTTCCTCAATATCATGACGCACCGATGACAAATGTGTTTCAAATGGTCCCAAGATCATCTTTTCCCACACATCGGCCCTGTATCACATCGTGAGTAAAGCCAACACTGAAGGATCCTTATATACTACTACATACTCTATCTTGTCATTGGGAGGATGATCAATAAGAGCTGTAATTTCTGTCATCAGCTTATCACGTTCTTGTCGCAGGTCGTTGCACGTTTGCTCAAGGCGTGTTTTTGTCATGTATAAATCTTGTACTTGGTCCTTTATGGCATTTTCACTAGCACGCTTGCACACTTGATCCGGGGTATCAGCAACTATGGACATTCGGTTGGCTGACTTGGTGCCAAAATTACAAAGCAGTGTGAATTGCAATCCGGCTGCACATGTATAATAACACTTTTTTCACCCGCCATTTACACCTTACACCGCCCCTCCTTTCGTATATCATCATCCCTTTGTCAACGCTTACCTTGAGCCTATCAATTCTTGATTCTGCTTGTTGTAATCGGGTAGACATGTGATGTAATTCACGTTCAAGTTCAGCTGGTGATGATGGTGACGATGTTTCTGTTGAAGGGCGACGATTTTCATCTGTGGATGGTAGTGCGAGAAGTGACAAGGGTGTGGATGAAGAGGAAGAAATAGAACGAGTAGGTGATTTTAATGGACGTTGGTGATGAGGATAATCGGTAGAAAAAGCTGTCGTCATAATGGGGTTGGGTTGAGATTGACGTCTTTGCATGATTTTGGGGAAGAAAGTAAGAGTGGAAAGAGAAAGAAGAGGAAAAACCTACCCACGGAACTGGGGCATTCTTTTACTCGTTGATTCATTTTCAACTGGAGTTTCATTTGAGTGTCCTGCATCTACCATAAACATCGTCGACCCTTTTCATACCAGGCATATTAAAGAGAATGAGAGAGAGAAAATCATCATTGTCAATGTACAAAAACAAAGGTGTCACAATGAATGATAATGGTTGTACCACAATGAAGTCCTCCCCATAGGAAATGGGCTATGTATGATGATCTCTCTGCGCATGATTGTTGTAAGCATATGAAAACCAAGTCGAAGTCCGCTAGACACTTTAGGCTTTATTCCAAGCTCCTCCCCCCAACGCTTTTGCTCACTTTTCTCTCTCTCTCTTTCAACGCCAATGTCACTCAACCATTATCCTTCCTACCAACGATCGTCACCTCCTATTGAACATGGGAAACTACGTGTATGTATTCCTGTAATGACTGAAACAAGAATGTATAGCTTCTGCATTTGGGTCTTGTCATTGACGGAAGTATATAGATTCAAATTCACAGCTGCTATTTGAACGTGCCTGTCAAACGGCCTTATGTTGTCTTGACAATGGGAGGTGAGTTCAAGGGAAGGAATGTGTGGCGTTTTACAGGTATGGCGATAACATGAATTTGCATAGATCAGCTATACGAGACTTCGGTATCAGAATACCCGCAGGGTCGATGGCACGAGAGCTTTGAGTTCAAGGTCACTTTCCATGCCCAGCTTTTCGACACTGTTCAGCTTGATTTATACGACTCATATATGCTGTTGCCGGATAAACACGTGGGTCGGGCCGAGATCCGGCTCAAAACTTTACGTGGCATGCCAGAGACGTTTACAAGTTACTATGAGATTTGGGACAAACGGCTATCAACGGGTGCAAGTTCACGCGTGGGTCGCGCCAAAACCATGGCTACCAATGTGGGTGCTATTCAAGCAAAGATATCTTACATTTATCAAGAAGATGAATCACATGGAGACAATGACACTACTGGAGAATCAAGTGGCGACTTGGCTGATTTGGCGAATTTATCCATACGTCGACGCAGCAGTGGTGGTAGCAGTATTGGTAGTCATGGTGTGGTGGGTCGTCGTCGTGGTATGACAGATGAGGAATTGGCAACAGAATTTCGTCAACACGTCAAACATCAACGCGAGTCGGCAGCTATCGCTTTTCAAAAGTATGAGGAACATGGCAACGGCAACAATAGGCGACGTGGATCATCAGACAAAGAATCGTTACCAGATGGATTGGATTATCCAGATGAAAGTGATGGAGCTGAAGAGGAAGAGGGAACCAATACCAATGGAGACTTGGGCGTCACCCCTCTCAAACAACCCCTGGCTCTCAGCAGAAAACGTACATCTCAAAGCTTACGGGAACAATCTGCACCAGTGGATCCAACAACCAAAGAGTTACCCGACAACAACACTAATAGCAACAATCCAACGCCTCTACAAGCCATGTCAAGCTGGTTTGGATTTGGTCCTGCTGCTGAAGGGAAACAACAACAACAACCTGCTGCATCACGATCCGTACGTACAACTAAGGCGGAGATGGCTGAAACAGTTAATGTATTGGAAGAAGAGGATGATGGCGTCAAGCTATTTCCTTTGCTCAGCACCATTGGTTCATGGACCGTGAATAAGGAAACAAATCAGGTGCTCAAGGCTATTGGCAAGTTGCTTGCTGCATTTGTAAGTTGAATGGTGATGGTGGAAATCAAGATGATTGACTAAAGTATAATAGGGACAAGGTTTTGAATTATCCAATATCCAAATCTTGACCGGATTTTCTATGCTTGAACGATTCTATATGGATTTACCAAGAGACCGGACCTGGGATGTTGTTGAGGACTTGTCAGAAATTGAATTGGCAGCCTATTTCTGGAAATACTCGGTGGCATCGTATGGCTGGAAAGGATTGAATTTCATTGGAAAGGGAAATGGCTACTTTTCGGATGCTATGCGTGATCACTCGGATGTGCTTTCAGTCGTTGAATATCTATCCATCCCAAAGGAAGATGTTTTGGCTTACGAATTCCGGGCAGCTGAAGCTTTTCGACCAAGCTATTTCATCACTCGAGATAGACCAACAAACTCGATTGTATTGTGTATACGTGGTACAATGGTAAGCAAGGGGTTGATGAGGGTGGAAATGGGATTATGGATCAAACTAATAGAAAATGGACCATGATAGAGTGCATTCGATACCATGACGGATCTTGTTTGCGAATACGAACCATGGCGTGGAGGTCTCGTGCATAAAGGAATGAAGGTAAAAAGAACGTTGGATAAGGAAAATAAAGGATCTGGTCTCACACATGCAAATCTTAGTCTGCAGCCACGTGGTTTTTCCGTCATGTCGCACCACAGCTTGTTGCCTATTCGAATGAGCACTCGACCAACGCCCTTTATATTGTCGGCCACAGTCTTGGTGCTGCTACTGCTTCAATATTGACGATCATGTTGCTCGATTTCATGGATGAATTCCAAAAGGATAAGAAGGAAAAGTTCCAGCTCAAATGTTTTGGATATGCACCTGCTTGCGGATTAAGTCTTGATCTGGCTGAGCAATACAAGGCAAGTATTCCCAAAGGTTGCCGCTACACAGCATTCAATGCTAACTTGTGTCTTCTTTTATAGGATCACATTCAATCGATTGTCTTTGCGGATGATGTTGTCAGCAAGTTGAGTTACGGCTCGATGATGGATATCAAAGAATTGATCATTGCCAGTGCCGAAGCTGCTCAAAATCTTGGTATTGGTCAATTGCTGTGGACTGATAAGCCCGAAGGAAAGCAATGGGAAGCTGCATTTGAGAGAATTGCTGAATGCCGTAAACGTTGTCTCGAATCTATGGAGAATCCAAGGGTAAATGAAAGCTTGAAAATTCTTATACCTTGTATACTTATTTATATTTCTATGCAGTTGTATGTAGCAGGAAAAGTGTATCAATTCTGGCTGGTAAGTAATTCGCTCCATACTATGATACATTGTCGCTCATTGTTGATTGTAGGATCCAGCACCACACAATGATACCCGAATTGTGATTGAAAGAACGGATGCTCGGCGTGTCTCGAGTGAAATTATCGTGAGGCGATCCATTGTCCTTGATCATCTTCCCACCAACTTTGATTTGGCGTTTAGACGTGCTAGAGAAGCACTCATGGTGGGAACTGGCCGCACTAGTACCGATTCAAAGCAAGCTGGTATCCTGGATGAAAGCGGTCATGAAGGCTTCAAAGAGAAATTAGAAGAACAAGGAATCAAAAAGACTACACAACGCACTGGAGGTGAAGGCACCACGGTACCTGAAGGATCCAGTCGATAGAATTATCTCATATACCCCATCTCCCAATTGCACCCATTGTGTACATTCTTCTTGATGCATAAAGTTTCAACTATACAAGGGCACAATAATTATCTCGTTGCCCATGAATATGATCATGATCGTTGTTGTTCCATAAGAGCCAAATTAGGATAGCTGGAAATACGTATACATCACCAAAAGAATGTTCAGTATATACTTGTTGGAAACGAGCAACATTATAAAGATACGTATGTATTGATATTAAACGTGATAACTATGTACTGTTCTTTGTGTAGAATATAACCTATATTACATGCTAGTGTATTGCAAACACGGGCTCTTTAATGCTCTTGACGCTGATCGATATTATCTTTGGTGTAAATAGTTCCTGCCTCTTCATCCATAAACATTCGACCAGCACCACCGACGACTTGTTTTTCCTCTTGACCAATGTCCTCTTCGTGAGGTAAAACGAGGTTGAGCAGGATGGATAGGATGCCTCCCATTATATACCCAGTTCCAACGACCGTGGAAATAGCATCGTAAAAACCTTGCAGAGCCGAGTTTTCAACAGTGGGCATTACATAGGTAAACCAATCAGGGACAAGCGAGACACCAAGAGCGAGAGCGAGGGAAGCTGCTATGACCACACGATCACGACGTGTCCAATCAAGGTATCCAAGGATACGAATTCCTGAAGTAGCGACTGATGCAAATAGGAATACAGACATGCCTCCAATCAATGGTGATGGTATAGCCAAAAATGCCGCCGAGATTTTGGAAAAGACACCAAATAGGATCATCAACACCGCACAAACAACGCCTGCATAACGATTGGCACAGCGAGTGACAGCAATCACACCATTGTTTTGACTAAAAGTAACGACGCCCATGCTTGTTGCCAAACCCGAAAAGACACCTGATAAGCCATCGGCAAGTAAAGCCCCTTGACAACGTTGCTCAAAGACAGGACCTTGGATCTCCATTCCTGATACATCACATGCTGCAGTCAAATCACCAAGGCACTCAATGCTCATATCAAGGTACACGAATAAAAATGGAATGATGCCGGGTCCATACACTGATAGTTTGAACGTTTTGACCCAAAGAAAAGTCGCAGCAGGGGCAGCTTCAATACTTGAGCTGTCAAACATGCCAATGGCAGCAGCAATGATACATCCAACCACCAATCCAAGTACGACGGATATGTTCTTGAGGAAGATCGATCCCGCCAATTCGATGAAGATGATAGTAAAGAATACAGAGGCGCCTAGAGCAAAGTTGACGGGATTACCCCAAGCTTGGGCATGTGGAGCTGCATTGTTGGGACATAATACATAGTCGCCTGTAGTGGGACGTGACATGCAAGGACCTGTTCCACCAGCCCAATTTTCCATTCCAGTGGTCAACAAAGAGCTTCCAATCACCAAAAGAACAATTCCTGTCACAATCTTTGGGAATAGCTTGCGGATCACGCGTGGCGGTAGGAAACTGATACCAATCGTAAGCAACGCGCAAATCATTTGTGTGCCGAGGATAGCACCATAGGCGTCAGGGCATGGAAGATATTCAGTCGTGCCATCATCCAATACTTGAGTAGGACATACACCACCTATTTACATACACATCATCATATAAGTGAATGGCTTTACAAGTGTAATAGATGTACTACTTACTCTTGTACATGTTGCTGATCAATGCCTGAGCTGCAGGAAGATTGGCAAATGAAACGCCTGTGATCTGAAGTAGACTACAAATGTCATTGTTAGAATGATGATGAGCATGTTGACCATAATGACAATGAATGGCTTACGTACCCTGCACCAATGTAGAAGCGTGTCTTTGGTATCTTGACGCGGATAATCTGTAGCAAGCTATAAACGTTTGTTGCTGTGAGTGACACGATGTCTTTTACTACATGGATACAAGCACACACACACACACGCATACCTCATCAACCCTGAAACAATCAACGACGCTGATATCATGTACTGCCTGGTTTCTTGGTCAAGATTGAGAGCATTGCTGCCGGCTCCTGAGATAAGGATTGTTGGAGTGATAAGGCCGCCAATCACGGTGAGGAAATCTGTTGCATTGCGACAAAAGAAAGTCAACACTTGAATGGGCAATGTGTACAGTGACGCTGCTTACGTTGTAGCCCCATGATAAGGGCAAGGAATATTGGAATGGGGTCATTAGGACCATAGAATGGGGAGGTGTTGTTTCTTTGTTTGATAAAGGGAAGACGAGGCAAGCTGCGGAGGAACAAAGTGCGGGATTAATGATGCATGAAATTGACATGGATATCTATCTATGATATGCCACCTACCAAAAAGCGCGATAATCGTATCTCCCAAACCATCCATCGACAGTGGTAAGCTTACGCTTCGTCCTAGTAACAAACGACTGATCCAAAACAGGCGGCATAGCTTTTGGATAACACATGTCTTTTGGCTCCTCAACTCGGATCTCAATGTCGGTACATTTCTTCTCCATAGCGATTGAGGATGTTCTTTGCAGCGATGATAATAAACAATGCGAGTATTGTTGGATGTTCTTTTAGCGTCAATGATGGTACAACCGTGTTAAAAATACAAGGGCAAAAATGGATGCGGGGGGAATGCCACGTAAACAAGGGTGATAGCTTCTGCTGCAAAGGTCGAACGTGCTTTCATTCAATTATTTATACGCTGGCAGATTCGAGAATATGACTTTGACGTGATTATGGATTAGCAACCTGTCGTTTTTGTTGATAAAGACAAGATGATATGATAGAAGTAGATAACGATAGGAACGTAGTACAGAGAGATAAAGAAAGGAAATCGCTATGAGATTACCAACATGATCATATACAGCATGGCCTAGCAAGCATTTGAATACTGTAATGGATATCGATTTCCTATTTCCCTTTCTTTTACTACTAGACTATTACAAACAAGAATGAGAATCCTCACATCCCTTGGTGTTATCGCAGCTGCTGTAACCACCTTGTCGTCAGCCAGCAGCATCACGATTACTACTACTACCGCCAAATCACCCTCCCCAGCTTTTGGTGCAGATGGCAGTTTTAACCCGTGTCGGGCTATTTCTATGGATGATCAAGTTGCCTTGGATGAATGCTACATGCAGCTTGCTTTGGATCATGTCATGATCCATAATCCATCGTTTCCCTTTGGTGCATTAATCGTTGACCATACCACCAACGAAATTTCCTGCTACGGGGCTAATTCGAATAGGAAGAACAAGCTTTTGCATGGCAAGTATCCCCGCCCCAACATGAATGAGAGGATGATGACTTTGACTAATAGCTAATCGTTTCACGGGTACTTATTCAGGCGAGACCACAGCCTTTTGGAAGTAAGTTTTTCATTTCATTCTCATCGGGATCTTAAAGCATGTGAATCGCTGTTATCTTTAAATGCCGGAGGGGAAAGATAATACAAAAAGCAGAATGTACGCTTATCAACCGATATGTGTGTTCCACTTTAGCTGTACTGAACTTTATCCTTCGCCGACCCACGATGATTTGAATGATCCTGGGCTGAATTGGTCTCACCAAACATTGTACACAACGGGCGAGCCGGTGAGTTTATCATGGACAATGCACATGCATATCACTCACACAAATACAATGTATGTGTAAATATACCCTTATCATTGCGTTTTCACATAAATTATAGTGTCCCGCTTGTGCCTCACAAAGTATTTACCGCGGGGTTGGGCGGGTTGTATGGGGATCTTCGATCCCCGACATCAATCGTAGTGGACGCCAACAACTCATGATTGACATGTACGTAAAATCCGACAGCACCACAATTGTCCCTTGCACATATGTTTCCCACATACCTCCCCCAATACCACTTTTGTGGGTGAATGGATCATCAACAAGCCTATGTCTTACACAACAAAAACTAATATTACACCCTATATTTCTCAGGGATGACGTGATAATTTCAGCTCATATGGGTGGTTACCAAATCGACCACCGTGTCCCTGATGTTGTCGGTGGCGTTTTACAAGACAAATGCGACCATGCCTTTTGGTGCGCATTCAGTATTTATCGGGACGATGCCTACTATCAATCCATGTTAGCCCGCGACTTGGGCGATTACATCGAAGATCACAAGCGCCGCTTTCCTTGCGTCACAGTACCTTTTGTTATACACTAAAAAATACGTGAATGTTTCTCCCTTGTTGTACACACACATGGCTTATCATCAGGCGTCGACTTTTTTCACTCCACACCCCCTCCCCCCATAAGCAGACACATACACACACACACACACATTTGTAAATATGGTTCAGCAACTCCATGTAAAAACACGCTGTAAAATACAATTTTCTTTTTTCCCCATAAGCTGCAAAAACGCAGACATGTAGCACAAGGCTTGTCAGCATCTTTTGATGTGGTAAATTCACCATGAGAGGTCTAGCGAGTGCCCTAGGCGCGGCTATTGGCCAATTTTGTGGGGTGCCGCTATAAAAGATGAAAATGTGTGGTCCGATCATCCTTTTTCTTTTGGTCAAGTTTTTCATCTCTTTCAACCCGTTCTTACATCAACACAACCCACCCACCTTTTCTTTTTTCTCACTCTCCTCCTCATCCTCATCATCCACCATGTCCGCCGAAGCTGTTTCTATCAACCATTCAATACTTTCGTCGACCCCATCCATTACCACAACCACCACTACTACTAGTACCACCGCCAACGTTGGCACTTTTCAAGAAAACAAGCATGATAAGATTGTGCGAGTTGACTTGGCAGACTATGATAATCGCCGTGACGAAATCGTAGACCAACTTTTGAGAGCTGCCAAAAACGATGGTTTCTTTTACGGTAAACACCCGTCACTTTTGTCTTCTATAATTAAGGCATTGCACCTGCCTTATTTATGCTGATATACCTAGTATAACTAAAACTATGCCTTGTTTTTGTAACGACTTTAGTGGTCAACCATGGCATTCCTCGTGAAGACATTCGTGCCATGTTTGGTGCCAGCGTCGACTTTTTTGCTTTACCAGACCAAGTCAAGGAGAAATACCCAATGGATGTCGCTCGTAATGCAGGATGGCAACAGGTGTGTCTTTTTTGCCCCAGCCATATTTCTTTTTTTGTATAGCGAGAGAAAGAGAACGCACATGTCACTGACTACTCCATACAATGACAACCCACAAAAAAAAGATTCGACCGGCCGCCGAATCAGCACAATTCAGTCATTACGGCATCGATGATTTGTGGCCAACAAACGAAGATTGTCCTGGTTTTCGCCCTGTAACGGAAAGTTTTATGCATCAATGCCATGAATTGACAGAAAAATTACTCGTTTGTTTGGCCATTGGTCTTGGATTTCCATGCGATTTCTTTACACGGTGTCACGATATCAGCCAGCCCGACACCCTCAACACATTACGTTGTCTCCATACACGTACAGGCGAGAATGCTTGTTGGAGTGCCAATGATGTTGATACATTAACCTTGTTATTCCAAAGACCCGGTGAACCAGGATTACAGTTGATCTGTGATGAGCACAATGACCCCTTGTGCCTACCTCCACCAAGCAACAATGAAATCGTATGCAGCTTAGGCGATCTTATCATGCGTTGGTCCGATGATCTTTTCAAGAGCGTTCGCACTCCACCTAAACTTGATGCAGGACAAGGACCACGTTATGCAATCGCTTACTCAAGTCAAGCTAACAAGTCAGCCATTGTTCAGGGACGACACTTGTATACGGATCCAATCACGGCAGGTGAATTGTTCCTGAAAGCCATGGAGAGAAACTTTAAGGCTTCAAAACGTCAACAAGCAGCTGTGGTTTAACGACGTACGCCACCCTTCTTACTACTATTATCATTACCCTATCTCTTTTTCTTTATCCTTTTTCTCTCCCCCTTTTTTTGCGTTTCATTATTCTATCCCGTTTCGTCGTCATTGTCCTCCCCCAATTCTCCTTCGAAAGTTCTATGATGTAGATATTGTATCATATTCCCCGTTGCCTTTGGTTGCCATGGTTACCCCATCTATGTGGTTGCTAGGCACCACGCGGTGCAGCAACTCCGCGTAATAAACCTGTGTACTTATTCTCTTTTCAAAGAAATCCGATTTTAGTTGCTATATTACTTGAGATCTCTTCTATGGAAGTAATGAGGAAAAAAAACATGTGGGTGCTTTTGTGTATGGGTGTGAGAGAGTGTGTGTATAATGGATTCGATTTAGAAAGATCTACTCGTTCTTGAAAGAGAAAGAGGGCACACCAGGTACTGAGGTATCAGCAGCCTTGGAATCTTCTTCGGCGCATTCATCGACCTTGATAATGTGAATGGTCTGGAAACCAAGCGCCCGTTGGATTTCACGAACGCACGTGTTGAGTGTCTCGATTTCATTGAACTTCAATGCACGGTTGAAACCTGATGGGCCAACATTCTCGATTTGTCTCTATTAACATTGGTAGTTTCGATCAGTCAACTTGTATATTTTTTCTCAGGGTACGCTAATACCCTCCCCCTCATCGCTCCCATTTGCATGACAGCAGCAGCAGTGGCGCTGATAAACTTTACCTTCTCAGCTTGCAAGAATGGCATCACCTTCTTGTCCTTGAGCATACCCTTGGAACCCAATTCTTGGCGGATCTTGACATCATCGAATTTACCAGTGGCCTATATTTGCAATATACCATGTAAATCACAAATACCCCAATGACAGATGTTTCCCATCCTTCCTTCTACCATCCTACCTCATCGTAATGCTCCTTGGCAATAGCCAAGACTTGTTCTTGCCATTCAGGGAACTTGTTAGCAACAAAGATCTTGATGGACTTTGGTGCATTGGGGTTGTAATCGGACTTGACGTCTTTGCCCTTTTTCTTTTTCTTTTGCAAGCTCAACTCGGTATCACGAATGGACTTGATGGTGCGACGCACATACTCGGCAGCAGCCAAAATGGAATCGTCCACAGGGGCAGTGGGTTGTGGGAACAACACGCTGGTAACAGTACCCTCCTAGAAAACGAAAATAGGCAAATTAATCCCAAAATGAGTATTACATAAAAAAGAAAAGCACATGCTTGTGATGACCGAGATTACCTTTTTGAGAAGATCGCGCCAGACATGTTCAGACCAGTGGGGGCACACGGGTGTCAATGTCAAGGTTTGCATCTCAATGTATCGCAAAACAAGATCCTTGTGCATACCAACTTCCAAACAAGCTTGTTGATAATGATCACGTGCAGCTTGGAATTCAAAGACACCATACTTGAGAGCTTCACGGTAGTTGGTGGCAGCATAAGCCTCATCGGTCAAACGCACAAGCTTGTTCAATTCATTCTCAAACACGCGGTCGTAAAAGTTGAACTCGCCGGTACGCAACTTGTCAACCTTGGTGATTTGCTCCTCGCACCATTCAAGCAAAGTGTACAAACGCAAAATGGCAGCGTTGGCAGTGCTATCCTCAAAGTTGGCGTCTTCAATAGTGTCACCGGCATCAGCAAGGGCGAAACGAGTAGCGTCAGCACCATACTTTTCAATAGCATCGGACATGGTCATGAAGTTGCCAGTGGACTTTGACATCTTCTTGGAGTCGAGCAACAAATGGCCATTGGAACGAACACCACGTGGCCAGAATTCTTCAGGGAACATGGCAGTGTGGTTGTACAAGAAGAAAGTCAAATGGTTAGGCACCAAATCCTTGCCAGACATACGACAATCGAGAGGATAGAAGTATTCAAATTCACGACGAAGCTTGTCAAGAGTAGCCTTTGGAATATCAGTGTCCTCAGGGAAAGGACCAAGCTTGAAAATGTAATCCCAAACACCATCCTTCATTTGCTCAGCACGAATGTTGGCAGGGCCCACAGTGGTACCATCAAGAGAACCTTGGTGCAACAAATGGGCAACAGTGTAGTAAGCCATGTAAATGGTGGAATCAGACAAGGACTCGACAAGGAATTGAGGATCCCATGGCAACTTGCTACCAAGACCGAAGCTACGTGCACAAGCCCATTGGTTGAGCCAATCGAGAGTTCCTTGGAATTGGTTGCGGGTCTCGTTGTTGAAGGTGTTCATTTGTCCCAAGCACTTTTCAGTCAAAGCCTTCCATTCAGCTTCACCATAATCCAAGTACCACTGATCCAACAAGGCAACGATACATTCATCACCAGAACGCGACATGATAAGACCTTCAGGTTCACTGTACACGAAAGCTTCACCCGATTGAACAAGTTCCTCTCTGATCTTGGGCTTAGCTTCTTGCACCTTCAAGCCCTTGTACTTGCCAATGACCATAGTACCCATGTAGAAACCTTCCTTGTATGCAATCTCCTTGGCTTCGGCAAGTTGAACACGATCCTTTTGCGAGTTGATCTTCTTTTGCTTGCAGAGGGTGGGAGCAATCAAGTTGCCATAGGTGGGTGTCTCGATGATAGGAATAGGCTCATAATCGGCAATCCATTCAGGTTGGATGTTGTAATAAGCTGACTTCTTCTTGAGATCGGACACAGTGGCGAAATCATCAGGAGAATCGGAAGGAACAGAGGTAACAACACCAGTACCCTATCAACGCATATTAGTTAACCTATCCATCTCCTTCAAAGGATCCATAATCCCACACACTTTACCTTAGTAGGAAGCACATTTTCCATGGGCAAGACGTAAACGTGGTCATAGGTACTCAATGGGGCATGGATCTTGGTACCAACAATATCAGCACCCTTGATCTCGGCAAGCTTGTTGATGACACCTTCCTCGGCAAAGATCTTTTGATGGGACATGTTGCGAGCAGCGCGTTCAGTGCACAAGAAAGCCTCCTTGTCATTGACCTTGTAGACACCATAGTCGATCTCGGGACCAACGAAGCAGTTGGTTTGACCATACATGGTTTCAGGACGAAGGGTGGCGGCGACCATGTGAACCTTCATATCCTTGAGAGCTTCAACTTGACCAAGCACCTCCTTAGCCTTGTCGGACCAGTCGAGAACGGTCATCTTGATACCAGTGTATTCTTGAGGGCCAAGACCTTCACCGGATTGACGATCGTGATCCATACAGGGTTGTTGATCAACGATGGAATAGATGGTATAACGTTCACCAAACTTGATCTTGTTCAAAGCCTTGAGCTTACGCATTTGCCAGCAAACGAACGAATCATAGTAGGGGTTGGCATCGGTGGTGATAAAAGTACGGCGCCAATCGACCTTGCCACCAAAAGCATCGATATCCTTCATAGCAAGAGGGGGAAAGTACTTTGTCCAGTACCAAGGATCGGCAAACTTGCTAATCTCCTCACGAGGGATACCAAGCTGTTCCATGATTTGAAACTGGTATGTCACATTGCCGGTCTTTGCAGCCACCTTGCTCTTGACATTCTTGTTCACTTGAGCCTTGACATCCATTTCCTCAGCAAGGGCTGCCTCATCATACAATTCAAAGGTCTTTCCGAACATGGCCATTTCACGAGTAAGCTTGTCAGCACATGCCTATCAAAGAATTGAATGGTATCAATATGTGTATCCATAGACACGAACGCGCGCGTAAATGTATATATATATCGTTACCTTGATGGGCATACCAGTGACATGGAAACCTTGAGGGAAAAGAGCACGCTTGCCCTTCATTCTTTCGTAAGCAACGGCAAACTCGGTCTTGGACATGGTGAACGCGTGTCCCAAATGCAAACGACCGTTCATGTAAGGGTAGGGCATACAGGCCATGTACTTGGGATAAGCCTCGTGCAAGTCGTTGCTGTTGGCATGCTCTTCGATCGTAGGTGCATCGATTTCAAAAGCCTTGGTCTCGTCCCAAAAGGTACGCACTTTGCCTTCGAGTGCACGGAGGGCATCACGTTTGGCAGTCTAATGGAGGGCAATGTTAACGTAATGAAGCGATTTAGGAAGCCAAGTTAGTAGACGCACCTTGGGAGGTTCACTTGTAGTTGCCATTGTGAAAGGGTAAAGGTGAGGGTGGTGAAAACGGAGTTACTAGTCCGGTAGTTTTTTTTTCTTTCCTCCATCAACCTCTCCTACTGCGGTGCTGTGGTGGCTTCCACCAATCAAAAATGGTGAGTCATTCTCCAAGGTTTGCTCACATCACATGATGTGTTCCTCAATGGTTCTTTAGTTTATTGTACAAAAGGGCATTGGGGGTCTTTTTGTCAGGGATGCCACTAATCTTATTACGTGTAGCCATACCACGCATGACCTTGTAGAGCTCTTTGGGTGTGGGATTATCAAGATAAGGCAAAATCATTGCTGCAACACCTGATACATGAGGTGCGCTCATAGATGTTCCACTCATTGTTGCGGTCGAATCGGGCTCTCCAATATAGGTGCTGGTGATATCAAAGCCTATATAGATGTCAATTCAGTACATAGTTCTTCCTTCGTAATGAATAAAACATGCATACATACCTGGAGCTAATACATCTACACATGCCCCATAACAACTCTGGGAATCCATTTCGTCCTCTTGTGTCGTCGACCCCACCGTGAAAACGTTCTTGCTGTTTGCTGGAACAATATCACATGCATCACTATGTACGTTCATGGTGAGCATGTATACTACAATTGAGTTATGCATATATACTTTACACTGCAGAGTTACCGGCAGCAGCAATGACAGGAATACCAGCCTTGACAGCAGCTTCCACAGCTTTACAGGATAAAAATGAGCATACGTTGTCCTTTTCATTGTCCCATTAAACTTTTTACCTTGTGCCAATGTTTTTGCTCGTACGTTCTCCTTTGGTAATCCAAGAGACAAGTTGATGAGCACTGGTCGAGTCTGGTTCTTTTCTTGCTCAACGACCCAATTGATACCGCCAAGGAAGTTGGATACAGAGCCCTTGCCATTTGGTTGTAATACTTGAACACCAACAAGTGTCACATTTTTGGCAACACCATAATGCTTACCACCAATAATACCAGCAACATGGGTGCCTACGTATTCGTAACATGAGGAAAAATGGTGAGCATGCCATCATGGTGGTTTTAAGGATGATGAAGTTAAGCACGTACCATGACCACCGCCATCTCTGGGGTCACTGTTTTTACCACCTCCTGCGCTAGAAGTACTCTTTTGGGTGATGTGTTTGTTAGATGTGCTATTCGCCACGGCAGACCAGCCATAGGATGCGCGCTTTTCAAAATCTTCATTGTGGATAGCCAATCCATCATCAATGATATACACTGTGACACCCGCACTTTTTAAAACCATTAGCAAAGCCAATTTTGGAGGAGGAATGATGATGATGGCTTACCCAGAAAGAGAATCAGTGGTATAAGGCTGCTCCAAATCAAGTTCACGTTGAGAAATACGGACCAAATTCCATGGTGCTTGTGGTTCCTCAGGCATTTTGATATACGTGATTGTGTCGTTCTTGTGACCTTTGGTAGGTGTATGGGTTGGCATTGCTGAAGAGAAAGTTGTGCTCGACCATTCCTTGTCGGATGAGCCGGTTGGTGTGGGTTTCGTAGCACTCAAAGAGGAGGATGTCTCACTCGAAGTATCATCTTCATCATCAGACTATTGTTATTGTTGTTGTCATTATGTAAGAATACATCCATGTCGAGTCATAGGGTATTATCTACATACCTCATCACGTTTATCAACCGAATTATGGGCATTGGGCTTTGGCAAGAGGAATTCAATATCATCATCAGGAATGATCGACATGACTTGGGTGATATCCAACAATGAATCGAGGATCGTATCATTGTGTAACTCCATTTGGAACGCCTTGAACATGCCGCCAATATCAAAAATGTCGTGGACTTGGATAGCTTTTGGCTCCGGCTTTTTATGACAACGCTTAAACAGCTTCCCAATGGTCTTGCCAACATCTTCAACAACAGTTTCAGCCACCTCTTCAGTCTCATGGATCAAGTCTTCGAGGGTTTGGAAAGCGTTTTCGAGAAAGTTGGGAATAACTATAAAAGCGTATCATGATCAATATTACGTGCGTCGACAAGCGTATTATGTATACGTACAATCAAGGATATCAACGTCATGATTGACTTGGACAATGTATCGTTGCGTATCAGATCGCTCAACCGGGTGCTTTTTATGTGAGCATGCTAATGCCACACAGCATCCAACCAAGAATACGGTTAGAATGGATAGCTTCATTATTGTTAACTACGTAGTCGTCGTTGTTGGTTTTGATGTAGTAAATGTATGCCGTTAACGAGAGTAAAGTAAAGGAATGGTATGGGTGGTAGGTGGCCAATGGGCCAAAAGAATAACGAAAGAAGAATAAGGTGTGTTTGAGGAGGATAAATGGAAATGGTGCTAAGCTTTTATATATGTGCCATGCGGTTAATTAAGAGGTGATGCCTTTCGTACAACATTATCATATGTCACTGTAGGGTACTACTGAGATTCAGGATCGTCGAATAGGGGAGGATGTGTTAATTCTAGGATGGGGACGATCCATAGGCTGCTACAGCTGCTGATCATGTTTTCTCGGCCCTTAATGCAACGAGTCTACTTTGTTTCAATCGATGATCGAATGGCATTGTGGTAAAATGCATGTTGTCGTTTATGTAATGGGGATTTTCCATAATGGCTGAGCTTGGGTGGTGATTGTACTGATCCAGGGTTAGAACATGTGCATCTAGGCATGGTAGTCGTTTCACGTGGTGACATCCTCTGTTAAGGGTGAGATCAAAAGTCAGATCCTTGGATGGGCCTTTTTGGATTTGACAGCAGTGGACCCATTCACACGCTACAGTAGGACACTCGTTGGTAGTACTTCCCAATGACCAAAGCACACACACACACACACCACATTTATGGCGTCCATCATCTACACGGCATTTGAATCATGATTTAATCCTTTAATTGCTAGGTAACCAAGGAACTGGTTCGTGTTCATGGAAACGTGGTTTATATACGAGCAGCAACAACACATGTTTTGTACTTGTCATCAATGAGCAAGGTTTGAGGTTGCAGGATGGTGGTCTTCGCGATTGAATGTATGACTGACTTTGATTTCCACCGTGTGAGATTACGCTAGGGTGGATGGGTTGGGGCTACTACAAAGTCAAAGCGTAAGCGCGTCACGAGAAAAATGTTGTTCGAAGCTTCTTCCGAAATAGGCTTATCCGACATCCTCTTTCTTGTCTATTAACACCAAAAATGTCAGACCCACAAATGCAATTCTCTGAAAGCGAGCAACGTGAGCTTGCTCAAGTAAGTGGTTTAGAAGCATTTATTTTACCGAGAAAGAAGACTAATGAACTCCAAATTGCGGTGGATAGTTCTTGGAGGCTGAGAATGCAAAGGCCCGTATTCAACAAACCGTTCATGCCATGACCGATTCGTGCTGGGTAAGAGAAACAGAGCGAGCACAACATGCTGCACGCCATTGAACAGTACTCATTCGCTTCTTTATGCAGGACAAGTGCATTTTCAAGATCAACAACAAGACTGATCGCAATGACGAGAGCTGCCTTTCCAACTGTGTCGAGCGTTTCTTGGATGCCAGCATGTTTGTTGTCAAGCGTCTTGAGGACCTTAGAAGCTCGGGTGTCTAAACGCTATCCCTACACGCCACTCACATGCACGCACGCACACACACAGACACACATCCATATACAAAGAATGATAGATTGTACAGCAACAACAATGAATTCAATATAGATATCACATGCAAAACACCATCGACACAACAAAGGATGTATGCATGCGACTTTACTTTATTCACTATCACATGCGAGTGCGAGAGAGAGAATGATTGAAGAGGAGGAGGAGAGGGATCCTAGACAACATGTTGTTGGGGGAGGAGGAGGAGGAAATATGGACGTCATTCCAAGGTGGTGATGGTGGTGATTGATTGATGTATGACTACTCCGCTGATTGGCATGCACCTCTTGCCGGTTCATCCCAAAGTGTATGTGATAAGGTTGCAGCAATCGATGAATAATAAGGCTGAAACACATTTTCATCATCACATCATTGTGTACACAATAATACGGAACGTCGCCGTTATGTCGTCAGGTCACGCGCGCGCGGGAATATCGCCATTATGCACTTTTACTATGCTGTTGGTATGACAATACGCTGTTGCTAGGAAACCCTCGTGCAACCATGCCAATGTTGAAAGAGTCATCCGCAGTCCTTGACAATGGTTTCAATTCCACAACTACCCCCTTGATGTTGCTGTTGTTGATCATCAAAGAATGTTTCCGTGGGCTCGGCCTAAATTTGCTTGTTTGTTGTGGATACGCTTGTCATGATGTGCAGCAAATGTTATATCCTTCGTATCATCTCTTGCATATATTACATTCGCACATATGTACGCAGTACATGATATGATACTACACCGCAGCAGCAATATCCACCTGCAAGGTTATAACAATCCATAAAAGACTTCAGGAGAAATATGCATGATGAAAGAGAGAAAGAAAGCGCCGATAGAATACGATCTCCTTTATTACTAAGACATCTTTGAATAATACAATGAATGCATTCAAGTATGTATGCTCTGAGTTACTTGTCAATAACAAGCAATTCTCTCGGGGGTGGATGTATGTTGGGGGTTGAAAGAGAAGGGGGGTGGTGATGGAAACGGAATGAATATATAATCGCCACCTTGCTTGAAACTTTGATACCCCTTTGCTTCCTTTTTCTTTCTCTTTCTTTTTTGTACGCGAGTCGTCATTGTCGGGGGCGTCATGTTGCAACAATCTACCTTGTCCATTTCTGCTCATCAGTCGAACCAGGACGCCTCGTTTGCAGAAAGCGACTCGAAAGACCTGTTGCAACAACACGATGCCACCAGTAGTTGTTGCCCTAGTTCATCATCTTCTTGTTCCACTACGGATACCTTTTCAACGGGTCGTCGATCAAGAATTGGAGGAAATGATAATAGCGTGGTTCGAGCCATTAGCCCTGAAGGACGACGTTACCTTAAACCAGTCAACGGTATCCAAGCAAAGGGATTTGCACGCTCTGGTAAGTGTTGTGTGTTACCTACTTTGGAGGATGCTGCGCATGAAACAATCAAATCTCATCTGTATTTTAAAAAGCACAACGACGATCATCCGTTCTTACGCTTGGTTCGATTGAACGCTTGCAGCACTTTTATGCCAAAAGAGATCTCAAAGTAAACAAGTAAGTTACTTTTTTGGGGGGCAAATCAAGTCATGTTATATGCAGAAAAGAATCGACGCTAACAACTCTATGCATATAGAGTGGGCATCCTTGGTTTCAAGAACAGCAACAACACGACCACCACTACTAGCAGTGTCCCTGAAGAAGAAGACGATGATGACTTGTTGCCTGAACCATCCACACCACCTCGTCCTAGTTGGCTTGATTTGGATGTAGAAACCGATTTGGATGTACTTTTGGGTCAATGTTTCCATGATATCCAATCGACGCTTTCAGCTTGGTCTATGGTTTCCAACACTGCATATGCTTCCTCGGAACTCTCGGATTCGGAACCTTCTTCCGACAATGAAGGCTCCGAGTACCACATTGCTTCTCTTGCTCACTCGGTGTCACGTACGATTGAATCCATTCGAAATTATACGTTGCACAGAAATGATCTCGCTGACTCGGCCCTCGTCAAGCTTCGGCATGCTGCCATTCATCTTTTGAGTGTGATTCGAGAATTTGAAACCACCCATCGCGATCATGCCATTACTTTTGACGGCTTAGCCAAGGAACGTGAAGCCATCTTGAGATACTTGGGTGTTGTTGAAGAGTATGCTTTCAATCCTCCTCATCATATTGGTGCTCCTCCCGTTACTTTCAGCCCTGAGATCAAGTCGTTGATGCACAAATCAAGATCAACTACTACTACCACGACAACAAGCCAATCCACTCGTCCTGGATTACCTGATTGGCTCGATCCAACATGTTTTGTCAATGATAACATGGGTAAGTTTTACTACGATTTGGCAAAAGTGGCATGATTCTAATAATCGGCACATAGGTCGTTATCGTGCGTTATTGGCGGACAATCGACAAAGTCTGCAGGGTGATGTACATGACCATGAACCCATCCCCGATCCCAACGATAGTGAAGAGGCATTCTTGGAGTACTTGGCGTATGTATTTGATTATCCATTACCATGCAACATGACGTTAACCCATCCTAATCCATAGTGATGGTCGCATTCTATGCAATGCTTACAACAACGTTGTCAAGCGCTCTCGTCGCCCATTTGGATTCATCAACAAGGTACACCAAGAGACGGGTCGCACTTTCAGAGCTATTGAGAATCTTCGATTCTTTTCTGCGTAAGTAGTAGTAGTAGGAGTTGGCAAAGAGGAAAAACAACATCATGTGTAACACTTTTTTTGCATGAACAGTGCTTGCAAGTTCCGTTTTGATCTTATGTTTCATCCTTTTGAACCATCTGAGATTGCTCGCAAGACCGATCGTGGCCTTACAGCAGTAAGTACGCTCTATCCACATTCATCAAACAAGAAAATTTACGCTGTCCTCTATTAGCTCAAGCCTATCGTAGTTGCATTCTGTGAATGCGTCATTGCCGAATTTCGTGAGAACCTTGAACAAGTTGGCAAGAAACGTCCTTTGCCGGATCAAAGCCCGGTGTCCACCACCGTTGAAAAGAAGTTTTTTGCATCCATCAATAATCATCCCACTACTACTGCTGCAATCCTTTAAAAATCATTCGTTTCTTCTTTTTACAACCTTTTATATCCCCCACTTATCATTAACATTATAATATGGATACGTATGACCCTTCTATATTCCCCACTTGTCACCATAATTATGCATACTTTAGCTTTCGTTTTGAAAACATAAAAATCTGGGAGACCTAATCCACTTTTTGAATCCCAAAATATAACATCTCATTCACCAACGTGTAAGTATGCCGCTATAAGACAATGTCAAATCTCTTTTGTAATTGGAATGTGCTTATGGGTGCAAAAAGTGATGATGGATGACTGGAAAGAGATGCTCTGATAGCGCATTTGACATGGTTATCATATCTTTAAATGGTATCCTTTCATCCTCTTATCTCCTCTATTGTATACTTTGACAGCGAAAGCATGGTTTGATAAGCGATGTGCCTGACGACAGCATCGTATGCGGTGTTTTTATTGACAGCATTTGTTTCGTGCATGATTTCGGTGCCTGTATCTCTTTTTCCTCCTGTTGTTTTACACTAATGACAAGGACTCAGCAACTCCCTGAACGCCATCCCAAGCTGATCGTCTTTGATCTGGACTATACACTATGGGAAGAATGGTAAGCGCTTACCATTGAAATGCGGCTGATCGCTTATGAATGCTAACCTTCTCTCCAAGGATTGACTCCACTTCAGGTAATCTACTACATTTCATACAAGGCCATGTCTTGAGTTACAGCGTCTCACTTGGTAAAATGACCAGGACCACCCTTTTCGTATGACAAGGCCAAGAACGTTGTTTACGACAGGTGAGGAAGAAGGTGACAGATTGATCTACGAGGCTAACTGCTGCTTGTTACTAGGGATGGATACGAGATGCATCTCTTCAAGACCACCACAGCCATCTTTGCACTTATCCACAACTCGATGCCCAATACCAAGATTGCTATTGCTTCACGCACGCATACACCTGATTGGTAAGGAAGGATTTAAACCATATTGCTGTATCTAGGTGATTGATTGATCTTGTTGCTATGGTAATGATAGGGCTTATGCTGCGCTTAAATTACTGCGGATTCCAGAGTTGAACATGACGATGCATGCAGCCATTGAACGCTTTGAGATCTATCCCAGCAGCAAAATCAAGCATTTTGAAGCATTAAGGCGAAAGACGGGGATCGATTGCAGCGAGATGATCTTTTTCGATGATGAATGGCGTAACAACGAAGTCAGGACATTGGGTGTCCATTTTCATCATGTCGACTCTCGCAAAGGTGTCACGATGCAACAATTCATGGATGCCTTGAGCAAGTATGATCGGGATTCACGCTACGTCCAAACCAAGCTCGATTTTAGCAAGCATACATCACAATGATAGACTTTTTCTTTATTCATCTTTCAACATGCATATACATACTACTACTTTATGATTGAATAGACGCTCGGATAACAATGATGTATCAGTGGTTTGTGATGGCAAAGGTGATGTTATGGGATAAGGATCGGGAACACAGCAGCCTAGGAGATAGTACGCTTGTTTCTTATAATAAACTTTGCTTATATTCATTTTGTTCAATCAACAATCTGCACAGCGTGCGTGGAAAGGGATAATAATGGCTCAAGATACAATGCAGGGCTAACTAATATATACATATCGTGGTGAATAACAAGAACAATCTACATCAACATCATCTAAGGTGGGACGACGATGGGGGTTGGGTGCTTGAATTATCGCACAAACTTGGGTGTTGTACCCGTTTTATCCTATTCGTCCATGTCGTCGTGTGAGCATTGACGTGTGTATGATGATGATGTTTTTAAGCACTTACTCTGCATCCACGGCATTGCACGAATGATTCGCCATTTTCATTTTCGCTGACTTTGGCTCCAGAATCCATTTGTTTCTTGCATCCAACGCATCGTAAGCACTTGCGATGCCAACGAGTAGCATTGGGTCCAGGGATTTCATCCATAATAGCAATGCTTGCATGGCATCGGGGACAGTACTTTGATCCTCCCAATCTTGGTAGTGCACGTGTACGATGCATTAACAGGCTTGAAGGATTGTTGTCAAAGGTGCGATGACTAGGCAAAAGAGGAGTGCTTGTGCTACCTCGCATGCGATGGGATGGTGTGGGTCGTGGTGTTGGAGGACCTTGGTTGCTTGGACGTGGGTTGGTGTGATTGACACAGCTCTCACAATGTGGCTCATTTTGCACTTCGTAAAAGGGACGACTATGGTCAAGCACCTTTTGACATTTACGACATTGGAAACACTAAAAGGTAGCATGTTTGTTAATATTCAAATGGTCCAAGAATAACGTTGTCACGTGTGTATGTTACCTCAATGTGATAATACTTGCTACCATTGCGTACGCACTTGTCCTTGATTGCTTTTTGGCACGTGTGGCATTTATAATGTTGCTGTTCTTCAGCAGGTTCACTAGGGGGTAGACACTATTTTTATGTCGAAAGTCAATCAGCATCCATGATGGCTTGTAGTTAAGAGTGACTCACCTCTGGGTGATAAATTGTGTTGCCAAGGCGGACAATCTTTGATTCGGTAAAGTGACCACGGCAACCTGCACACTTGAGACAATCATAGTGATACCAAATGTCGCCAGAAGGAGAAGGCATTTTCACCTTGGTACCTTGCAATGGTTTGCTACATTCGGCACACATACGGCGGCCATTTTTGGTGGTGGTCGAAGTACTAGCAGTAGACTCAGAAGATGTTGGCACAGGGGATGCTGGTGGCATGGTGGTGGTGGTAGGACGGCGTGTTGTTGTTGTTGCATTAGCAAGAGCTGAAATAGGGGGAGATTGGGTACCAGCACCATTCACTTGTACAGGTGATGCATTGTTCACACGTGATGTGGATGATGATGACGATGAGTGGAAACTCAAAGGTGAAGATGAAGGTGAAATAGAAAGTGGACTTCCAGAGATTGAAGAACGAATTGACCCAGCTGGGGACAAAGGAGGTGGTGGTGGACTGGCAGCCGTATTATCACGTTGCAACGTTTTTTGATAATGATGGAAAAGTTGTGAATCAATACGAGGTCGTGTATTGGGAGGTGTCTTTGGAGTACCAAAGATGGATCCTGCAGATGACATTGTGTCGCTGCTGCCCTTGATAAGGATTGGTGTACCGGCAATGCTGCTGCTGCTATTGTCATTCTTTGGATGATGCAACTTTGCAATATCATAGACTTGACGCGTTGATGATTGACGTGCTTCACCTGATTGGGCCATCAAGCATGGTTCACAGCAAGGACGACCACGTAGATCCACCATGGGCACATCGTGCAAAGCTACACAGCATCCATGGCATCGGAAGCAATCACGGTGCCACACCGATGTCTTGTGCTCAATAAATGTATCTCGTTGTGGGAATACTGCTTTCTTGCATTTGGAGCTAAAATGGATTTTGTACCACAAGGGGTCAGCTCTAATAATGTGGTGTTGGCGTTTTTGCTTACCAAGTTCCCTTGCTGAACAGGTCGGTGTGGCAGCTTTTGCAATAACGAGTTCCATTTTCCAGGTACGATGGCGTATCATATCGTAGACGTTGATTACATTGGGCACAGCTGTTTTGAAGTGACAAGGAAAGCGAGTTGCGTTTGCCCATGAGACCTTGGGGGCTGCTGTTTCGACGTGTGCGTAAGGTACCATTGCTAGTAGAGCTCTTAAGGTAGGAAGGTTGTTGCTGTTGCTTCTCTTTGGCATCAAAGACTGTATGAGGACTTCCAAGAATACCATTTTCATATCTAATTTTCAGATACACAACGTAAGCATATGAATGATTTGGCAAATCCTTTGTGTCACTGGCAACTCACTGGCTCTGCCATTTATCGGCAATGCTGATTTGGTTGTTCTCTTCGCTGGTGGTTGTACTAACGGCTCTCACAGACCCCATACCGCTTGCAATAATGGATGCTACATAATAATAATGGTAAACATAAATGCAAGGTATGAAGGATAATCTTGGGGCTTACCAACTGCACGTCCACCACATTTACGACATTTGCCAGAGGATAGGATATCGCCACATCGGTTACAGCACATCATCTTGGAAGGACAGTAATCGTTTTGTGAGTAGTAGTAGAAGTAATAGAGTGAGAATGGAAGAAGAAAGGACAAAGAAATGAGAAGAATGGATGAAGGCAAGGTTATAAATCCCCATTCATTCAATAGGCACTGCTGTCAACAACCACCATTTATGGTAATCATACTGTAGAACATCCCTTGAATGGGCACAACAACATAATACAACACCCGCCACCACCGCAGCAGCAGGTATAGGTCATGTACGTATACACACACACACACACATTGATGCTTATTCCGAATCAGACGAATACTGCAGTGGCCGTGCGTGATCACATCGCCTGACATCATCCCACTCAACAAATTGCAAAAAGAGGATATTTCACGCCATCTTTGCTCTTTCGGAGAATGACAAGTTCCGGGTGATCTACAATATCATGCTTGATCAGAAGACCCCAACAATACCGTTTATATATCAAATGGTGTTTTTTCATTTCCAATTTGAAAAAAAGAGTTTGTAAAATGCATGCATGAAGGTTGTTCTTATTATACGGATGAATGATAATTGCAGGAAGGGAGATAAGCGTGATTAACATGTGCCCAAGATAAAACGAGAGAGAGAGATAGAGAGAAGAGAGAAAAAAGAATGCTGTTTGTGAAAAGGGGATGTGTATTAATAATAATCGCCACCATCTAAGAATAAAAAGAGAGTGTCAATCATCTCATTGTTTACATGTTTCAGTATTTGGGTAGTTGCTTACCATCATCATCATCGATATCGTCTCCTTCGCCGTTGTCAAAGTAGTTTTGTGCATAATCGTTGTCATCCACCAATTCTTCCTCCTCCTCGTAATCGTCTTCGAATTGTTCCTCGGCATTGTCATCACCTTCCTTCTTTTCTTCATCGTCTTCGTCACCTCCTTTGCCATCCTCTTCTCCCATTGCAAGTAGCGCATCGATATCCCGTAAACCATCTGCTGCAGCATCTCGAGCTTGTCGTTCTAAACAAAATCGATGTAAGCATCTATATACATTGATGCATGCTCTCTATTCCCAACAACTTACTTCTTTTGCTTAACCTGGGATCAATGATGCTTTGTAGTTCTTCAGGGAATGCATCGAGATCTAAGTGTGATCATGCGTGTAAGTATCCTGTCACGTAACCCAAATGATCAACCCTTACTCACCAGCATCCAAATCACGCAGCGTCCGTTTTATGGGCTTTGGCTTATATCTGTCAGAGTACCGTTCAATGTCTGGCGGTGGGGGTGGTGGCACTTGGTAAAAGGCTGTGTCGTGAATCATACTGATCGACTCATCGCGTAGTTCCCATCGAGCGCTTTCTGTCGAGTTTGGTTTGCGAGGCATTGGGACGTCCATTTCCTACATCGACACTAAAAGTGAGTATCTCATTGCAGCGTACATGAGCTGTCAGAGTATAGAGCCTAGGCTTACAGGAAATAAAGCAGTGTTGACGTTGAACATGGAGCCCAGATCTTTGAGCATGTCGAATGAGACGAGCTGCATGGCACCACTTTGAGCACCACCGCCTCCTCCACGGAAACCACCACGACCTCGCGACATTGGGTAGAGTTTTGTATGTGAGTGAGTGTGTTGAAGAGGTTGAAAAGGGTGTTGGCTGAGCCTGCCAAATTTTCAGTTTCCTCACAATACCCACACCCAGCTCATGCCAATAGGTCAATGCTGTCTCACGTGCTCAATCACCACCCATCCAGTCGAATCAACGCCATTCCAATGTAAAATAGCTTATTTAGTATAATTTTCTCTGCAATAAAATGCAATTGCAAATAGTAGCAGCTATATTAGCGTGTATTGAAAGCATACATGTGATGGTGTTGCTATACATTGAGTGATGTTGTCAATGAATGGTCAATTCTACAAAAGGTTGTCAAGGATGTTGCCATCCTTTATCGTCCATGACAACCTCGCTGTTGATGATGAAGAAAGCAGGGCAGAAAATGTCTTGGCGTTTTCGGGCCTAATGTTACAGGAGAAACAGCATTGCAATTTACCCGGTAATCAGCGGAGCCCCGGCAAATCGGTTTTGACATTTATAATGGTCGTGCATCTCCTTAATTCTTCCTTCTTGTTCCTTCTTCTCTTTCAGGCACATTCAAACATGAGCAACAAAGAAACCGCTTTCGCCAACCACGTCCTTGCATCCATCAAAAAGGATCTTGATTTTCTCAAGCAACAACAATACTTGACACCAGCAGCTTACGATGAAATCAAAAGGAACCTTCCCAACACAATTACTGCCGCTCCTGCTGCTGCTGCTGCTTCACCAGCAAGTCGTGCAGTGCCTTCTCCACCCTCTTATAACAACGCTGCACCTAACACTCTTGCCACTGCTGAAGCACTTTATGATTTCAATGGACCCAACCCACAAGATTTGAGCTTTAGACAAGGTGAAATTATCCAAGTAACAGAATATGGTATGTTACAATCAGCTGATGAGGGGTCAAAAAACGAATAAGGAATATTAACGAATCTTTTCATAGTCAACAATGATTGGTGGCGCGGTACCTTGAATGGTAGAACAGGTCTCTTCCCAAGCAACTATGTTCAGAAGAAAGAAACGTAAGCATTTGTATTCATTGTTTTCGCAACAAGCCATTGTGAGATATTAACATCTCTTAAAGACCTGCTGCTGCTACTCCACCACCTCCACCACCTGCTACTCCACCACGTCAAAACACAAACCAGAGTTATGGAGGATACCCACCAGCACCTCAGGAGAAGGGTTTCAATGGTGGTAGTCCATATTCGGCACCTGGTGGTGGTTATTCTCAGCCGCCTCCCGCTTATCCCGCTCCTCAAGCAGCATCCTATGCTACTCCTCCTCCTCCACAAGCTCAATCCTATGCTGCACCACCTCCACAACCCACTCCATATGCCGCACCACCTGTTCAACCAGCACCATCCGCTGCACCAGCTGCTGCACCACCACCAGCTGGTCATCAAGAAGAAGGAGGAAGCAAGTTTTCAGGTATGCTTGGCAAGGTTGGTTCAAACGTTGCCAATGCAGCTACTTGGGGTTTTGGTGCTACACGTAAGTATTGTTTTGAGTCCCCTTTTCGGTCTTCACATGATTCACTCATCCATCTTCTCTTTCCTTTTAGTCGGTAGCGAAGCAGCTCAATCCATCTTTTAGATGCTTTTATTATCAATCCAACATAAACAGTTACCCATTCTTACTATCTAAACCAATAACACCATTATCTATTTCCATTCATGCATTTGGTCTAAATTGGGTATAACACAATTCATATAATTTTAGCAATGGGAATGTTTACAGGGTAATGGGCATGATGTATGGAATTCTATATCACTCGTAAAGCGCTTCTTTGTCGTTGTCATTCGTTTTACGACCATTTACTTGCCAAGCTTGTAACGTTTCTGGAGATCCGAGTGCGTTCCTTTGTCCAGACAGGAGAGTTTGACAGGCGCAAAACGACGCAGCCATTATCCAGCAATGGAAGAGCCTGGCTCGGTGGATGGCTATCTTTTGGCGGGCAACATCCATGTATGCGGAGTGTTGGCACAGTCGAAAGGCTCATCCTTCGTCATCATCCTTAAAATGTAGGCGACGGGTTGGGGTGGGAGCCGCTTGATAAAGTCTATGGCTTTGTTGCTTTGCTCTACCGAAGACAACTTTGCTTGAAGCACCGCTGATGATCTGGATTGGATGTTGCCACCGCAGCTAAACCTTTCTTGAAAATAATAATGGCTCTGCGGTGGTAGCCATACCGAGCATGTACTTTTCTTGTCACCTACAGAGGGGTCTCAATTTTCTCATTAGTCTTGTCATCCTTTTAATATAGAAGTGAAGTTATACCTATCCCAAAGGAGCCATCAAGGAACACAGTGTAAAGCAATGATGTGAGCTACATAATAGATGAACGCATCATGAGTACCATCATTTTGGGAATTACATAATAAAGACTATCCTTGAGACTTACCAAAAGGCCATTGATAATGATATGAATACAAGTAGAAATAAAGGGCGTATGATAGTGTTGGCGACAACAGCCTTATTTATATGATAGTGGGCGTGAGAATTGTTGTCATTGATGGATAGAAATGATAAAATGGCCGAGCATCTTGAAGTGCCGAGTTGAAGTGATGGAAAAACAGCAGCTGATAAATCCACCTGTCACTTGAAAGTGGTTTTTGTAGGTGACATAAGTATGTCCGTCAAGCAATTGTCGACCCGTATGCACCAAAGGTGAGGCGTGGAGAAGGTGGCCGCCACTGTTATTTGTTGGCCAGCAACACGCGTGCTCGTTACATTGCACCTTCCACACGAACACAGCAGCTGCCAATGGTGAACGCCATCCTTCCAAAGGTACTTGTTAAACGCTTCTACAGCAGTGTTTAGTAGTTCGCTAGCTACTAATGCAACACTCCCCATTACCAGACGTGGTAGCTCTTTACTTGCAACAACGCATTTCATTCGGCGCGTGTTTCGAGTCTTTCTCGTACAACAAAGGTAAGCCCAGTTCACTGTTAAGGAAGAAGACCAAACTGACACGTAACGTTGTTCTATTTAGACAACCTTTTATTGGGCAATGGCTTAATGCTGGTTGAGCTAAGGTGGGTGGGGGGTTCCAATCGATCTGTTTGGGTTGATCGAGCTCACTTGGCTTCTTTTCGTTGCCGTCAAACCCCCAGGCCCTTTTACGTGGTGCATATGGATCAGCAAACAGCGTGGTGATATCGTTGGAAGCAGGTATAAATGAGTTCCACTTTATTCGACTGCCATTGCTCATATTACAAGTATGTCCTTGTAGCACTTGGAACAAGGCCGTGGGCAAGAGGCTGATGATGCTATACTTTTACAAGCATATGAATCACTAAAGTGTGTTAGAATGTGTGGATTAATCAAGGATCAAGACCGTACTTCAAGGATGGCCTATGCTGCTGAGGCTCTTGTGGATTGATGGTGCTCACTGGCCAGTTGATCGGGGTAGTCTACGTATGTACGTGCTACTTGTTGCCGTAAAGGAAACTTTGGGTATTCAACCGGTGGGTGCTGTCGTTCGCTTGGAACTCTGTCAGCTCTTCAAGAAGCGTGGTGTTCAAGATGGCTGTGGATCGTAAGTATGATTACTATGGTTTCTATTTAAATATGAATGATGGCTAATTTATCATGTTTCTAGTGTGGATATGTGGATCAGCAAAGATGTGGATCAGCAAAGATGTGGATCGGCAAAGGGTGGATTAATCAAGGATTAAGACCGTACTTCAAGGATGGCCTATGCTGCTGAGGTTCTTGTGGATTGATGGTGGACGATTTGCTCTAGACATTCATTTCCATGATTAAGTAGGTTGATCCGAGCTGACGGCTGAGTTACGCTCACACAAGATTACATCGGTTGAGCTACATCGAGCGTACTCTATGTCCAGAATGATGCACTTCTCTTTGACCGTAGCTCAGCCAAATCCTCAGCTCGGATCAACCTACTTTAATCATGGAAATGAATGTCTAGAGCAGGGGCATCGTTCCCATGCAGTGGATCTCGCAACAGTGATGAATGGATAAAAGTGGCCGTTAGCCAGCAATACATGCCTGTCAGATGATCCATAAAGTAATATACATTGACCCTTTCATTCATGCAAACGTAGCTGTGTTACACAACACGAATTTCCGCATCTTTTGCTCTGTCAGAGTCTACACTTTGAGCATTAAATAAAGACCACTCTTCATATAGCATCACGCTTACAAACATAGCAGTGCCTGCATCTCCACCCAGCACGCAAAACGTGGGGTTTTTATTAGGAGAATGGGCTCGGCTTGGCCAACTGCACCTTGTGTGAAAGTTTCGCGTTCAATGTCGCAACTAGCCCAAAAAATATTTTTTTGGTCGTCGTCGTTGAAGAGGTCGACCCCCAGATCCAGTTTGGCTGGTAGCGACATTGCGAAATCTGGGATTGGCAAGCTTGATCGTGAAACTGGCACCCAAGGTGCAGTTGGCCAAGCCGAGCACATTGCTCTATTCAAAACCCCACGTTTCATTGTAAATTTTGGAGATACAGGCGTCTTTATGTTTTTACTATTTGTAAGCGTGATGCTATATGAGAAGTGGTCTTTGTTTAATGTAAAGTAGTATGACTATAATATAGCAAAAGATGCAGAGGGCGTGTTTGTGTAACTTGGGTCATTCAGCACAGGCGATGCATGATTCTTGCGCTATTTAGGATGGTTCAAAATGCCAGCTAATAGCTCATTCCTCTCATTCACCTTTGTTGTCCAATCCAATGCATACGAACGATTGTCTTGCTCCAGCCCATCATTCCCATCATTTAACTTTCTTGATTCGAGGTAACCTGGTAGTAAAGGCAATGGCTGTTGTTGGATCATCATTATCACGTAAAGAGTAAAATGGAACACACCCTTTTGCTATACGTGAGGATCGTTTCTTTTATTTACGTGTACCTGTTGTCTATCGTGAGGGTGATGATCATGATGGGCGGATGGTGTGTATGTGGGGTCATTGAGTGGCCACAGTGTAATAGCAGTAGGGGGATTTAAACTTGGGGACGGTAGCTCCACGACTTGAGACAACGCTTCTCTTTTTCTCTTTCTACCTCCTCTGCTTTTATCCCAATCACGACATTCCGATCAAGGTAATGTACTATAAAGGAATGCTCTTGTTGGTTGTGAGGTGTTAACATAGTTCTGAACATGCATTGTCAGGGTGTGTGTGCGTGTGCGCGTCCAAGTGCTGAGGAATGAGATTGGTAGCCATGGCGATATCGTTGCTTCCTCTTGTTCGTTGCTATTCCCGCTCTACACTTGGCGTCAACAGGTACATTCAGAGTCCAATGTTGCAGCTGAACTTGTTCCATTGACGTGTTAGCTTGTATAGAGGGCAAGTTTGGTTTCTAGACGTCGGGTCGTTTGGCGTTTTGTTTCGGCTCAACAGCACTACATCATACTTTTCAAAGTGCTCGTAAGTACTATACGACAGTTTCTCTGCATGGATAATACCTGAAACTCACATGGAAGAATACCACAGGCCGTGGCCAAATTTGTGGCTCAAGAACAATCACTAAGGACTATCGTTGCTGCTGGGCCATCTGTTGGCGATACTTTAGTCGATTTCATAAGCATGGAAGCATGCTCGGAGGATACACGTACTACGGATGGCAGCAAGGAGGGTGAACAATCGCAGCTTGAGAATGAATTCAATGATGAAGAAAATGGCATGCCATTGGATACAAGAAGGTATATCAATGAGAGGATTCTTGGGCGCAATGTTTTTCTATTACTGTTGATCCTAATGTAACATATAGCTCGCTGGTGGTATAATCACTGACGGCGAATTGGCGACCTTATCATCTTTTCGAACGGACGGCACAGTCAAAGGCGGCTAGCTAATGTCACCTACAAAAAATCACCTTACAAGTGGCAGGCGGATTTATCAGCTGCTGGTTTTCCATCACTTCGACTGAGTACGCCAGATGCTTGACCACTTTATCAGTTCGATCCATCAATGACAACAATTTCCACGCCCACTCACATATAAACAAGACTTTGCACCAACGCCATCATACGCCCTTCCGTCTGCTTGTATCCATATCATCATTGTGGCCTTTGGTAAGTCTCAAGGGTAGTTTTTATTATGTGATTCCTTAAATGATGATACTCATGCATTCATCTATGTAGCTCACTTTATTGCTTTACACTGTATTCCTTGATGGCTCCTTTGGTGTAGGTATAACTATCACTTATATATATAAAAGGATGCCTAGACTGATGGGAAAATTGAGACTCCTTTGTAGGTGACATAAGTACATACCCGGCGCTAGCTGTCTCGATGATGGAATTTGGCAGGTTTGAAGCTCCATCACTGAGGTGTGTATGGTGTATGTTGAAGAAGAACCAGGAACTAATATTGGATAGTAACCTAGGGTATAACCATACACGGGATGAGTCTAGATGATGTCCATACTTATAATAAAGCTACCCGATCGCTCTATATAAAACATGAGGTTGTCTATAGTTAATCATGATAGGAAGGATGGTGCTTAAATATCAAAAGGGTGTATTGTACAACACACACAACTCCTGGCTGATCTTCTCCGATCGCATAAACCTCGTAACCGAAAACACCAGCTTAAAATACAAGTCTATGCATCGAACGCCGCTTTCACATTGATCACTTCTTCTAATGATCCCATCGTTTTCATTACTAGGTAATGCCACAATTACCTTTAAAGCAATGTGGATATAAAACAACAGGTTCAAGCTGTCATCCAATGAGTATCTTGTTGGGACATGCGTCTCGTTTGAGCATCGTCCAATGATGTCGATCATGTCCCTCCGAAAATAAACACAGCGCCGCCCGCTAGAGCCTAATTTTTAAGGGCCTGGGAATTGGGGTAGTGGTTTCGCTATTGCCTTTTTCTCTCTTTTCATCATCACCCCTCACCATGCCAGTACAACTTGAACCCTTTCTCGAAAAGTTTTTAAAGGAACGTCCTGAAATTGACGCTACTCAACTTCCTCCCGAGGTTATTCGTCAAGGAGAGCGTTTTGATCTTAGCAAGCTCAATTTACCTGCTGTCCTGGAAGAAGAAAAGACTATCCCTACTCGTGCTGGTGGCACCGTTAGCCTTACCATCACTCGACCCGTCGGTTCAGAAAACGAGACCCTTCCTGTTATTCTCTTTTTGTAAGCATATCACACACACACATTACGCGTGTAGACAAGTAGGGATGTCGCTTTATTAATCTTCATGTATATATAGGCATGGCGGTGGATGGGTCATTGGCAGCAACAACACGCATAGTCCTATTCGATGTGAGGTAACAAGATGACCAATTCATTTCCCATATGCAAATAACGCATCCCCCAATATCTCCGACAAGTGAAAAGATGCATACCAATTTACTGACTTGACCTAGTTAACTACACGCGCTCATGCCGTGGTAGTTTTTGTCAACTACAGCTTGAGTCCCGAAGTACGATTCCCAGTGGCTATTGAAGAATGCTATGATGCCCTTGAATGGGTTTTAAAGAATGGTGCATCCATTAACGCCGACCCTTCCACACTTGCCGTTGCTGGTGATTCCGCTGGCGGAAATCTATCCACGGTGATGTGCTGTATGTGTTTTTAAAAGCAACCACAAGCTGATGAGTGTGTATTAATTAACATTGTGGATGGATAGTGTTGGCTAAACAACGTGGATTGAAGGATGCCATCAAGTTGGCTATTCTCATTTACCCAGTTACGGATGCTAATTTTGATACCGGTTCCTACAACGAATTCCATGAAGGCTATTTCTTGACGCGCAAGGTGATGAAATGGTTTTGGGATCATTATCTGCCCGATGAAGAAGAGCGTCGCAAGAACATCCTTGCTTGTCCTCTAAACGCCACATTGGATGATCTCAGGGGATTGCCTCGCACACTGGTCATTACAGCTGAAGCTGATGTCCTCCGAGATGAAGGTGAAGCTTACGCACGTAAACTTATGGCAGCTGGTGTTCCTGTTGTTACTACTCGCTATCTTGGTATGATCCATGGCGTCTATAACATTGGTCTTTTGAGTCCTTCAGCTATCAGTGCTATCGATCAAATGGTTGGAGAGCTCAAGAGTGTATGGGCAGGCAAGAATAAGCTTTAATACTATAATAGAATCTTGTCGTCTATAATAAAACAGCCATCCAAGCATGATCTAGCAACAGTGTTACATAAAAAGTCTTGTGATCAGTATCAAACACCGAGTTTGCAGGATTTTCTTCTTCACTTACATTATGTCTAATACCACCGAAACGCAGCAGCAGGAGATTGGCAACGATACTTTGACAGAGCAGCAACAACAATCGAACGAGCAACAAGTTACAACGACACCATTGCAAGAGAAAGCACAAGGCAAGTAACGATCGATGGATAGGAGAGATCTAGATCGAGTCGATTGCTAACAAGTGAAGTAACAGACATCGATACCAACAAGGAGCGATCGCCATCACCAGGATCGTCCACTGATGGAGAGCAAAGCGAACAGCCTGTGCATCCACTTGGAACACCCATATCCATGGCCAGACTACCAGTGCCTGAAAAGAAACAACCATCATCATCATCCTTTGTTACCAATCAAGCCGATGCAGCTGTGGAAGAGATTACTGTGAGCGATATGGAAGAGGACAACGATACCCAACACGTTTCTGTACATGATGATGCACCTTCAATACCGGCATCACAGCAAGATGTGACACCAACCAACGACGAATCGATAAAACGAGAGGATTCCACAGCGATGAACAGCTTGATGGATGATCAACAACCTTCACACATGGATGAGGATTCTTTACATGAAGACGGTGGATCTGAAGTAGTCAAGAGCCTTCTCAATACGACGAGTGATGATATATGGGGTCCACGCACAAACAACGATTTGCCTCAGGGGATGAAGGTTACACGTGAGCTCTTCAACGAATATTCAATCGACGAGTCGAGTGTGATGCATGATCAGCTGTTTGAACTCTTGATAAAAGCCACAGACCTTGATGACACCATCCATCAACAAGCAGATGCCATTATCCAGAAATACCGCCAGCACGACGAGGGTCATGACAAAGTCAGTATGGATGGTGGTGACAGCTATGATGACATGAAGGACGCTGATCGTGAAGGAGACCCATCCAACCAATGACAGCATTTTGCGAGTGGTATAGAATTCCATACATAGCCCCATTATCCTGCATTCACCATTTTGTACATAACGTTGCGATATAAACTTCCCCATTGATACGATTACATGATATAAAACCCCAATTTAGACCAGATCGCAAGAATGGAATTAGATAATGACGGTGTTATTGGTTTAGGTAATAAGAATGGGCAACTGTATTGATAATAAGAGCATCTAAAAGATGGATTGAGGAGTAAGTGCTGCACAAATGCATGATGATGATGATGATTGCCTTTTGTGAAGGAGCATAAGTAAACAACATCCAACCATGAAGGTGTGTCAAAGTATGTGGATGACAATTTTGACGCCAAGAGCTCGGGTAGAATTCTCCAGAGCAGTTACAAACTCTGCTTTTGTGATTGATAAAGCAAGTGCTTGAAGCGTTAAAGCCTTGACGCCACGTATGTGCCACCAGCTGGTGAACTTTGAAGAACTCACGCCTTCTCTTTGGCGAAAACCCATTGTTTTCAGCATCATAGCCATTAGCCGATCTTAATGGTACTAATGCTCCAGTCTTCTTGATCTTCACGTGACCTTGATTGGACATCTTGCAGACCATTGCGGGATTGATTTATATGCTGTTCGTTACAAGGAACTCTGAAAAACTGGGGCTCGCATCTTCTGCCACATATCAAGTTCTACAAGAACTTTAGCTTATAATGCCTAAACGATAGTTAGTAGCTTGCCATTGAAACCACCAACATACATACTTGGTTGCCGCCATGTAAAAAAAAGCAAAAGCAAAGTTTGGGTGGCGAGGTGGAGAAAGCCAAGATGTAAACAAGATCCTTTCGGGAGCAGTGACCATTTTTATTGGCTTATTAACCGTGCCATGGTCAACTTGAAAGATGCCATACGGGCTACCATAGGTGGGCCTTATTATAGGCAGGTGCCAGCAATCAAAGAGTGATATGAAAGAAGAAAAAACAGAGGTGAGGAAGTAAAATGATGGGCTGGGCGACAACATCTTTTATTTGCATGGTGGGCGTGGGTGTTTCTGCTATCAGCAAGAGTGATGAAATGCTTGTTGGGAATGGTGATGACTTGATAGATTGATGAGGCGCCTTCACAAAGAGCCACCTAGTGTGAATGAATGATCATGCTAAACCAGGATTTGAGATAAACAAGGTGGCAACATCCGTTATCAGACAATGACATTCATCGATTTTCACTTGCTGTGTTCAAATGGTGCAACATAACACGTTGTTCAAGGATGTTTACGGGTGCTCATTTCAGTCGCGTAAATGTTCCCTGCCACCACAGCTCTCATGGAGGGGTGATTTGGAACGGCATCCCTATAATGCGTGGGTTGATTTATCAGCTGTTGTTGATGATGTTGCGTTCTAAGATGCTTGACCACTTTATCAGCTTCAACCCATCACGGCCTCCTTTCTGCTTGATTGAACATCAACAACTCCCACGCCGAAGGATATACATATAAGTAAGGATTTGTCATCAATATCACCACACATCTCTTTCGTCTATCGCACATATCATCAAGAGCCTGCTATTTGGTAAGTGATAATGAAGAGCTGTTTAATCATTGGTATGGGCCAGAAATAGCTTATGCGCTGCTCTTTGTAATCATTCTTTGTAGTTCTTTATTACTTGGGTTCATTGTTGTCTTTGCTACTCTCCTGATGGATCGTTTGTGGTATATGCTTGGGCGTCATCCGGGCTTCAAAAAAGGATGGTGCGAATACAAGGTCCCCGCACCATGCCAACACAATCATGGGAGGATTTTATAAGCACCTTGGATTCTTGGTGCACATGCACCTGTGATTCACGATGCCACATCGGGTCAAGGTGCGATCACTTGATTGCAAACCTCGTACAAGGATGATGGGAAGCCTAATAAGGTGTAAAAATTAAAGGCCGTCTCCGTGGATAGTTATCTTTTGGCGGGCAACATGCATGCTCAACTTGGTTATCAGAGCAAGGCAATTGATGCATTCAACAAGGGGTTGTCCTCAGTGTCAACATCAAAAGAGCCGTATGCGGTGGTTGATATGCGAAGACTTGGCGCAATGCACCCTAAAAGTACTCGCATTGATATGGTGTCCAGGGTTCTTGGCAACTTTGGTGAGATCAAGAGATCATAAGAAATCGGCAAAAGGCGTTCAAATTCATAAGCACTTAAAATACACTGCAACAATTGGGTTGATATAGATGCTTCGCTTAGTATCTGCATTCCCTTGTACGCTTCCACTATGTTCCAAATTGATCAACAATGACTTTTATATGATGTTATGAATAAATTTTATGGATACAAAAGAAAAAAGAGATGTGCAAGTGTGTGATTTGAATGAAGGTGTGGTCAATGATGGGAGGCAGGGAGGTGTAATGAATGAATGGATGGATGGTACCTGAGAAGATCCAGTGACTGTCAGCCAAACATTTTTTCGCGACGACGACGTGTAAAAACGTGTTACTGAGCACGTCCACTTGTCCGCGTTTTCTTTACCTTCTCCGAATGTCAGAGACAGCACACGAATTCCCTAGCGATCTCTTGGGCTCATCGCAGGCTCTTCCTTTGGATACAATTCCACCTTCGACACCAGCCAACATGGAGGTGGATGCTCGTGGCGATCAACAACAGGCACCTCCTCGTTCACAGGCACCTCGTGGCACTGGTGGCCTTGTCACTGAAAACATTCCAAAGGTCGTTGATGAGTTGGCCGTCAGTGTCATGGATGCATTCGAAAAGTTCTTGGAGACGTATGTAACGATTCTATACAAGACGATCTTGATCTACGATAGCTAACAAGTATATGCGTGTGTGTGTGTGCAGTTATCAGGATGTCAACTCTTCGTTTGTGGACCATACCCAAAGCAACTACAACGCCTTTCCTTACATGTATCAATTGGAGAACTTGCAGACGCTCGATATGACCACCGTCTTTGTTGATTTTGCCCATATTGAAAATACGGATTCGAGTATGGCTGCTGCTCTTTTGCAACAATATTACCGGTAAGAAGAAGAAGGGAGAGGAAAAGGGATCATCCATCATCATCATCATCATATACCAACCTTTGTTGATCTAGTTTCATGCCTTATATTCGTCGAGCTGTGCAAAATGTAGTAAAGCGACGCTTCCCAGAATACGCATACGTCAACACCAACTCGACTGAACAAAACGTCGCCGGCGCCGTTTTACGTGAATTCTCAGTGGCATTTTATGGTGTCCCTGAACTTTGTCGTGTGCGCCAACTCAAGACTGAGAAGATTGGTCAGCTTATCAGCATCAGTGGCACCGTCACCCGTACAACTGAAGTGCGTCCCGAATTGCTTTATGGCTCTTTTACTTGCAACGAGTGTGGCAAGGTCATGAATGATATCGAACAACAATTTAGATATACTGAGGTAGGCTGGATAGGGTATAGAGGAAGCGTATGGAATGTACAAGGGATTTACCTATATACCTATAGCCCGTTATGTGCCAAGGTCTTCAATGCTTCAACCGTCAACATTGGACCCTCAACGTTGAACAATCCCGATTCGTTGACTGGCAAAAGGTGCGAATTCAAGAGAATGCAAGTGAAATTCCTACCGGTAGTATGCCAAGAAGGTAAGTTTGGTTTATGGATAAATCATAAGGAGGGACAAGGGCTAAAGTGATTTATGTAGCATGGATGTCATTGTTCGTGGTGAAATGGTGGAACGTGCAAAGGCTGGTGACAAGTGTATCTTTACTGGTACTCTTATTGTGGTTCCTGATGTGGCCGCTTTCCGCACTCCTGGTACATCCGTTGAGTCTCAAAGAGATACAAGCACTCGTACTCGTGAAGGAATGGCAAATGAAGGTGTCACGGGTCTCAAGTCGCTTGGTGTACGTGATTTGACCTATAGAATGTCATTCTTGGCTTGTATGGTACAACCTGCCAACACCAACAAGGTATGTCACTTGCATGATTAGGAGAGAAGGATCTTGGTGCATCATGCTTATGGTTTACTTTATAGTCATCTGCTGCTTTCCATACTGATGAAGCTGAGGAGACCCGTGAACAAGTATTGGCCGATTTTACACAAGCAGAAATCGATCGCCTCAAGGCTATGCTCGAATTGAATCAGCAAATTTATCCCAAACTTGTCAACAGCATTGCACCCAATGTATTCGGTACGTTATTTGGAAGAATAGGTTCGTGTTTCAGTAGTGCTTATTCATCATGCATTAGGTCATGATACCGTCAAGAAGGGTATTTTGTTGCAGCTTATGGGTGGTGTGCACAAGGTCACGCCTGAAGGCATGAATTTGCGTGGTGATGTCAACGTTTGTATCGTGGGTGATCCTAGTACAAGCAAGAGTCAATTCTTAAAGTAAGTAGCGAGAAGGATGGAAAGCGGGATGCGGCGGTATTGATATACGTTTATTAGATACGTTTGTGGATTTATGCCTCGTTCAGTATACACCTCTGGTAAAGCTTCCAGTGCTGCCGGTTTGACAGCCGCTGTTATCAAGGATGAGGAAACGGGCGAATTTTCTATTGAGGCTGGTGCCTTGATGCTTGCTGACAATGTAAGTTATTCGTGTTGGGGTCCTTAGGAAGCATGATTAACCTGGTATCCCATAGGGTATTTGTGCCATTGATGAATTTGACAAGATGGATATCAAGGATCAAGTCGCTATTCACGAAGCCATGGAACAGCAGACTATCTCTATTGCCAAAGCTGGTATCCAGGCTAGCTTAAACGCCCGTACTAGTATTCTCGCAGCAGCTAATCCTGTCAGCGGTCGTTACAACAAGAAACTCACACTCAAGGTAAGATTGTATATGTGGAGGTGAAATGATCTTTAGCAGTGATTGACTTATACACCTCTTTTTAGCAAAACATCAACATGTCGGCACCTGTCATGTCACGTTTTGATCTCTTCTTTGTTGTTCTTGACGACTGCAACGATGTCACCGATTACAACATTGCACGACACATTGTCAACGTCCACCGACTAAAGGATGATTACATGGAGCCTGATTTCTCAACTGAGGATCTTCAACGATACATCCGCTATGCTAGAACATATACACCCAAGGTAAGTTAAGGATCATCAATGCAAAGGAACGATTGATTGATTGATTGATTTGGGATCATAGCTTACACCTGAAGCTGCAAGTCGACTTGCCGATTGTTATCGTGATCTTCGACAAGGCGATACACAAGGATTGACAAAGAACTCATACCGCATTACTGTGAGACAGCTGGAAAGTATGATTCGTCTTTCTGAAGCCATTGCACGAGCTCATTGTCGCGAGGAGGTAAAGTTTATTGAGAAGATTACTAGGCTCAAAGCTTGTTTACTCATCATGCGTGTGTGTGCCAATTAGATCTCTGAAGCCTATGTGGTGGAAGCATACAACTTGTTACAAAAGTCCATTATTCGTGTGGAGCAAGATGAAATTGATATTGGTGACTTGATGTATGCCACAGACGACGTGATGACCAGCACAGAGGCATTGCAAGGAATGCAAGGTCTTCGAATCTCGGATGAACAACAACAAGAGGAGAATAGCATGCAAACTGATTCAGCACCTCAGTCGCAACGCATTCGCATTGAATACGAGAAGTTTGTCCAAATCAAGTTGATGTTGGTGCACAAATTACGTGAAGTACAAGCATCGGCAGAGGAGCCTGTTCCTATCCGACGATCCGAATTGGTACAATGGTATCTCGAACAGCAAGAAGAAATGTTTGAAAGTGAGGATGACTTTACAAGAGAAAAGACCATCATTGAAAGGGTTATCAAGAAGCTCTCTAAGCCGGTATGTATTTGAAGGCAGGGAAGAATGTGTGGATCCAATTTATTCATTACATTATGAAACAGGAACAAGAAACCTTCGTTGAAATCCGTGAAGATGCTGAATACATTGGTGGCGAGCTTAGCAAAGATGACTCTGGAGAGTCTTCAGAAGATGATCCCACTATCGTGCTTCACGCAAACTGCATGGTGTTTGGCGACCAATAGTAATTTTATCGAGAAGCAGCCTACATCCAACATCACTTATCCTATTCCATTCATTCTTTTTCTTTCTACTAATCTGTGTAAATATTGCAATAACAAGATGCCTTTCATCAAATAATTAAGTTTTTGGCTTGTGTGTGTGTGTTGTTGGGGAATGGAAATGGCTTGACATAGGCTTCGTAGGTGGTAAATGTGATGGATTTTTCAATGAGCCTCAATAAGGTGCATATGTAGGTTTATGAGAAAGAGAACAAAGAGCGATTGTTGTTATGGATCATGATCACTACCAAGCAACGTATGTCATCGTAAAAGGGACATCCCATAGTTGCCATGGCAACAATTACCAGCTCAGCAGCTGCTGCTGCTGTTGTTAAAAGACTTGAACACCGACAATCCGATACCATGGACCCGTGTAAACCTGGCAGCGAATGAAAAAATTTTCACAAGCCAACGGTCACAGCCTTCGAAAGCTATAAAAGGAGGGGCAACTTGGGGAACACGATTTTTCTTTAGGACCGTACTCTACAGGATCTGTATGCAGTACATAACCAGTCTACGTTTTATAAACTAGACACAGTTTCCGAGTCAGACGATGACCTGTGATAGCCCTTTCTAAGAGTGAAGTGTGCTTGTGGATGTTTGCCCGTTTGGGCCGCCATGAGCAGTTGATGATCTCGCCCGTTTCCTTTTTCCATGGACGTGGCAAGGAAGAGGCTATGGTCTGATGGCTTAACCCCCCAATTCAAAAAGCAAATGATAATAATAATATAAAACCTTTCACTTGGTGTTGGTATCTAAACGAGTGACTATGTCATTATCGTTCTATACATGCATGCAGTCAAATGCTTGTATTCTTATATAACAAAAGGATCATGCTGTATTCACAATGAATGAATGAAAGGAGAAATGCTTCTATATACGTAGCGTAGACTAGCTAGCTATATTCAAACGTTGACATTAGCAACCCAAAACGTTCCAGACATCGCTTCTTGCCACAATGTCGTCGCATGACGTCTTCCCGTGTAAATGACTTTAGACATAAAGCGCACTGCACTTTTCGTACGGCATTGTGTTTATCTGATTGCTCCAAGTGTCGTCGCAGATCCCTTGGCCGTGTAAATGTGTGGTTGCATTCGTAGCATGTTCGGTTACTTGTTGCTGTGGATACCCTTGGACTGCGTGCTGGGAGTGGCCGTGGTGGACTTCTTGATGATGATGATGATGAGGGCAACGGCGCATTATTTACGACTTGAGAATACGATGGTGGTGGCGACGGCGCATGATGATGGTGATGATCAATAGCAGCTGCAGCCTGATAAACCCATATATCAAGGACAACATATGAGTTATGACATATTCCTCAACACATGCATCATACACAACTACAACGCATCCCATTCATGCAACAAAGTGTGTGACGAAATGACAACACAACAGACCTTGTTGTTGATGACTTCTTGACCATAGCTGGTATAGGCATCAGAGGAGAAGAGACACGCTTGTGGTCGTGGTGTGGTGGTAGGTAAGGTGATGATGGGAGTGGTGGTAGTAGTAGTAGAGGAAGAAGTGGAAGGAAGGATCATATTGCTACTATAACAAAGGTTGTAAGGTTGATGGCGATAATAAAAGGTGTTTACAAGTTGAAGTTGTTTTGGCATGTTGTGAAGATGAAGTATAATGTTTCCAAGAACAAGGAATCGCACCTTCTTTTATATGTGCATAAATCGCGCGCTCGCACAAAGAAGACATAACAAGGCCCAGACGCTTCCGTTTGGTTCAAGAGGATGGGCGCATGACATGTTGCCGCCATAGGCCTGCCGTATGTTCCTAGCGGGGCATGTGAAGAATGCACAGCAACAGCAACAAATTAAGCTTCTCAGTGATTAACAAATCAGGATGCAGTAAAAGTGGTGGAGGTGGGTTGTGGTGGTTGGTGGGTGGCGAGTGGCGCATAGATAACAACAGCAGGAACATGCGTTTAGGGCAATGGTCACCTGCTCACGAAAAGGTATCCATAGTTGCTGTGTGTGTAATTGGTGTATAATTATCGACCGAGTAAGTAGGTTTGTGCTTGCATAAGCCTCCACAGCAAATGATGTCAACAACCCAACTTTATTGTTAAAGGGGGGATAGTCTTTAAAGGTGGCAAAGCAAAAAGCGCTCATAGTCATAATGCCCCGCTCAAGGTAAGAGGGGTGTGGTGGTGGGTGGATCGCCTGTCATTTGTTGTCTCTCAAATAGCACTTTTACAACGTGGAAATATGCATCAAGGCCTGGGGCCCGCATCATTTCCTGTGTTACATCATGGCATCATTTGTCGCGAGCCGATCAATCCAATGATTGTGCAACCATTTCCCGCTTCTTGGCTTGCTCCTCAGTGTTGGTTCCTAATAATAATGCGTCATGGGAGATGTGCTTCTTTGTTGTTAAACTACGCAAAAGATGTAATCAAGCCATTACCCATCTTTCAACCCCCTTCTACAAACATGAGAGAGGATCTTTTGATATAGGAAGCATTGTACTCTTATCTTTTACCAAATTGAGGACTAACTGCTCAGTAATAAATTGGGCTCAGTATTCACCCGCGTGGCAATCCTATCCGGCATTTCACTGGTGCAGAACAGTGCGACCTTAAATCATCCGATAACGTCACCAGGTATGCTAACATATGGCAAACAACCATTTTAATAGTTCTCTATCAAATCTACGCGAGTGGTATTTGGTGGTCTACAATGGCTCGAAAAAGCCTTACATCCATAGAATGTTCGTGGATAGGACATCATGTGAAAAGAAGTGGCAATAATGATGGATGGTGTTTATTCCACACAAATTACTGAATCTAGGATCCGACGGTGGTATATTAATGACATGTGGTTGAACATCTACGTATAGCATCTCGTCATCATTATCGTAAATCATGGAGCCGATAACGCGTTAGGCGGTAACCAGGAGGTGGGGTGTAGATCATCTCTCCACAATATCCATGTGTGTGTGTGTGTCTCTCTCCCAAAGTGCTCAAGCAGGGTTCATGCGTCATGACAAATACTCTTCCAATGTTCGTACTAGTGATCCACCTTGTCCTTTTGTATCCAATTCCTCGAAATAGGTCCCATACTTTGCATAGTTTTCAATTGAGAGGTCCACCACTTCGCACCTGACATCTCTATCTTGAACAAAGATCAACGATAATCCTTGACGTCCAAATCTGCAAAGCGCCTTCGTTTGTTCCTCGTAATCAACGATTCCCTCTGGTACCCTTCTTGTATGCTTGCTGCGTGATGGATAATACTGGAACACAGCGTCAACCGGAATGTCTTGGAGCTCGTAAATGGCCACATTTTCACCGCTGACAATCAATACGGAAGGCATGCTTTTGAAGATCTTTAAGCGTCGATGCCGCTTGGCGAGTGATTCACCCATCTTGATATGAGTATGTGGCACAGCTGCACGAGATAGAATGCCGGCGATTCGTTCAGCGCCATCATCATTCTACATAAACCAAAGTAAATCGATTAGCTATTGTGAAATGATTAATCATCCCTTCTTTTAACTCACAGTGTAAAATATGATCCGATTCTTAGCGAAATAGGTGAGGTTCAACTTCATTATTCTGTCGAAATCCGTAATGCTGCTCTTGATGTTTAGATAACAATGATGCACATACTGCAAATTAGGCATCGTGTCGTTTCGTTGTCGGTTGAGAGAAGCCGTCGTTTTACGAGCTGCGTTAATCTCGTCGATCTTATCAACCCAAATGCAGCGATACCGTTCGAGTAACAAATCTACAGCTGATTTTAGCGCTGGCGAAGCACGATCGCATGTCGAATCGTCATGGCCCAAGAGGGCTTCCTGGATCTTGCAAACTTCTAACGCGAAGCTGGTAAGCTGACTAAAATCACTTGTTCCATGGTTGGATCGAGGTAGATTGACGAGTTGGTTCAGAGCATTGTCGTAGCAAAGGTGTCCAGAGTTTGGACTGAGTTGGGTTGTCATGGCAGCAGCGGAAGATGCAACGATTTCATGCTGGTGTTATCATTTAATTCGTTTTCAGCAATGATTGCATGCCACCCACCTAGCGTACTTTAAAAGCGAGGATGCACCTCTTTCATTGTTTCTGCCCATCTCCTTGTTTTACCATGCCACTTTTGCCACCTCCTAGGATAAATTTCAAGCAATGCTACTACAACGCCAATAGGATAGGTCAAATAAAAATTATGCGACGGCTTATAGTTCTTGCATCATGCCATGTTCATCCCCAAATGACGCATTTAATGAACACAATGAATGATAGAAACCAGACAAGCACGCAAATAAATGTCATTGATTCGCCCATGAAAATAGTAAGTGATGCTATCATGCATCACACACCGCACATGCTTCTTTGATTTCTTCACCACCAATGGGGCTCAAGTTAGCTTGGTGCTGAGCAGAGTAGTAAATGAAAGCACGCTTATGGATGAGCTTGTGTCACCCTTACTTGGGAAGCCTTTGTACACTCGTTATCCAAACTTTCCCCATCTTCATGAATGTAAACATCTTTTATTCATAGCAAGTGCTTTGCTAATATTTGTGCCAGTGATCCATCGGCTCTCGGATTCAATTGCTTCAATTTGGTCCCATATCGAAGGTAATAAAACGATGCAAGTGACTCGAGTGCTTCCTGCAAAGCCTCATCTTGAACTATCACGATGCATACCCCAGGATAGCCAAAGCGGCACACCGCATCGATTTGGCTTTGATAACCATATATGCCACCAGGGGTCTTTCTTAAATGCGAGGTACGTGGAGGATAATACAAGAACACAGCAGCCACCGGAATACCATGAAGCTCCTCAAGGGATAGATTCTTACCACTGACCACCAGCACACAAGGTGCTCGACGAAAGGTTTCTAATTGCGAGTGGCGCTCATCGGATGATACCTCTTCCAATAGGGTAGTATTTGGCACGTCAAATGTGGATAGATAACCGCTGATAGCTTTAGCATTGATATCGGCATCCTACATCTCACCATGTGTTGGTGCTACACACGCTGTAAAAAAGGAACAAATCTTGCTTACACAATAAAAGATGATACGTTGGCTTCTAAAGAATTCACAGTGGTAGGCTAGGAATTGGGAAAGAGCCCTGTCGCTGTCTTGCATCCTCACAAAGCAATGCTGAACAAGTTTTGAATCAGGCGCATGCTCTTGTGGCCGTTGTGGTGTGTATGTACGTGCATGCATCTCTTGTATATTATTCTCTCTCTGCTGTTGTCGATCGATAGAAAGTTGGGTTCTTGTACGTGCCAACACCTCTTCCATGTTATTCTCTCTCATTGTGGTATTTCGATCAGCCAAAAATTTTAGAGCTGAATTCAACACAAGAGAGCTCTTATTACATTTCGAGTCGTTATGTTTTCTTATGGCTTCGTCAAATTCGGTGCTGTGTATCATTGCATACGAAGATCCATCGAAGCCTTTGGTCCTTTTGTATTGTTGAAGGACGTCGTTGTACAGATCCAGCAACTCGTCATAGCAGACATGGTCAGGATCTTGTTTATGTTGTTGGTCCTCTACCATGAGGAGGGATAGTGTTGGAAAAAGAAAGAGGGAAAACACAAAGCTCATTCATCCATTCATCTTCGTCCTAATAATATTATCGATCACTGGTTCAAGCAGAAATGAGGTCCACAAGGAGGATGAAGCTTTAGCGATCTAGGGAAAGGCGACTTATGATTCGATCCATGTGTATCCTTCACTCATTATTGGTTTCGAAATTAACTGGAATCGTTTGTATTGCTTTATTAACGGGTGTCTCGCTATTACTATGGGGTGATTATTCAGGGTATACAATAATGATCTCTGCACATACACGATATAGGGTATAATCATCACATGTATTGGTTCAATGTTTGTGTTCGTAAAACGATGGCTATCGATATAATTCTATATCCAAATCTTGTACCTGGACCCATGCATCCGCTAGAGACTTCTTGAAAGCTCAAGGGTATCGTTAACATCTTCGCCTTGAAGAAACAGGACACGTTACCCAAATTGCTCGTTACCTTAGATGCAGCCTTTGACCCTCCTTATGCACGAGATGAATGATAACCGGGGCATGTTCTTGAGTTCCTCGATAAGTCCTCCCAACGGATCATCAGCATCACTGTGTATGTTGACAAGTCTCCAATCACCCACGACCAGGGATTGATTGCTAGCACTTTTGCACTGATAGAATGGCTCTAATATCTCTAGCATTAATATCACCATTCTCCAACGTAATGTATAAGCGAGGAACAATATGTCTACTTACATGGGGGCGTGCACACATTGAATGATGCCCAAGGCTGACAAAACAATGCTTGACGGCGTTCCTTTTCTTGTTGCTGGTTGATCATATCATCCCTCATTTTGCTTGAGCACAAATAGCTTGGTCATGTTGCCTTTGTTCTTGCGGCGATTTCACTTGTCAAGGCTGTATAGCTGGGGAACCATTACTCCTTCGCGACTTGCCATGGTGGGTAGCAGCTTGCATCGGAGGGGCGTAAACTACGTCATGCTGTGGCCGCAATGAACATTCTAGCCTTTGGCTTCTGGCAATCGAGGAAAGCTGTCGACGAATGGACGTCCAACGATGTGTCACAAAAAAGTGGTAAATGCTGGCTGGAGTAAAGAAGGAGGCAATTTCTCATTGTTCATGCAGATCCTTTTCCTTGTCCTATCGCTCACGTGATCCAATGCCTGACACAATGAAGAATGGAGGCACAAACAAAGGACAATCGACCAACCCTGCACAAGATAACCTTCTCGGTATCATTAATGGCTGTTAAACTTACCTTTTAATATTAGGAACAAGAGCCAAAGGAATGCTTCCTACCAAAAGGTTCCCATCTGCCTACAGCTAATGGTGGTGTTATCAATGATGTCAACCTTCGACTTGCTATTGCGTGTGCATTATTCAATCAGTGATCTATGGTTTCATGCGGGATTCCCAATCACCTGTGTAAACAGTAAGTGGCAGCTGTCCCATTGATATCCCTTCATGGTTGAGCTCAAACTCTTTTTTCACATCTCTTCCTTTCATTTCTCCCCCCACTTTTTACTATGCCTTCAGCTGCCAACCTTTACAAGATACTTGGCGTCTCTGAAAATGCCACTCAAATGGAGATCAGACAGGTGCGTCTTTTTTCTATTCAAAGTACTATATTGGCTCACTGCTTTTTGCGTTTCCTTCCTCCCCTTTTAGGCATACATGGAAAAGGCAAGTAGTGAACAGCATTGACCGTTTGAGGTTTACATGATTGACACAGCTATTCTATAGGCCGCAAAGTATCATCCTGACCGAAATCCAGAAGGTGGCGACAAGGTAGATGTCACTTGTTCCATATACACAAGGATGTACGTGAATGACCGTGTGCTCCATTATAGTTCATTGAAGTAGCCACAGCATACAACATCTTATCCGACAAAGACCGCTTGAAGGCGTACAAGGATGAAAAAGAAGAGGACACCTTTTATCGTGCTGATCAAACCGACGTCTTTGAGCAAGTGACCACAGCCTTCGCAGAGGAGATACGTAGCAGAATGGATGCCAAGCGTTTGAAAGGTAAATGGTTTTGCATCCTTATTTAACACGATGACGTACTCACACACTATCTTTTCAAGAAAACATTCGTGAAGCCGACTTGGGATTGAATGTGCGTACTATCGTTGCGGTGACACTCAACGAGCTTTACAATGGCGCCGAGAAGCAAGTCGACTATCGACGCATGATCGTATGCAGAGATTGCCAAGGGTGAGTACGCTATTTTATTTACAGCATCATCATAGGCATTGATAAACTATCTCACACATACACCATTTTTAAAGATCACGGTTTACTTTTCAGGATGACAAGTGTCTAACCTGCAGTGGTCAAGGCAAGGTGAAAAGAAACCGCAAGAAAAAGAACCGCTATGTTGCATGCGAGCGATGTCGTGGAAGTGGCAAGATCAAGGTCAGAAAGTCATGCACCGTTTGCAATGGATTACGCTATACCGAATCCAAGGAATCGGCTACTATCATTATCCCAAAGGGAGGACCACGCACTGGCAAGATTTGTCTCACCAACAAAGGTCATGAAACGGTACGTACATGTGGTGGATGGTCCTATCAGCACAATGTAAACTAACATACATCTCTTTATTTCTTTCCAGCATGGTCCACGACCACGTCGTCAAATGAGCCATGTCATTGTGGGTATCAACTTGATTGGACATCGTGATTTCAAGCTGCACCACAACCAACGCGATCTTATCACCTGCGTTCCAATTACATTGAGTGAAGCACTGCTTGGATTCGACAAGGTCTTGTTGACGCATTTGGATGGACGCAAGATCAAAGTATCCAATCCCGCTGGCAATGTTATTGATCCATCATCAAAAAAGTACATTCGAGGTGAAGGAATGCCCATCGCATATGACTCGTCACGCAAGGGCGACTTGATTATCCTGTTTGACGTCCAATTCCCTCGCAAGTTGGTTCTTTCACCATCAAAACAAGATCAGCTAGTCAGCATTCTCAATCAACAACAAGACACTTCCACAGTGCCCTTTGAACGTGTATCTCACGGTGGCAATGATAGCTATCGTCCTACAACAGCTTCCTCGTCATCCTCCTCTGATGCTGGTATTGTCCATGAACGAGCTCTTGTGGATGACACGACCAATGACCACATCCACGTAAGTGCATTGTTTATGCAAATGGTGCATTACATCTTCTCATGCCGCCATTCCTTTTTTAGCCACTTTCCGATCCCGGCTTTTGTGGCCACTGCAATACCAAGCCCCTTTTCGACGAGAATGAAATGTTTGGTGAGAAGCAACAGCCACATCACGAATCGAGATTGAGCCTTGATCTGTTCCTTGATATGATCGGTGTGCATGGTCCTTATGACGATGACGAATTTGACGATGAAGATGATGAAGAAGAGGAATTCTTTATCTAGTTGGATTTGCTGACCACATCAACCACCGACAACAACTACCTTGCTTTATCACGATTGCTCCTACATGAATTAGCCCCTTTGCATGAACAAGAAATAAAAGTTATAGTTGCGCACAGACTTTCTTTTCTTCTCAGTTGACAAGGATGAGCGGCTACAAAAAGGATAAAGTAGCATCTGCACGATGGCAGTCTGTGTAACAAATCGAGGAGCCCTTTTCGGACGTTATGATTGCGTTTGGTGAGTCGCACAATACACACCGCACTCTTTTTTACATTAAAGCTTACGAGGGAGGGGGGCGTGTCAGGTTTTCCTCTCTCTCTTTTTTTCTCTTTTTTCTTTTTCATTCACTGCCATCATGTCTGAAGGCTTCAATTTTCAAGGATACTCTCAATCCTCATACCAACACACTGAAGAATATACCAGCAACAGCTTCGAGCACCCTCCCCCATACCCTGGCACCACGACTACTACCACCACCAGCAGTTACAGTGTAAGTTACCTACCATTGTCATCCCAAAGTAAACGTTGTTGCTCACGTCACCCTGCTATAGTACTCTAGCTATGGAGCACCCGAGTCATCTGGTACGCGATTATCGGTATCCATAGGTTACACACGCAAACATCCGATTGCTAATCCCAAAGCATGGTATTTTAGGCGGCATGGTGGGAGCTGGTGATGATGAGGATGATAATACGCTCAAGGATCAAGAAGACGATGGTCAACTCTTCCTCAAGGTCAATCCCAAGTATGAAAACAAAAAAGTCGATTTCAAGCTCTCTCACTGTAAGAAACAAATGGGACACGGTGATGGTCGTGAAACATGGAGTTTCTCAATCATCTATCATTGTATATAGGCAGTGGCCGTAAGCGAGCCTTGTTGATTGGTATCAACTACTTTAATACACCTAATCAACTCGATGGTAAGGAAAAGCCTGGATTGGTTGAATGATGAGAGAGCTAATCAAAGGGGTTATGAAGGGTGTATCAATGATGTGCACAATATCAAGAACTTTTTGACCACGCTTTGGGGTTTTCAGGAACAAGATATGGTTATTCTCACTGATGATCAAGAAGAAGCCCGCTTCATTCCAACGCGTGCCAACATCATTGCTGCCATGAAATGGTTGGTGAGCGATGCTCAAGAGGATGACTCGTAAGTGTAAAGTGGTTGGTGTGAGCGTTGAAAGAAGGAGGAAGAGGCCTTACACATGATGCGTTTCTAGATTCTTCTTCCATTACAGTGGACATGGTGGATATGTAAGTGGGTCAATGTAACACAGCAACAATAATAATGACATTGGGTATTATGTATAGCTTGCCGATGATGATGGTGATGAGGATGATGGCTATGATGAAACTATTTTCCCGGTCGACCATGAGAACTATGACGATACCACAGGCCAAATTAGAGACGATGTAAGTTGGGTGGTGATCAAGAAACAAGGATGCTGATTACTGTTTTCGGGTATTCCAAACTTAGGAAATGCATGATTTGCTTGTCAAGCCCCTTCCCGAAGGTAGCAGGTTGACCGCAATCTTTGACAGTTGTCACTCAGGCACCGTGTTGGATCTTCCCTACACTTATTCGACCAAGGGTACACTTAAGGAGCAAAACATGTTTAAGCATGCTGGCAAAGGACTTCTTGAAGTGGGATTGGCGTATGCTACGGGTGATCGTGAAGCTGCCCTGACTTCGTTGATTGGATTGGGTCAAAGTTTGTTGAAGGCACGCGATACTCAGGAAGAAAACAGACAAACCAATAGCTCCTTGGCTGATGTTATCATGTTTAGCGGGTAAGTACTATCATCCATGTTGGTTGATTGCTTGGGTGAGGGATGATGGAAAACTGATAACGGGGCTCTATAGTTGTAAAGATGACCAAACTTCAGCTGATGCTCAAGAAGCTGGCAAGGCTACGGGTGCCATGAGCTATGCATTTACGAGTAAGTAAAAGGGAAGATGGTATAAAACAATGACCCTTCTTAACATGTATCTCTCTCCATAGCAACGTTGCGGGAGAATCCCAACCAAACCTATAACCAGCTATTGAACAATGTGCGTGATATTTTGCGTGATCGATACGCACAGCGTCCACAGCTTAGTTCCTCGCATCCTCTTGATGTAAATTCCCAATTTATTTGTTAAACAATGATAATTATCACGGGGAGTGAGTGTCTTTTAAGTGTGGTCATTGTTAAAAGATTCTACGTCACCAGACTTTGTTGGGCGGGTGCAAAAGCAACTCATCATCCCACCAACCAATAATTCAGTATCAGCTACGTGGAAGTTCGGTGGTGGTTGGTGGACCTTGCTTGCTCGCTTACCCGTTTTTCTTCCGACTCAACATGAACGACGAATCCACTGATGGTGCTCCCAACAGCTTTATGGAGAAGAAGGCAGCATTGGAAAGAGTACGCAATGGTAGAATGTGGTATCCAGGTCAACCTCCTCACTCACCCCAATGTACAAAAAGCGATGGCAACGAATACTAGATGACACTACTCCTTTCGTACAATATCGTTGGATTGGCACTGGTGTATTGTTACTTCTCTTTTTGGCGCGTATTTTGTATGCACAAGGCTGGTATATTGTCACGTAAGTATAAGGGATAAGAAAGGAAGGGAATAAAAAGGGTTCAATAGCACTAAACCAATATTGTTAGTTATGCGTTGGGTAAGAAGAAGTGAAGCCATCGACTTTTTGGCCCTGGATCCCTGAAAAGACTAATACGGGATGATGGATCTTTAGGCATCTACTTGTTGAATCTGTTCCTCGCTTTCTTGACACCCAAGTTTGACCCATCGATCGAATTGGATACACAAGAAAATGAAATGGAAGAAGGCCCTGCATTGCCCACCAAGGCGGATGAGGAGTTTAAGCCTTTTATCCGACGTCTTCCCGAGTTCAAGTTTTGGTATGGACTAAAGAGGGGGGGAGGTTCATAGATCAAGGGTTGGTTGCTTACATTTTCATTGTTCAGGTACTCTGCTACCAAGGCTACCGTGATTGCCATTGTATGCAGCTTCTTTAGCATCTTTGATATCCCAGTCTTTTGGCCCATTCTTTTGGTGTACTTTTGCATTCTTTTCGCCATCACCATGCGAAGGCAAATCAAGCATATGATCAAGTACCGATACATCCCATTCGATTGGGGAAAGAAGAATTATGGACCAAGCAGTAGCCGAAGCAGGTGATCCCGCCTCCCCCACTTTCATTGTGAATAGCCAAAATGTATTATTACAGCAGCAAGTGTTGGAATGAATATCCATCGGTATAATAAAGATATAAATACACTCGTCTTTTCTATTCTTGTATGTACCCTTGGATACAATGTATGATGCTGAGCATTGTCGTTTATGCTGGTAGGTGTGTGTACGTATGTATCTATTCTTATTACCTGCTGGGAAATGTCAATGTCAGTTTACAGTCATATGACTTTTTACCGTAGCACCGAACAATAACATGCTTGTGTACGTGATGCGAACAAGAGAGTCCAGCCTTTCTCAACACGGATGGACTCGCAGATAAACACATAAACAGAAATTATGTATCGCTTTGGCACTGTGGCAAACATCCTTTCACACGCACAATGAGCCACAATCTTCATTATCATCATCATTGGTTCTTTTATGTAATCCATGAATAGAAGCAATCGCAATCCCATCATAAAATAGGGGGACCAGATCACCCTAGAGTGACCGTGAAGCAGCAAAGAAAGAGAGTCTATGTCCGGCGACGATATCGTCATCATGTGTAACAGGTGACCCCAAAGGAGGAGAGCCCGTGGTGGAGCAAAAGATGAAGATTATGAGATCCAGAATATACATTGTGAGCGCCTTCCTCATTTCTCCTTCAGCAAATGGGGCTTGTTATGACTGTGAAACAACATTGACTTTTACAGAAATATATAACCTTTTCACCTAAGCCCAAAACAAGAATGTGGAATTGTGGATGTAATGGTAAATTGACAACCTTGTTGCATGTGCTTTTGTGTTCCATGTATCAAAGTGTTGAGAGAAGGAGTGTGTGTGTGTGCGTGGGGAGCACATGAGAGCGTCGGTGATTGAGAGAAAGTTCCACACACATTTCAATGCAATGTATGTGTCTTTATTTGTTTCTTGCTGTGGATGTGTGTGTCTCGTGAGTGTTCAAAAAGTCAAAACCCACTCATGTGTGCATGCACGACCTCGGTTGATAACCCAAAACAGCGCGGGACACCATGTGTCACCATGAAATGAGGTCACGACACGGCGCTCGTGCCGCATCGTGATGTTTAACATAGGCATCATTTTGTTATGTGTGTGTGTAGAAGAGTACATGATTCATGCAGTAGATAATGCATGGGTTGTAATTATTATTAGATGACTTGCATTAGTGTATAAGGTAAGGTGTACGAGAGAAAAATGCAGACTAGTAAAACATTGTGTGTGTGTGAGAACGCGAGGGGGAATTTACAACAAGAAGGGTGAGGATGTAATAGGATTAATAGTAAAAGTAGGGTTCTTTGTGCGTAGTAGGAGAAGTTGAAAGGGGGAAGGTAATAAATGCATATGTATACCTCTAGGCTTTGGATTGAAGCGGGAATTGTGATGATGATGGCAAAGACAAGGGTGAACGAGGAGTGGTAGGAGAAGATGGCTCCGCAGGTGTTGAGCTGCCAGAATATGAAAGACCAACATTTTCTTCTTCATCCGAACCAGAATCAAAACGTCTCAAACGCAAGGCCATAGGCTCCTTGAGTACAAACACGTCTTCCTCACATTCCTCCATTGTGGCATCATTGGCCACCACCTGTAATGGCTTGGAAAAGATATGATCATAGTTGAGTCGAAACTCGATGCTCCGAATGAAATCGCGCACACTGATCTTTTGGATGCCGAGATACTGTAAACGAGTACGGCACTCTGCCCGTAATGGCGGCAAGTGCCGACGTGCAACGAAAAAGGCCGAAAATGCATAGATGGAACCACCCACTAAATCAATCAAGTAGTGATGTGTCAAGTACATGGTTGCCCACCACATCCACATGGTGTAAGCAATAGCGATAGGCCATGCACGTGGAAACAGGTATACGAGGAAACACATTTCAATGGTAGCTGATCCTGAATGTAAGGATGGGAACGCGCCAAATACCAAGGGAGATGCTCCAAAGGAAGAACCATACAGGTTCAAACCAAGGATCTTGTCGATACGTGCAAGACCACCAGCTTCACCGGGAACTGAGTAATCGGCAGGTGCGGAGCCATAACTCATTTCATACCCTATTATTGTATCACAATTAGACAAATCCCTTCTTGCCGTTTTAGCAGCATCATCAACAACAACAACTTACAAGGCGAAGCATTGGGGAAACACAATTGAGTCAGCACACCTGCAAGGTTCATGTAACCAAAGGCTTGGCCATACACAGGCAATGACTTTGGAGGACCAAACACGAAAAGTACTGCGGCGAAAAAGAATGGCAATGAAAAGTGGATAACACCATAGGGTAACCAAGCAAGTACATCAAACACGGGGTGTTGATTCTTTGAAATGATTTCTGAAAGGTTGGCACCATACAAGATACGTTCGAGGCTGGGAAGGATGTTGACAAAGATATGGTGTGGGCGATAATCCTGTGGGATGAAGCGAGAGGCGTAGAATGTGATGAGCCAAGTAAAGATTGGCATGGCTGGGATGGTGAAGCGTCGAATGTAGGGTATCATTGTCGAAGAAACGAGGAGAATGCCCAATGCAAGACGTACAATGAGTGGTGGTTCTTGAATGATGATGAGATCAAACGTGAGCAAGACACCCATGACAGCATAGCCAATGTGTGTCCATGTCCATTGCCGAAGCATTGATGGTGTGGCGATAGACATGTTCGTATAATTGAATTATTAAAAAGTAATGGGATTGTGATAAAAGTAAAGGGATTTAGAAAGTAGAAAAAGAAAACAAGAATGGGCGAAACAAGATGTTGCATCCCGGGTGGCCGGTTTTATATATGCGGAACTCCAAAGACGGCAAGGCAAAACGTTTGCACGCTGTTGCAAAAATTTTCTGTGTTACCTTGCTCCCACGGCCCGAGTCGTTTATCCGGGCATGGATTATAGATGCGTGCGTGCTTGCATGTGAGTAATGTTGTTTTCATCACCAAACCACCACATGCAATGTCATCTCATCCACACCTACAACAACCCAACACACACTTTTGTAGGTATTCTGCAAGGGCCTTGTTTACCCAGATCTCCCCTTATGCCCGACATTGCATGATTGAAACCCACCCCTGTCTTGAGTTGAAAGCGCGTAAAATAAATCTTGTCACTTTTTCGCTCACTCAGTCTGTTCGTCGCGCAACCACCGGCCACAATTTAACCGCTCCGATAAGAGCTTCTTGACCTCTCATCTTGCTCCGCACGCAATATGTGTGATGATAAATAAATGAAAAACGAGACGGGGTTCGGCCACAGCGCCGCTTTGTAACTTTTTCGGGTCATACGATGCAAAATGATGCACCGAATCAACCCCCATCATTCACCCGTCATATAAAAGGTATCTTATATATACCTGCATGCGGCAACACTACGTCAATTGCTATGCACACATTGGTTACTATGGCGCAGTGTTTTTCCATACTGACGATGTCATTGTTTGTTGCTGCTGCTGCTGATGCTGAGTAGTAGTTGGTATTCAACAAGGCATATCCATTATCCACATTATCGGCCATTGACATGGGACCCGACACCCACAACAACACTTTTTTGTGTGCCTTACATTGATGACACGCGACATGATGGAAAAACAAAAGATAATATTATTTACACATTTTCTATCAACATTATGCAATATGGGTAACACCTTTGGCCTTGCGTTGTTGCTGCAACGTTTTCCGTTGTCGAGTTTCCTCTTGCTTGAAGGCTTCCTTGGTTGATTTTTTGGTCTCTCGTCGGTTCTATTCATGGCATATAAGTACACATGGATGTATGTCATGCCTTTTCTTATTTACCTTTTTAGCTTCCTTGACCGCAGCTTTGCGAGCTTTCTTTTCATCTTTGGATTCCTTCTTTGATCTTGCAACACCCAAATTCACAGGTTCAATTTCCTCTTCCTCTTCCACCTCATCCTCTTCATTGTCCTCTTCATCATCATGTGCTTCTTCTTCTTGAATGGGTTGGTGTTTGGGTTTCTTGGGTTCTTGTTCAACTAAGGATGGCATGCCAGTTTTGGGGTTGATGACAATCTTCTTTTTGGGTTTTCCTCGGTCGGAAATCATGGCTGGATGATTCTCGAGATTAGAGTAAGTCGACAGCACCGTTTGACAATCCCACGTTTCCCGCTGTTTTACGGGCCGCTCCCAAATGTCGACACGATCCACTTCCTCTTTGCGGCTCTTTGGTTTATCCTCGACATCCTCATTTGACAATCGAATGGCACCAAGAGACTGACGCAGGGTATCCAATTTCTCGCCACTTGTATCGCCCTCCAATTTCGGCTTCATTTTGCGTCCAACGATTTCATACTTGTCCAAAAAGTCATCCAAAATACTGTCAAAGTCGGCACGATCCTCCAAGTTTTCCAATCCATTGCCTTCATCCTCCTCCTCGTCATCATCTTCCTTAAAGTATTCTTCTTCGATCTAGAAATAGAATAAAAGGGTCATTTGACGTGTTCATGAGATCAAAACGATAAATTACCTTTTCGAATCGATCATCCAATAAAGTCAGCTGAGCATTACGATGCATGACAGAAGATGACACCGAGAAGCCTGTACGTTTGGTTTGTCGTTCAAGAAGATCGTCGTCGTCATCGTCAGAATAGTCTGATGAACCACCTCTTTGTTTGCCTCGTTGGAAACTATATGCACGTATACATCAGTCATCCATTGCATATATCACACACACAACCCCCTTTGTACAACAAAAGCCCTCCCCCCTTTGAACAACTTACTTTCTAAACGCAGCTTCCCAGTTGTAACTACCATCTTCCATTTCCTCTTCGTATTCTTCATAGTCTTCTTCCTCAGGGATGTAAGGATCACCCTCTGCATTCAATTCGTCGAAAAAGTCCTCATCCACTTGACCATCGGCATATTCATCATCTTCCAATGCTTCCAACACCTCACGAAGACGAGGATCCATATCGGGTTGTAAACCTCCTTCCAAACCAGTAACATTGGCCATGGCACCGATATCACGTTCAATGTTGGATGGCATAGCATCGGCTGGTAGTTCAATCACTTGTCGTTCTTTTTGATCTTCCTTGAACATCAAGTCACCACCAGAAGACTTTTTGGGCTTTTCTTCACGTTGAGGCGCTTCCAAAAAGACGGCTTCGGTCGAATCACCAATCGTTCTCAAATGTTGCGTATAATCGTAATCACCCACATCATCAAAGTAAATGCCCTGGGCTGTGGCCTGACTCACACGCCTATGATCCTCAACATCAATATCATTGCTCGTATGACAACAACAACCCATCCTACCTATCAATCTCATCTTGGTTGAGTCGCACAGGCTTATACTTGACAGCGTCTATCTCTTCTTGTGTCTTGTGCTAATCGTTTGACTTGTATAAGTGAATGCTGATATAGAGGGTGGGTTGATTGGATCCTAACCTTCAACATGTTGGGAGGAATAACCTCTTTGAGCACTCGATCGGAAGCATCGGCATCGTGGATCAGTGGATCGCGTTGCGATCGGTGGACAACGTGGTAGTGCTTGGCTTGCTTGCGATCGATAAATGGCTTTTTACCCATTGGAGAACAAAGATAAAATAAATTTTCTCGAGTCGGATGAGGAGGAGCTTTGACTGCAAAGCCCACCAATCATTTTGGTCTGTTCAATTCCTGCCGCATGCATGAGCATGGTTACTAAACTAAATGTGATGATGATGATGAGAGAGAAAGAGACATCCACCATGGATTTATTTTGATATTACAAAGGATGTTGTCATGGAAGAGAGAAAAGGGAAAATGGTATCATTGGAGAGAGAGAGAGAGAGAGAGAAAGGAAAAAAGCAAAAAGAATCAAAGCGCAGGGTCATAATGTACAGGACACCCTTTGCCTCGTTCTAACCACTCAGCAAGACAATGACGATGGTATGAGCATAAGCAAATCATTCTAGCAATCTTTTCGCCTATTGATAGAGAACAAAGATGAGATGTTGTTTCATAGCACATCGCCTTGTAGTAATATCATTACCTGCTTTAAACTCTTCAAAGCAAATGGGGCATTCATAGCTGATTTCGGGTGAATCGGATGACAATTCATATACTACATATCAAGGGAAATTGATCAATGCCTTGATCCTCATCAACGACCATTCTCTCTTACCTAAGTAACGTGGTGGACGTACTGGTGGGCTGCCAGCATTCAAGCACATTTGTAAATGGTTCTCTTGATCCTTTTTTGCCATACCAAGAAGATCATGGCCACATACAGGGCATTCTGACATGAGGCTTTGTGAACTTCCTGATCGTCTCATGGTGACAGGTGCTGTTGCTCGTCGTCTGGTATTGGAGGAAGAAGAGGAAGGCACTTCTTTGATGGGTAAGCGAACACAAGCATCACATACACGTTGTGGATGCATAGCAATCAATGGATAATGGGAAGGGTCGACAGCAGGGTCTTGAATGATTTCATTTGGAGGAAGACGAATACGGTGACTACTGCATCGATCACATACCACGAGACCACATCGCCTGCCCAAAAAAAAAGTGGCCATAAGTACCACACCACATCACTCTCCCCCTCCTTGTTGGCATGGCAACAACCTACCTGCAATGATGTCTCCGCACAAGGAAATTAAATCTTCTGTTACAACGACGACATTCAGATGCATGGCGATCCGCTTCCCATACACGTCGATGGGTGTCAAGTACTGTATGCTCCGATTCATCATCATGGGTCACGCAATCCTGGTTATTGTCCAAATGTCGAGAACGGGTATCTAATGTCAATGATAAATCGGGTTCTTGGTGTTGCATCGATAATGGACCATCTTGATAGAGTTGTTCAGGTGATGATGATGAGGGTGGTGCTGCTGGTGGTGGTGATGGCGTGGGTGGGTGAATAATAGGTTGTGGAGTAGTATCAGCAATAGTAGGTGGCGGCGTTGGACCCGATCCATTATTATCATTGCTGCTGCTGCTAGTTTGTGGACCATGTGTATCCATCGTCGTCGTCGTCGTTGTCATTTGCTCTTGTTCCTCCTCCTCGTCTTGAAGATGGGTTGTAGCAACAGGGTCATATTGTTGTAGTTGTTGTGATATCTCATCATGCTGCTGATCCACCATCTCATTTTCTTGTGAAATCGTGGGTTCACGTGGTGTGCTTGGTTGCTCATGTTGTTGATCCACTGACTCATTTCCACTTTCCTCTTGTGTATTACCGCTGTGCTCTTCCTCTTTGAGTGATTGTTGATCAGGGGTAGTAGTCGCATCTTCCTCGATGCAATGTATAGGTGTCTCTTGTGCATGATCCTCATCCTCATGTAATGGTGTCTCCATATGGGTTGCCGAATCAGTGATTTGATGGTCTTGACGTGGTGAAGAAGACGAAGATGACGATGACGATGATGATGCATCATGCGTTACTTGATGATCTTGATCCAACCTTGAATCGTCGTCCTCACGTTGTTGCTCATCCTCAGTGTGTGATTGTTGCTCATCTGTATCCAAGGGCAAACAAGTATCCGTATCCAAGGGACAATCATCATGCTCCAAAGTCTCAGCGTTGGATGGTTTTGGAATGGCATCTTGCTCGTTTGAATTATCAGCAGCAGCAGCAGCAGGAGGAGGAGCAGCAGGAGAAGAAGGCTGACTATCGACGATACACGGTCCAGCCGATGGCAACGTCGTTTCCTCTTGTGCACTAGACGAGCTTGATACTCCTGAAGATAGCGGCGAATCACTGTTGCAAGTAGTTTCTGGTTTGGTCATTGGAAGGGATTCTGTCAAAGTGGTATCGGTTGCTGTGCCATGTGTGCTGGGTTGATGCTGTGGTTCTTCCATGGTGTACGATCTGTTTCAGAAAGGAAAATAGGCTACTTTGGTGGGGGTTTTTGGGTTTTCTCGCAAGACAACGTTGAGAAAAATAAAGCCGTGCTGCTGCGAGATTAGTTGAGGGACAACGAGATGGAACGCAACATGCAAAAAAAAGAACAAGAAAGACCGTTCTCGTCATATTCTCTCTCTATGTTGCGCTTTGCTTAGCATGCCTGCTGCCTTTGAAACCGCACTTGGCCTCTGGTTGATGCATCCAATCACACGCCAGATGTAGCATGACTTTTAGGCGACCAATGCATTAGTGAAATGCTTGTCTTTCATTATACACCACACACGCAAGACGTATTTATGTATGTTTGTGCACTACTTTATCCTGTGACATGATGGGAATACCTATTTGTGCTATTCTTCAACATCCCAGTAACTGGTTTCAAATTAACCCTGGGCGGTGTGTGGGAGGAGATTGTGCATGAAAACGAATCAGACTTTGTGAGACATAAAACACTCTTGGTGTGGTTCAAAGTTGCCCGATGACATTATCAAACACCATAGATCTTTAAGGCTGTCATATGCTGATAACATCTGATGCTGTGCATATCAACACACCATTAGTGTCTCATGCCACACAAGAATGGTGATGGTGTCAGCTCAATCAGCTTCAACAACAGATGATGATGAGCAGCAACCGAGGATGGGAGAATAGTACAAAAAACTCTGTAGATCTCGTCATGCGATGAGAAAAAGATCAGCAGATGGCACATTTATTTTCAAGAGATAGATGAAAAAAGAGAGGACGCACAGCCATTTTTTACTGTAGTGAGCGATCCATCAATATATGCAACGTATCCAGGCAATACAAGTTGTTTCCCACGTTGTTGTTACTCTAAGTATCAATCATGGAAGAACAAGATGTACGATTTTTTTAAAGTAGATGCGACACAAAAGAAAAAAAAGCATATCGGCTGAGATTTTCTTACTAGTGGGAGGATATTGAATGTGTGTGTGTGTGTGTGTGTTGCCCCACCCAAGACACGCACCACCATTCATTGACTGACTGACACACAACATGGGTGGTGAGGGGAGTCGTGGTGGGAGGGGAAACGGCCCGTCGCGAGGCACATCATCTACGCTCTCTCTTTCTTTGGCACTTTTCCTTAATAACCTTCCCTTTTTCTTCTTTTCTTTCCTTTCTCTTTATTCACACCCGAAGTGTCTTATTGCTATGCTACAACTTTCACCTTTGGCAACTCAAGTGGAGAAAGAACAACACGATCGTCTCTCTCGTATGGCAAATTCTCAGAACGAAGCGCTTGCCAATCTCAACGACTATCTCGAGATTCTACAATCTGAAGTCTACGTCGACCTTGACCGTCTTCGGTTACTTGCACGGCACGGCATTCCCAATGAGCTCCGTGCGGTATGTTTTACTTCATCATTCGTCATACACACTCACTCACTCACACTTTCTAACAGGAGGTTTGGAAATATCTGTTGGGTGTTCAACAAGCCGACCGTTGTGAGTAGCTCTCTCCCTCTCTCTCTCTCTCTCTCTCTCCCTCCTTCTATACCCCAAGATACAAACAAAGAGACACACTCACACCCACATCATCAAGCCAAGGAACTCTCCAATAGCAAGGCTAGGAAAGAAGATTATGAGCAACTTGATAAGCAAGATCCCGAAATAGCCAAGCGTATACGTGGTGAAGTCGCTCGTTACCAACGCAGGGTCCCTTTATTGGATGGAAGGCAACACATGGATCGCTTTGAAAACGTTATCCTTGCTTACCTCAGTGCAAATCGCGATGCTGAATACCATCCAGCCTTGATCTCTCTCTGTGCTCCTTTTGTTTATGTTTTGGACCAAGAATGGGATGCATATTACTGTTTCGAAAAGCTGATGCAGGCATTAGGTAAAAAAGACATACTGGTGATGGTGGGGCTCATGTTTGCTGGTTCAAGCTAATACCCTTTATTAGAGGAGCATTATACCACACACAACATTAAGGAAAACATGGCAAAGTTCATGACGCTGTTTCGCCACACCCTACCTGACTTGTAAGTTACTAGTAACGGCATTTGAATCGATCGATTGATCCCCCCCACCCCTTGCTTAAATCATTCATTTTTCTTTAGATGCAATTACTTTGAAGAAGAAGAGGTGGATCTTAGTGAATGGACAACGTCGTGGCTTCAACACTTACTTTCCAGAGAGATGAAATTTGAAGATCTGGTGCAGTTATGGGGTACTAAAGATCTTTTTTCTTTGAGCAACCTACCCCCATCCGATCTCTAACCTTGTTTTTTTATCTTAGATGCTTACTTTGCCATCATTGACTTTGTCGACTTTCATCCTTTTGTTTGTCTTGGTAAGGAAACACAGGATTTATGCCCATGCGTCATTTTGTTTATTGACACCCGTTCACAACACAGCCATCTTGCTAAATGCTCGGGAGAACCTCGAAGATCTGGAACAATCGGAGATACGGACAATGTTGCTCCGATTACCGTACCTGAACATCCAGCGGGTGAGTCGATTATCCCTCCCTCAACTCCACTTCCTCCCGGCAAACGGGTAACTAACCATCCGTTTCTCTTGTCATCAGCTGCTTGCCGAAGCATACAATTTACGACAAGAAGATTTGCAAAGGCAGCTTTCGGAAGATGGCGAGCTCTTGTGATATCCCGCAAACCAGGCTTATTTTTCATCCATCCATATTATATATCCATTACATCACCACCATTACCTTGACACACACACACACACACACAAGCACTACTACATTCTTCACTATCACCACCACCACCACCCTCACTCACATATCATCAACATTGTTTTTCTTTCATTTGATATTTGGATATCTTTCATTCAACCCTTGAAATGTTTCTTCTGGTACAACCATGTTCCTCCGTTTTCTATCAGTCAGCTTTGTTCAACATCAATATTGCAATCAATTGGATGTAGCGGGTGTGTAAAAAACAACAACCATGCCATGACCACACATACACGCGATACCATGCATGCCATGTCTTCTCGTCTTGCATAATGGAGATCAAAGACGCTGTTGTGTAACCCGTTGCCATGTGTATGTGTTTATTTGTAGTCGTTGATCTACTTTGTTGTGATGCAATAGTAGTAGCAGTAGTCATCATCCATATTATGTGCGAGCGAGTTTACTTTGATTTGTCCCCCTTCCTCGTATACGTATACCCATATTTATAAAGTACAATAGCCCATCATGTACATATCATTTGCTATCAACATGATCCTATTATCATCATCAACAACAACCCAAAGGTTTGGAATAGGTGGGAATGAAGAAGAGCGTCACACGTGATGTAACGCTCTATGGACCACAACGAAAGCTGATAGGCTATTATGCATACTCAGTCATATGCATAGAGTGGCAAATGGAGAAAGATGGTTTGAATCTCCTTCCATCCAAACTACTGCTGCAGGTACATGCATATAAAGGCGTACAAAGCAACCAAACGATAAAAGTGCCCACCCCTTTTTTTTATCGCCTTTTCCCTTTACTACTTGCTTTCATCTATTTGATCCCTCTTACAGCACCCATGGTTACTGCACCTCTCATTTCCAATGAGCAAGTCCAGTCCTTTATTGATGTTAATAGTGGTACTCCCTTAAAAAGACAGCTACCAACCTATCTTGCCTTGCATAATAGCGATACTGCATCGATCTCGAAACACGACGATAATGCAAATCTTGAACGACGATTATTACGAAAGCTTGATTGCACGTACGTATACCTATCCTCCGACAAAGAAAGAAAGCAACAACGACGACTCATGGTTAACAAGATAGGCTGATGCCCGTGTTGTCATTGCTATACCTATTCTCCTTTTTGGATAGAGTGAGATGAAAAGCAATGCATCTCATTCGACTTTGGATGTTGATTTTGTACCTATTGATTGACACAGGGGAACATCGGCAATGCTCGGCTTGGTAGTTTGGAAAAGGACTTGAATCTGCAAGGCGATGACTTTTATAATGCTCTTTCCATTTTCTATATTGGTAAGTTGAAGCACTCGACATTGTGTACATACGTTAACGTGTGTGTCGTATAGGCTATGTATTATTCCAGATCCCAGCCAATATTGCGCTAAAGCTGCAAGTATCTTCAAAAAATGGTTGCCATGCAACAGCATCAATAACCTTAACCCTTATAGGTGGTCACCTTCCATTGTAATTGGAACTTGCACAATTTTCTGGGTAAGATAACTCACAAAGGATAGTAGTAATCCACACGTACTCATACATACCCATCATGGATTCAGGGCATTAGCTCTTCAAGGTAGTAGGGTGGTGCTGATGCTACTATAAAGGGAAGGGGCGACTTACATGGAACGCCATAGTATCGCTGCTACGTTTAATCTTTCAGGATTGTTGGCTGGTATGTATGAAAATGGCTTGCGGGAAGGCGTATACATGAGCCTGACATAGATCATGCGCTGTACATAGCTCGTTTCTTCCTTGGATGTTGGGAAGCTGGCGTAGCACCTTCGATCCCATTGCTTCTCAGTTTCTGGTACCAGCGTAATGAGATGGCAGGAAGAGTGAGTAATGATATAGAGACCCTTTAGGCATAAACAATCATTCATCAACGCAACATCATGATGTAGATATCAATTTTCTTTGGCTCGTCGACCCTAGCAGGAGCATTTGGAGGCATCTTTGCTTGGGTCATCATTGGGCATATGGATGGTATACAAGGTTTGGCTTCTTGGCGATGGCTTTTTCTTGTGGAAGGCTTGCCAACGGTTCTGCTTGGTATCCTGTGCTTGATGTTTTTGCCAAACTAGTAAGAAAAAGACGCGTTCTTATCATTGACAACAATCAAAATTCTCACACACATACATCCTATAGCCCTGATACTGCAAACACACGATGGTGGTTGACGCCCGAGGAAAAAGAGTTGGCCATTCGTCGTGTTCCAGTTGCCAGTGATGATGCGACATTTAGCAAAAAGCAATTCGTGGCCGTGTTTAAGGATTATCAGAATGCGTTTTATACGTTAATCTATATCAGCGTCTTGGTTTGCATCTCATCGTACTCTACATTTTTACCAACCATTATCAGAGACATGGGCGTACAATCGCTTCAAGCACAGCTGCTCACCATACCACCTTACATTGTAGCATGCTGCTGCCTTTTTGTATGTGTGAATTCCTTTGGTTTATGATAGATGTATGTAAGACTCATGACGTTTTTCAAAAAGGCTGTAGCATGGTACTCGGATCATGTCCAGCAACGTGGTTTGCCTGCTCTCTTATGTTTTATGATTACTATCATTGGGTACGTGTTCTTGCTTGTCGGTGAGCATCTTGGGCTTCGATATTGTGGTGCTATCTTTGTAGCCTCAGGCGTGTACTCTGCAGTCCCAGTGGTACGTACACAGTATACTTGATCCATTGCATACATACATACATAACTCATTGATAAAAAGATGCTATCCTGGATCAATAACAACAATCATGGTCACACTAAACGAGGTGTATCTTTGGGGTTAATGAATGGCGTAGCTCAGGTACTTGTAACTCAATAGCACAACAAAGCATGCATGAAATTGATTGTTTTATTACTACTACAAGTGCTTTGGTATTCTCGGATCCCATGTAAGTTAAGGAGAGATGAAAGAAACAAAGAAAGTAATGATGGGGTGGATAGATTTATAGGAACGAGGATGCACCCTTTTATCGACCTGGCCATGCGATATGCTTAGCTTTTACTGTCTTTGCCTTTATCATGAGCGCTATACTCCGTTTCCTTTTGCAGCGGGAAAACCGGCGACGGGATAAGCTGCAGCAAGATCATCATGCAACGTATGACGTTGAACTCTATGACCGCCATCCAGCATTTCGATACATTCCTTGAGGATAATGTTTATCGCAAAAGAAGCATGTAGTTAAAATAGAGTATGGTGCTCCGCTATTTTTCCCGAATTATTCAAGTTCTCGTATTATCTATTGATATCCGGTTCTAGAACTCTCTTTTATGAACAATATACATACATAAGACCAATGATAACAAGTAAATAAGATGTATTGGAAGGTGACATGCAAAGCAAAAGTGATGATAGTATTATGTCTATATATGTGTGTGTGTGATAAAAGTGTGTGTAAGGATGGTAGAGGTAGAGGTGGTGGTGATGTAGTAGTTTTCCGACCCGCCACAGTGTTCGTTCATATGCAGATGAGGAAAGCGGGCAATAAGAATGTTTTTTTACTCTTGTTTCCTTCCACAAATACCCACACTTTAACACAATGTAAGCTCCATTCCTCGTCCCTCGATGCCATCTTGCCCAGGCTGACCCCCATTGACTCTTTTGTCATTGATAAAACACTAGGTCTGAGCCCTATGATCCCTACATTCCCAACAACCAACGCCCGGCTGGTGGTGCCGGTGGTGACGGAAAAACTAACCGAGTTCAGGCACAAGTGGATGAGGTTGTCAACATCATGCAAGACAACATTGACAAGGTGATGCAACGTGGCGAACGTCTTGACGACTTGCGTGGCAAGACTGGTACGTAGTGTGTGTGTGTGTGTCTCTGTGTGCGTGTTGCTGTTGCGGAGGATGTATTGTACTCATCATATCCAACCCATCGATACAAAAAGAGGATCTTCAATCAACGGCAACTCATTTTCGCCGTGGTGCCAACCAAGTGCGTAAACGAATGTGGTGGAAGGACCTCAAGTGGAAGATCATTATCGCTGTTACTATCCTGGTCATTCTTGGCGCCATCATTGGTAAGTGTCCTCCCCCATTTATTCAATCCACTCTTTTTCTTTACTAACCGGGCATGTCGCCGGCATGATTAGGTTCCATCGTCGGTACTCAGGTAAGAGGGAAAAAAGCGGTATTATGGTGGGTGCAAGTCATCTTACATCGGTTGTATGTGTAGACCAACAAGCAAAACTAAGCAACTTGACGACTCGATGATTTCCTTATGTTCTTTTTGTATATCAACTCACTTTTTCCCCCATTTCCCCCGCCCACACCTTTACTTTTATAACTCTAAGAATGCAATATACTGATTTGAATATGCACATGTAAACATTTAATCTTTGTCCACGTCGATTCCCTTTGAACTTTACAGGTATTATGAAGATTTGGATTTGATTGGATTTACGTACAGGAAAACAATAAGGATGGGGAAATGAATATACACAGTAGTACTAGAGTGGGGGGATAAGAAAGTTGAGGGTGGGGGGAATGAAAAAGGATGATGATGCATGATTTAAAGATAAATGCGGCGAAGGTCAGATGGGGTGGTGATCTTTTGACATTGAGGACAAAGCTTCTTGGATCCAAGCGTATGTAACCAACATTGCTCACAATGGACATGCCAGCAAACAATGGATGTTACCGGTGTCTTGTAGGGTTCTAGACAAATTAGACATCGTGGCGCTGACCGAGATGTAATTTCCTAATCCAACCCATGAATATCAAATCCCTAAAATATCCATCATCATCATACTTACCAATTGCTGTATGCGAGATTTTAATGACTCAATGACCAGCCTCGAATGGCCCGTTTGTACATCTTCACTGGTCGTCCTGCGCCAGCCTTCATCTGAAACCGTTTCTTCATACCCGCTACGGTGTCCATTGTCCCTATGCGATCGATAAAGGATGAGTCCATGTTCACAAAACTCTATTCAATCCTGCACTTACGGTGTTCGCGGCGTAGTACTTGGACTTGCACCTGATACCATTTCTCTCAGAGCAGATGCATCTTCATCTTGAGGATCGAAAACAATGTCTCGTTCGGAATATTGAATGGCTCCATATTCATCATCTCCATCATCTTCTACATCGAGGTCTTCTTCATCTTCGTCCTCTTCACGTTTACTGGCAGTAGCAAATCCAGCTCCTAGAAAAAGGGGGTGATTGGTATCCATGTTGTTCATTCATTGTCATTTCATCTTACCTCCATAGCCACCTTCCATCATGGCAGTTGCACGAACACGAGTTTGACCAGCCCATTCATATTCATCCCATGCACCTTGATCACTTGAATTGCTCGTACTTGAAGGTTGTTGTTGTTGTGATGAATCAAAGGATGCGAGACATTGATCGATATGCAGATTGATAGCTTCTGAATCACCATGGAGCGTGTCATTACAAATAAAGCATCGTTGAACACCTGCTTCTTGTTCCATAATCGCTTGACTGATAGCTTCCTCCGTGTCCTGATAAGTGGGGTCTAAAGTCGATGCATGAATTAGCCATCCATCATCATCATCCGATCTCGCTGTTTTTCGTACGTACCTAACCGTGCCAAAGCTTCTCTTCGATGTTCACGATTCCTTTGTACTTTGCCTAGTAATTCATCGTAGGCTGATGCTGGCTGCTTTTTCTTTCCTTTGGATCGTTCCATTTGTTGTCGTGCCAATAAAGCTGCGCCTCGTCGTTTCCCCTTATGCAAAGGATCCTCATACGCATCCGAATCGAGTTGGTTGAGGCGTTGCAGCTCAAGTTGATAGTGCTGCTCCCACTGAGTTGGTTCAATACGATGCTGGCATATCGGGCATTTAGCTAGATCGCGTTTGGCTGTAGTAAAGCATATATACGAATCAGTACTACTGACGCATGCTATCGTCTCCATTGCTGAAAGAATACCTCGTTTGCCATTGTTGTCAACTAGATACTGCAGTTCACGAGCAAGACTCTTGGATCGCTTTTTGGAACGCTGGGGTCTAATTTGGGAGGGAGGAGGGGGGAAAGCGGATCATTGGTATACTGGTTTCAAATGGTCAATTCGCATGCTGCATTCGCTCACTTTTCATCGTGTGTCGAAGAGGTTGGAGACTCTGGTAGAGTGCTGGGAGGCGAGGACATGGTTGTTGCACTATGCTGCGTGGGTCGAAAATCGATTATATAAAGGCAAAGGGAATGGTTGGATGACAAGTGTAGAGTGGATGCAATTGATGGTCATCCAATTCCACTCAGTTGGCAGCAGCACCCTGTCGGAGGTAACTCCTCTCGGCTCGAACACACATTGATGCATGATTTGATGGATTTCAACTATCCTTAAGGCACGCACACACACACACCCTAAGCATCAAAGGCATTCTTCTTGGTTGGATGTAAGCCTCATAATCATGTACATGTAATAGTAGTTGGATGTTGTGATTCAGCTACTCAATGCTTTTTTATGCTGATTGATGAGGAAGAAAGGGTGGGGAGTGGTGGTGGAATGATAATGATCACTTTTTCAAATCTTTCTTTTATGTATATATGGAATGCATTTACTAAAAGCTTCAACATTGGGATACATGTATTTTCTTTTGCCTAGGCGTTGGATATGCTGGCTGCTAAGTAGTAATAGTACAATGGCATTTACAACATAGCACGCAAGATGACCCAACCTGCCGCCATGTGGCGCACAGCACTATTAATCACCGGTACATGCTGTATATTATTAAGTGTATTGCCCTATTAAGTAATGATAGACTTTGGTTGTATGCGACAAGGTATCGTCGCCGATTGATGTTGGTGGATCTCAGTGGTGACATGATTATGTCAAGATTTCATAGAAAATCCCGCCAGCACTCGATTACCAATTTCTACCTTTTAAGGCAACCATTATTCATCCATGGCCCATGGGTCAAAAGGTATAAAAATATGGAGCCAAAGTACCATGGCATCAACAACCCATATCCTTTTATTCTCAAGATGAAGCAAGCTCTTATTGTTGTCGACGTCCAAAACGACTACTTTCCCGGTGGAAACCTCCCTACGGATCATCCCGTTGAAACTGCCCAAGCCGTGGCTCAGTTGATTACCAAGTTTAGACAAGAAAGCAAGGAAGTGGTGTTTGTACAACACATTTCTACAGAGGAGACCTACAAAGTACTTCCCATTATGAAGGACGGTAGCAAGGGTGCTGAAATCCATGACTTGGTGCGTCCCCTTCCTACCGAAAAGGTGGTGCGAAAACATGAAACCAGCTCCTTTGTTCGCACCGATTTGGATGCTTACCTCAAGTCCAAGGGTATCGATACGGTTGTTGTTGTTGGTATGATGATCCATAACTGCGTCAATGCCACCGCATATGATGCCAATGCCAACGGCTACCAATGCTATGTCGTCGATGAGGCTGTCAATACGTTCGATCAAGAGTTGTATGGCAAAGTCATTCCTGCCAAGCAAATCAAGGAAAGCTTTTTGACAGGTATCCAATTTGCCATGGCCAAGGTGGTGCGCTTGAATGATGCCTTGAATGATAATTACTAAAGATCACGCTCAAATAAAGCATGTCCCATCATGACGATGATGATGTTCTTCCAATAACTAAAACTTGACTTGGATCATGAGATTGAAATGCGTGGGTGGGGAGCAAATGTAGATGGTCTTTAGATTTGTTAATAGCAACACCACCCTTTATTTTTCATTATGCAGAGCTACTACCAGCACCACTACCACTACCACTACCACTCGCACCATCCACTATCTTGATTGTCGATTGATTAGGAGGCGCCTCTCCGAACTTTGCAATATAAGCGACTTCTTTGATACCTTGCAATCTCTATAGTTGCACGTGTTTTTAGAACACGAGTCTCATCATTCATTTATGTGTCAGGAGAAGTGCTAATACTGACCTCGTTGGCAATATAACTTTCGCATTGGAAGCACCAAATCGACAAGTCGCTATAGCTCAAACAGACAGCATGATCCTTGGCTTGTTCAAAATGATCCACCATATGACCGTTTCGATAGCGTGAACAAAGCACCGTATCGCAGGTAAGACACTGCCAATTCTCGTGAGGCTCCTGGCAAGCACCACAGGCCTGATCCAGAAACACGTGTGTCGAAATGGGAGTAGGAACGTGTGGACATGTCGTAATGGGCTCAACAGCAAATCCTACATCTTGGCGATCGAATTGAGCTTGAAGTTCGGCTGCAAGGGCGGCATCGTTATCCGTCATGGTGGATGTTCAAATGACGTGTCGTTGCGGAGGAGGTGGAGAGAGGAAGCAGGGAAATTATGCAAGACATGCAAGTCAAGTGATTGCCATTGGTACGCCAACATCATCATCACTAACAGGTTATTCAAAGTTAAAACAGGAGGAGCGTGCGCACACTGCATAATGAATCAATGGGCCATCGTCGTTGTTGGTGGGTCCACAAGCGCGCGATGTGTATAATTAGAGTGAGGTGAACGACATGTATGCATGAATAAAGTTTTCGTTGCTGCAACTACAAAAATAGACAAGCCAACCTAGTCCTCTTTACAACTTGAAAACCATCAACATCCTTATGTAAGAAAAAGCACTTTTTAATTCCAAAGAATGGCATATTAGCAATAGAGTAAGAGATAATAGATGATACCAGTATACTACACGACGACAATGACCATGATGAGATAGCAGCAGTGTTACATGATAAGAATAATAAATGCGATGATGATAATGCCTGCCAAGAAGGGGGGTAGGATGAAAGATTGGGGCCCAGGGGGGAGTTACACCTTGCTCGGAAGTAACTTGACCAACGAGATTAATGATGGGCCAGGCACAGGGGTGGATTGAATGGAGAGAAGCTTTTATCATCCATCTTCTCCTCTTTCTACCAACAGCAGCTGACCCGGTTGAATGCGTATCGTTTTTATCACTTTGCCACCCGGAAGATTATTATGCACTATGCACGAATAACAGCTGTGATCGCTTTGCTGCAGCGAGTGATGAGACGACTGAAATGGGTGCATTGTTGAGCAATTTGAGATGTTCCAGTGGTCGGTTGGAGTGTGAAGCAGCTGTGTCTACCAATAGCCGCGGAAATTGAGTTCGGTGATGGGATACCATGTCTATTATGTACCGCGGACCGGTTAATAACGGGAGAACACGGATGATCAACAAGGGGATGATGATGAGTAGTAGTAGTACTTACACATCCAGTCTGCAACCGATGCTGCTACTTGTTTGGTGAATACACGAGCCGTATTGAACCTATATGATATGTTTGTGTGTGAGTTTTAGATATCCGTTATCGATAAAAGTTATCGTCGTTGTCGTACCCAAGAAGACGTGTGGTGCCCAAAACGAGTCCAGCTGTTAAGCTGATGGCACCTCCAATGTATGCTCTATTTGCATTTCCAGTAGTGCTGTGAATCATGAGGTTGGTGGTGGTAGCGGTCAAAGTCATTGGGAGCGGGAAAAGAAGGAAGCGAAAAAGAAAGAAAGCAAGGATGGGAAAAATAGCAAGAGGTCACAAGCAAATAAGCAACAAACAATATTGGACCAAATATGGGTTATGGCAATGCAAACATGCGTCATGCGGCTGAAGAAAGAAAATCCATGGTTATGCAAGTTGCTGCAAGCAACGACTCTCTTTTGTCTTTCTTTCACACGCAGCGCCATAATATAGCTACCTCCTTTATTCGACTCCTTTGATAAAACCATCTCAGCATACACGTTGTTGTTACTAAATATTCATTTACTGCCCAAAAATGATAATCGTTAAAGATAAAGAGATGCATCCTTCCGCGGCCATTCAACTATAACTTTGATCTTGATGTGGCTAAGAGGAATGTCACCTTTTATCCTATAGCCATGTACGCACCACTACAACAACTATCTGATTGCGAAAGAGTTGGTATTCAATGATGATGCTTAATACTCTTTGTGATCGAATCGCTATTTCAATTGATGTGGTAGCTGAAAATAGGTGTGTACCTGAGATTGAGTGTGGGGCGGCTAATCGCTGTCAATTCGATTGCCTTATAATAAAGCAGGTCCTCACGCTCTCTCTTTTTGTTCCATTATTACCCGATAGACAATGGATCAACGACCCCTCGGTTTATTTGAAAGATTTCAAGCAGGTGTTAAATTAATCAATTGCTATGGCGTTGTCTCTTTCACAGCTGTTTTGCGTCATGCTACACCTCGCCCACAGACCACCACCACCACCCTCAACGCCAAGCAGTTTTATCTTCCTCGTCTCCATGCAGCGGTTCAGAAAATAGTGGACAAGCACCCTCTTCTCAGTACGGCCCTTGTCGATTATGAAAAGCCCACCATTCGTTATACTTGCATCCCTGACTTTGACCTTGCTTCGATTGTGTCCTTTGATGAGATGGCCTTCTGGGAATCCGATGCACAAGCGAATCGCATTGCTGAACAATGTGACAAGGATTTTGACTTTGACAATACCCGTTTACCGTTATGGCGTCTTCATATTGACACGCACCCTGAACGACCTGATGAATGCAGCATCACTGTGGCGGGTGAACATACCATGGCAGATGGCATGAGCCTGATGATATTCATGCAAGAGCTTGTGCAACTCCTTGACACCGTAAAGCCGACTATGACCGAGGATGGTGATGAAGTCTACATGATCAAGAGCAACAAGGCACCTATCAATCCACCATGTGAAGAGCGTAATGGACCAAGGCTTACACCTGATGAGGTCAACAAATTGAAGGATGAGCAGCAACAACAACATGATAAACCTCCCGCCAATGCGCATTGTTGGCAAGGAGATCGTCGTGTGGGAAAGGATCAAGATTCAGCAGTGCACAGGACGACCATGCGAACCATCAAGGTGGATGATCCATTGTGGGGCAAAGTGTGTAAAGCAGCCAAGGAACATGGATTGTCACCACATGCTGCGATCATGGCAGCTACTCTTTTATCGTTTGCAGACATATACCCTGATGAAGAAGCCGTTGAAACGTACACACCTATGAACGTACGTGCATCGTTTGATCCGCCTGTGCCCAATGATGAAATGGGTAACTTTATCGGCTCGTATCCACGCATTTGGTCTCTATCACAAGATATCAACCAGCACACATTTTGGGATCTGGCTGCACTCTATCAACGTGAGATCAAGGCACACAAACCAGAAGCTGCCAAGGAAGTTCACAGCTTTGCATTGTTTGGAGACTATCCTCAAGGATTCACCGAGATTTGGACAAAGAACTGGGATAGGTATCGCTTGGGCCGTACTGGTGGTATTGAACTTTCGGATCTTGGACGTTGCAATTGGGGTGATAGCGTACAAGAGCTGTACTTTGGTCAAAGCGCACAAGCCTATAGCATCGGCATGGGTATAAGCACTGTCAGCACAACACACGGCATGCGCGCAACACTCAGCTTCCAAAAGGATACATTGGATGAAGACAAGCTAGAGGCCTTTGCACCCACCATCCTATCCAAGCTAGAATCATGCATTTGATATGTATGAGTGACGTGTATTTTTATGGTACTTTCAATATACAGATCAGCTGCCCACTACTAGTAGCAGAGTGTAAAACCGGGTAATGTCATTGATAATTTGTGGATGGATGAACGGAATCATGGAGCGTGTAACATTGCAATGTGAATGGATGGATGCATGCCTCTAGTGGCTAGCACGTTAGTGATATGAGATGTTTATTGGATTCTTGGTGTGCGAGGAATATGCATTTTCGCCCATCCATCAATAGGAGAAAAGATTAAAGCGTACAAAACTCTACGTCGTGGATACAAGAGAAACGACAACAACAAGGTTCACATGATCTTCCTGCAAGATCTTATGTAAGTTCTGAATATCAATTTTGAGCGTGAGGAGAGACGTTTTATGATGACGGCGAACGATATGACTAAGATGGACGGGGCCCCGCAAGCATGCTGTGGATGATATTCGTGGCAATCAAATATCCCGAATGGCAAGTAACACCAGCGATCCTCTCTTTTAGGATCAATTTGACGAGGAAATCGCCGCTGATGTAGCTAGCATTAAACCTACTCCTCCTTATTCAACAACAAGCTTTCATGCTAAAACCACTCACCCCATGGGGTAGACATTTGCCAACAAAGAACAAGCGTTACCATTGATGTTGTAAACAATGACCATTGTTATTGTTATTACTTACCCATCCTCCTCTTCCTCCTCCTCCTGCTCATCATCGGGTTCATTCTTTTTGTCGTGTAACAGCTTTTGCATGGTACAAATTCTGCTGCCAAGGCATTCTTTTCTCACCGTCGTTACTCTCCACTTTTCTCTTGCAATACAAGAGTACGTTAAACGGGGAATTTTTGACAATATCAATTTCTCCTTTTGTTCGAAATTCTGGCGTTTACCCACGCTGCCATGATCGATCATCGTAACAGATTGCCGCGGTGTACACTTTGCTCTTACCTATATAAAGCGATCAACCGAAACAGTATCATGTCAATCCTCATCATTCATCTTCAATCATGAAGGTAAGTTGCTGATCATGTTGATATTACATGAAAAAGCTCACACATTGCCCATATTGTAGTTCTCTTTGCCTAGTCTTACTGTTGCTGCAGGCCTTCTTTTGGCATCCGGTGCCATGGCACAAACATTGACCATTCGCAACGACGTTCCTGGCAATTCCAGTACCCCTAACCTTTATGGTCTCATGTATGAGGATATCAATCGATGTGGTGATAGTGGTATGTATCATTTAATCATTAGGTGGGAGAATTGATCAAGGATGCTTATATGGAGAATAGGTATTTATGCACAAATGCTACGCAACTGGAACTTCCAAGCCAATGATACGGGTGGAGCAGCTGATCTTGAATTCTGGAACGTGCTTGGTGGCGACAAGGCTGCCAGCATTGCTTTGGATGCCAAACATGGTTTGAATGATATCAACACCAATTCCCTTCGTTTGGATGTCAAGTCTGTCAGCGATGGCCGTGTGGGCATTTCCAATGAAGGCTGGTGGGGTATTCGCGTGCAGCCTGATGAAACTTACAAGGCCAGCTTTTTCGCAAAGGCATCGGATGGATTCTCGGGTCCTTTGAATGTCACTCTTGAATCAAGTTCAGGCACCGTACTCGCTTCTGCTTCCGTGGATGGTTTATCTGATACCTTCCAAAAGTTTAATGTCGAGCTCAAGGCTGATGTGAAGGAGGTCTCCACTGACAACGTCTTTGGTGTCTCCGTGGACTCAAAAGATGCGGAGGGAAAATCGCTCTGGTTCCAAGTATTCACTCTCTTTGGAGACACTTACAACGATCGTGAAAATGGTCTTCGTCCCGATCTCGCAGAGACTCTCAAGGGTCTCAATCCCCACTTTTTCCGATTCCCTGGTGGCAACAATCTCGAAGGCATGTCCATCGATCAACGCTGGAAGTGGAATGAGACCGTTGGCCCACTTGAAGAACGCAAGGGTCGCTTTGGCAACTGGGAATACTGGTAAGTACTTTGGCAATAAGAGAGAGATCCATATTTCATTGACACGTGATATAGGAACACCAATGGCCAAGGTCTCCTCGATTACATGTACCTTGTAAGTACTACAATCATGCATATAATGATGGCTGATATTGACGCATGATCTTGTTATTAGACCGAAGATCTTGGTATGACTCCGGTGCTTGATGTTTGGGCAGGCTATGCTTTGGATGACTCAAGTGTCCCTGAGGATGAGCTCGAGCCTTACATTCAAGAGGTCATGAATGAACTTGAATACTTGATGGGTGACACCTCTACCGAATACGGCAAGCTTCGTGCTGAGCATGGTCGTGAGGAGCCTTTTGAAATCCCTTACATTGAGATTGGCAACGAGGACTGGTTCTCCACCACCTATGAATACCGATACCGTGCTTTCTATGATGCCATCACTGCCAAGTATCCCGATGCCAAAATCATCTCCACTGCTGCCCAAGAATCCCGCCCTTATGATCTTATCGATGATCACTTTTATGTAAGTACACTATTCTACCTATGCTTGCGAGAATGACATCATAACTTACAAGGTATTTTTTATGATAGGTCACTAGCGCTGAAATGATTGACAAGTTCAATTACTATGACAACTATGCTCGTAGCGGTAATGGCAGTGGTATCTTTGTCGGTGAATTTGCAACCAACACCAAGGGATGCTGTGGCACTTCACCTGCCAGCATGGAAGCTGCCTTGGCTGACAGTGTCTTTATCACCGGTTTGGAACGTAATTCGGACTTTGTCAAGATGATCGCTTATGCTCCTTACATTAAGCGTCACAAGCAAGAGCAATGGGATCCTGGTAAGTGTATTGTATATCACCAAGGCAACAACCATTCTAACAACTTAAGATAGACATGATCCATTTTGACACCGAAAAGGTGTGGGTTGCTCCTTTCTACTACGTGATGCAGATGTACAACAAATATGGCAAGTCGACTTTTTCAGAGAGAGAGAGGATGATTTATTTTGTCGAATGGGCTACTAACATGATGCTAATATAGACTTTGACACCATTCTTCAAGTGGATGCTGATGGTATTAACTTTGGTCCTCTCTACTGGGTTGCTGGTTCGAACAAGGAGAAGAATCAAATCTACGTCAAGGCCGTCAACGTGGGTGGTGATGAGCAATCGGTCAGCTTCAACTTTAAGGGTCTCAACGTCAAGAAGAATGGCGAAGCCCACATTGTTGCTGGTCAACCGGACGACGAGAACACCATTGATTCCCCCGATACAATCCAACCCAAGCAATCTAAATTCAAGACCACCGACAAGTCGTCCTTGGATTACACCTTTGAGCCATACTCTGCTACTGTCTTGGTGCTGGATATCAACTAGACACGCGCATCCTTTATATGTACCATAAGTAAGTTGTTGTATCACGTTGTTGAATTGGCCAACCATATACCAACCCACCTTCTTTGCAGACATGCCATCCCACACAAAAACGGATTGCAGGATCGTTTCAGATACACATTGTTGATAATAGTAATAAACTCTTTTGATCCTACTGTATTCTTTCCCTTGATGACAAATGTAGCGTATATTGCTAATGGCCTTGATTTAGCTATGCAGCGCTGGTAGAATTGTAATGATCGCACACCCCTTCAATCATCCTTGCTCACTGGTATGGAAACTTGAACGTCAATGGATTTGAACTCTAGTAGCTTGGAAGCATTCTTGTCTAATACAGCCATATCCACATCCACCATTTCGATTCTCCTGTCATATGCAAGATAACGTAACGATGGGTCCAAGTCAAGGCAGTGTTGTAGGAGTTGCTCTGTTCAATGTATGATAGCTTGATCCATGGCAACTTGTTGCTATGTAGCCTTGCAGACGACATGATGCTTTAGCGACCCAATATTCCCAAGCATATAATAAATATCCTCGATAACCATGATGAAGCACTTGGGGAAGGATCATTTGAGTGGAAGATGGGCGATTGGAACAAAAGAAGCTGCATTGGCACGTGCCGCACCTTGTTGTTGTTGTTGTTGCTAATGACAAAGGAAGATGGCCAATCAAGAGTTCAGGTTATGCATGGATGGCAGATGGAGGATGCGTGTTGCTGTGAACATTGTGGGACGTGCGAGTGTTGCTGAGACAGAAGAAGGCGAGACGAGGGAGCAAGTTGCCGCCTTGGCTGTATCATCCTCTTACTGCGTTCACGCCATTGTTAATTGTGCATCCAATTTTGATATGAGCGCTCGTCGTGGTTGCATAGCAACCCAAGGGCGTTGCATAGCATCCCTCATGACCCAACTGCTCCTGCTATTATACTAATTAATCTGACAGAATATGATGGTCTGTGCGTATCATACTTCTATTTAGAGTAAAAGTATCTAGAAGGTGGAGGACGCTTATCAACGACCATCTTGTATTTATAAATGAACAAGTACACAATAAAACGTTGTTTTCATGGCTGGCAAAACGTTTAAGCAATGGATTAGCTCTTGTCTTTTGGCACCTTTTCTCTTATCTGGCAGGTGTTGTACACCATCAGCAGCATAAAGGTGTGGATTAAAGATGACGTGTGTGCCCATATCGATCGTTGCTGCTGGTGATGTTGTAGTAAGCTGTAGGGACCTCTTGAGCCTGATGGTGCTGTCTCATAGCTTCTTTGTGTTCAAGTTTTGATTTTCCTCGTGCATGAGGCTCTAGCCATTTGCTCAACACATTCATTGAAGGGATGTCTTCCTCATAAGTGGCATAGGAGCCTTGAAGTATGTACATCTTGTGTACCTTGTTTATTCGCTTGCTTTGGATCTTGGATTACATTTTGTATCTCTAGATCTTCTTGATGATCTTCAGCAGGTGGTGGGTTGCTATTAGGTGATGTGAACTTTCTGGACGGCTGATCGTACTGAATACCGAAGAAAAAACGGGCTTTCAAAGAGAAAAACGCGACAAGCAAAAGAATAAAAGATAAAGTAACCTTGATCATTGGTGTACTGTTTCATGCTTGTGCATCACATAAACAAAGCTCGTTAGGACACATCCGCCCTTTTATCATCTTACAACATTCTTTGTCGATTGATAAAATCGAGTCACCTTATGCTCCACTATCCCTGTAGCGTCCTTTTCTTATGTCATGGAAGATGATTTGGTTTACATATGTACATAGACAACATCCTGTCAAAAAATTGGATCTGCAGGATATAGGTGGATGAAACAGTGATACCAAAGAAAGAAACTCTATTTAGTCACAGTTTAAGCCCGCTAGGTAACAACAATGCCTATGATGGGAAGAACACCGAGATAGTGTTATCAAACAATGGATTATAAAAGATAGCGACAATAGGCGTGATGGTTTTTCTCCCACTCATCATGAAATTCACAACTCTCCTCTCTGCTATCTTGGTCTTTGCAATCTCTGCTGCAAATGCGGATAGGGAACAAGCCCAACTCCAATTCTTGCAAGCTCCCCACGCTTTCCCGCCAATGTATAAGATTCGCATCGACTTGCCTTCGAGTGGCAAGAGCTTCGAGATTATCTTGTACAGCTATGAACCAACCCAGTTTGCTCGTTATGCCAAGAAATCAATCGGTGAGGTTTACTACGACAACCCTCCACATCATTTCTTTAATGCGATTATCAACGACGATTATAACGAGGACGGTGACAAGATTTTCAGAATGGACCTCACCGGATCGGAAGGAGAATTCCACTTTCACTATGAAGGAACGAGTGTAACCGATGGACCGGTCGAAAATCTGCAAGGTGAAGGACATATCAGTAGCGACGACGATGATGACTTTGGTTACAGCCGCTCTCGGTTCTATCGTTACCAAGACAGATACTCTTGCAATCACTAAATAGTCACTGTCTTCATTATGCGCAAAGTGATGTTCTATTGGCTGTTGTATTATAGCATGCGGAATAAATCTTGTACCACTGATTTGGAAGCCAAGTTGACTCGTCCATTGTCGCTTTATGTATTGTCCCATGTTCATTCCCAACAACTCTAAGGCACACGTCTAAAGTGCACTCTCTTTCTAATTGAGCTACTCCTCGTGCGATGGCGCTGTTGCAAGAAGGCTCGATCGTCTGCCCCTCTTGTTCCTTGGATACAGCTTTGCTCCTCAAGTCAATGCCTACTCTTCATGGCAACCTACACGTGTTACTGCAACCGGCATTGGAAGTTACGACCTCTCTGATTGAGCTACAACTCATGCGATGACGTCGTTGAAAGAAGAAGACTCTATCCTCTCCACTACCTGTTCCTTGTACACAGCTTTGTTCCTGAGGCCATTGCCCACTCTTCGCGTCAAACTACACGCGTTACTGCGGCCAGCGTATTGGAAAGGATCTATAACACAAAGGCCTTGACGAGTGCGTTGGAAGAAAAACCAGCACTATCTTCATTGTCAATACCCTCTTTGTTCAGCATATGCATAGCACAATGGTCAAATAAAGGGTTTCATCTTTCATTATCATCTTCGACTCTGCCTCTTGAAATGGGAACGTTGGTTTTGGTTATAATGGCTACATATGGATATAGCATATGCTTCACCTTTTGCAAGGGGTTACGTATGCTGGTACAGGTTTGTTTGCAAAAAGACCATGTATCTCGGATATGGATGCTTTTTTGAGACATGTAGCTATAGCAACAAGGATAATGAATCGAATTGGTTGTATTTTGATAAGCTGAACGGACCTCTTGAGCCTGATGGTGCTGTCTCATAGCTTCTTTGTGTTCAAGTTTTGATTTTCTTTGTGCATGAAGCCTCTAGCCATATATTCACTGAACTTCATGAGTGGCACCGGGGCCTTAAAATATGTACGCCTTGTGTATCTTGTTTATTGGTTTGATTTGGATCCTGGATTTCATTTTGTATCTCTTGATCTTCTTGATGATCTTCAGCAGGTGGTGGGTTGCTATTAGGTGATGTGGGCTTTCTGGACGGCTGATCGTACTGAATACCGAAGAAAAAACGGGCTTTCAAAGAGTAAAACGCGACAAGTAAAGGATAAAAGATAAAGTAACTTTGATCATTGGTGTACTGTTTCATGCTTGTGCATCACATAAACAAAGCTCGTTAGGACACATCCGCCCTTTCATCATCTTACAGCATTCTTTGTTGATTGATAAAATCGAGTCACCTTTATGCTGCATTATCCCTGCAACGTCCTTTTCTTGTGTCATGGAAGACGGTTTAACTTGCATACATAGATAACCTCCTGTCAAAAAATTGGACCAGGATATAGGTGGATGAAACAGTGAAACCAAAGAAAGAGAAAAATATTTAGGCGTAGTTTACGCCCGCTAGATCACAGCTACTATCCATGATGGGAAGAACACCGAGGTCGTGTAATCAAACTATGGATTATAAAAGAAGGCGATTATAGGTGGGATAATTCTCTCTCACTCATCATGAAGTTCACAACTCTCGTCTTTGCTATCTTGGTCTTTGCTATCTCTGCTGCTAATGCAGTAAAGGAACAAGCCCTTATCAGCTTCTCCCCAGGCTCGGATGTATTCTCACCACAGTATAAGCTTAGCGTCAGCTTGCTTTCTAGTGATACCACCTACGAGATTACCCTGGACACTGATGTGCCAGACTGGTACCCTTTCGATCCATCTGAGACTTCATACGGTGTAGCTACCTACGAGCAAGAAGGACTTACCACCGGCCCCTGTTCGGCGATTATCTACGACAACGACGATTGGAAGGATGACAAGAAGACTTTCAGGCTTAGTCTTATGGGGCCCGCAGGAATCTTCCACTTTGTAGGAGAAAGTGTAACCAAAGAACAGGTTTATGGTATAGCCGTTGAGGGAGAACTCAGCGTCATCCACAATAATGACTTCGGTTACAGCCGTCATCGGTTCTATCGTCACCACCAAGACAGATACCCTTGCAAGCACTAAATAACCATTATCTCCATTATGCGCAAAGTGATGATCTAAGCATAGTTATTGGCCGCTGTATTGTAGCAAGACGTGGAATAAAACTCTAGTATCACTGAGATTTGGAACTTATTGCATCAATGTCCACAACCTACGTTCATTCCCAACAACCACGTATATAAGTCTATGTCTACATAGGGCACACGTCAAAAGTGCATTGTCGTTCTCTTTGAGCTATGTACAACTCATACACGCAATGGCGTTGTTGCAAGACGACCGCACCCCATGTTTCTTTGGATACAGCTTTGCTCCTTAAAATTAATGATCACTCTTCCACACACCACCCACACCCACACGCACACACACACACACACACGCACACACACACCCACACCCACACCCACACACACACACACACCCATCCCACTCACACACACACCCATCCCACTCACCCACCCATCCACCCATCCACCCATCCACTCGCCCAC